TCCCCGACTTCCCCCGACTCATCCCCGCACATCTCGTGCGCGCTAACCACTCTGTCTCCCCGCTATCTCTCTCACTCAATACTCCGCTTACCTGTCCTGCTGCCCTCACACCTCCACCCTCGTCCAAGCCCCCAGCAGGGGATCAGCCAACACTGCTGGAGAGGGCGAGGTCCCAGGCGTCTTCTCCCCGACTCCTGTGTTCTTCATCCCTTGAGCACCAACCAACTCCCCGTACTGCTCCGCACACTCCTTTATATATCCCTCCTCATTTGGGGTCCTCACTTACCCCCCCCCCCCCCCATTAAGCTGGCGCCTCCGGCACGAGCTCTCTCGCTCTCTTATCGCCTCCATCTCCCGCTTCCCCGGCGCCTACCCCGTGTTCCAACGCTCGCACCTGTTCGTCCCCAAATGCACCCGCTCAGTTAATGCTTCTTTCCCTAATTGCTGCTACCTCTCCGGCGCCTAACCCATGTCTCCCCGCTTACCTCTGCACGAACTCAGGTGCACCCTCTCTCTTTGATAATCCCACGCATTACATCACTCCACGTGGATGATCTCAGAGCCACGTGCCCGACTATTTTGCAAGGGAGATCCGTGGCGAGTGAGCACAGCAACTGCAGGTGTCCTGAAATCTATATATATAAAATCGCAAATCTGTCTGTCTGTCTGTGTGTCGCCGGACCATACGCAGTTTCATTGTACGAAATGTGAGGGATTTGCGAGACGCGATTGGTCCGGCGGTTGCCCCTGGCAACGGGTAGCGACGCATTCGCTGCGGGATGGACGCCATTTTTAATTCCCGTTAAAAATATGCGCACGCATTAACACGCGACTCTGAGGTAAATTCATCAAAGTTTCACGTCCTCTTCACTCCCCCCCACCCCAATGTGTGCTAATATTATGTAGCGCGGGGGGGGGGGGTAACGGCCCCGGTACCCAGCCTCAGCCGGGTGGGCAATTTAGACGAGGCCGGAGGCTCTGCACGGTACTAGGCCTCGACACCCCACCACACTATAGGCCGTACATATTACTGCACAGCGGCCGAGGAGATCGTGGCTGGGGGGGGCAGGGGTAGCAGCCCATCTGTGTATATATGTAAGGTTATTGAGAAATATATTTTTCACCCGCGCAACGCCGGGTACTTATGCTAGTTAACTAAATAAATGCTTTCTGACATGAAGGTGTTACAACACCGATGGGACAGACACGTATGTGTAGCGTATACAGGAGGTGTGGAGGGAAGGACAACTAACCAAACACAAAAACCAGGTCTAAATAAATGAGTTTTAAATCTATATATTTTTTTATGATGAAAGGATGTTAAATGAAGACATGTTTTTACTGAGCACCCTTATAAAGAGTTCAGTTGCCATGGAGATAGCGCGATGGGATCAGCTGATGTGCAAGAGTGAGAAAAATCGTGGCATCTCAGAACTACAAGGGATGGCAACGGTGTGGGGAGGCTTTCAATCAGCAGTGGATAGACCATGGCTCATGGTGATAATACCTTTACCTATTCACGTGAACGCCGACACATAGATATTCATCTATTTTGTGCGTGTCTGCGTGCATATGTGTATAGCCTGTACTGTGTATACACTGCTGTGTTCACAAGGCTATGCTTTTGTCAAATGACCTTTGAAGGTAGGTTTAGACAATAGTGCATGCAGTGATTTTATCTTACATCATTCCCCCTGTTGACCAGCATTCCTCAGCAGGTCACCACTTAGCTGATTGCCATTGTCTTTTGTGTCAGAAATCAGGAGATATGCTCGCTGTGAGGGCCAGGTGGCCGGCTCTTTCTGTCCATCTGACCTTCACTGCTGGGGGCTAATGGCTTAAAGGGCTGCAATGTTGGTGTCGTCATCGGAGGTTGATCCTGTCACGTCTGTGTCCTTCCCGCCGGCATTCGTTATCTACAAAGAAGGAACATATAATATAAAGGCAAAGATCCAACCCCCTGCCGCCTCCGTGTAGCCAACATAAACGTTTGAGGCAAGTGCTGTTAGCGAGCACCTATTATGGATGGCACGACGCACGAGGGGGTGATGCATTTGTACTGTACTGGACGATTTCAGACCACATGTATTACGTAAGTCACAGTGGGTAAACTATCCCGCCTTGAATTAAAAAAAATCAGTGTTGAGCTGAATTGTGGTCCATACCATTTTAAAAGTATTCAGATGTTCCGCCCTTTGTTGATCCAATGTTGGATCAAGGCCTCCCCGTTCCGTGTCAGCTATGGGGTTTGTTTAACCATACTTAATCACGCTGGTGAGTGCGGGTTGTGGAAGGATGGCCCAGGACCGATTGAGATATCACTTGCCACTGATATTGGCCATGGCCATGAATCAAACCCATTTGGCCGAGTTCATAGCGCAATGTGCTAACCACTCCACCTTCCATCTTGAGAGTAGAATGGCTTATATCCTCAATGCAGCACCCGCTTTCCTAACAGCCAGACGCCTCCTTGTGCCTGGCCCTGTTGATGGTTTTTCATTTGGTTCCCGCAGGATGGCATTGGCGATGGAGCCATCTCAAGGTAGACTGAAAAGCACTTGCAGTTGAGGGCGTGCCGTTGTTTTTCACCACTGCAGTCTGCAAGAGGCCATTAGCACATTACTCATGTAATGCTCATATAATGTGCTATATATGGCCAAGGTAACAGACTGCCCGAATAAATAATTCAAGCACTCTGTCATCGGATCCGAGGCCATTATGGCACACGCAAAAAAAATTAACAGTACAGTATTAGATTTTTGAAATTGAATGTCTGAAGGACAGCTTTCGCGATTGTGTTTTACCCGACGGTGAGGAGGGACGTAAAATATAAGCCCCCAATGAAAGCACGTAATCATTGATTATAACACGTGCGTTTAAAAATGTGTTAATTATTGTTAATTGCTCAGTTTACATTCACGGTAGTATTTCCTGCAAATGAAGGGCCTCTATTTATTGTGCTGTGACATGTACATTTTTCAGTGGGACAAGATTTTCTTTACTCCGCAGCAAAACAAAATCCCTCAAGAGATTCACATATTCTTTCTCTAGATGGCAAGTAAGAGTCATGGAATTGTAATCCGTGCAATTTCCAATGAGATTTCTCAAAGTGATTGGGAATGAGGCTACAGGAATGTCAGAGGAGAATGGATTCCTCACGTTTCAAGGGCGCCTGGCGGAGTGGAATCAAGACAATTTATTTTAAGGATATAACGACGGCAGCGGTTTGGGGAAGCCTTTATCTAACAGTGGATTGACCAAGGCTGATGGTGATTATAATGATGATATGTATATCGATCCATTCATCGATAAAAATACATTCTTAAGGCTCAAGATACATGCATATAATCGTGCATTGAAGAATACATTATTTAGAATTCATGTAAATACTGTAATATACAAATAATATGGCAAGGTTGTGCAACGCAGATAGAACAATCTCAAAATAATACATATTTGATTTTTAAAAATCCAAATTTTGATTTAAAGCTTTCGTGACTGCAGGGATTCATATTTTTGGTTCTTTCGGTAAAGTCACGTAGAAGGAAAACAATAAAATAATAAAAATATAAAACAATAAAAATTATTGCTGTGGATTTCACACCTGATGATGATTGCTTGTGTTGCAGTCTAAACGTCGTGAGAATTTTATTGTTTTATATTTGTATTAATTTATTGTTTCCCTTCTCCGTGACTTTACCGAAAGAACCAAAAAAAATCTAACTATAAAATAATAATTTTTTTAATCAAATCGTGATAGTTTTCGTCAGTGCATATCTTAATCTATTGTACATAGACAATGGCCATGTTTACTTTATAGATAGAAGAAAAAAAAGAGACAGTCCCAGAGCTAAGGGGGGGGGGGGGGTGATAGAAGGAAAACAATTTTAGAATACAAGAAAAGAGCAACACGACAAAAATAGTCCAACGACCAGAGAAGTGGACCAGATACAGCAATATCATCACGCAGGTATTTATAGAGGATAGAAAAATCAATGGAGTCGAAGGTGGCAGTAAAGGCCTAAGAGAAGGAAAAGAGCTACAAAACTCACGGTCTGAAGAGAAGTAATTTACTACAAGTAGGAGGGGAACTGTTTCACTTCAATGACCGGGACAGAAAAAAGGATTGAACTGGTTCGTGAATGGTCATGAATACTAACGTGTATACATAACGGATTTTCAGGCGCCAGTTCAATGAAGCGTTTGTATGATTCTGCTTGTTTAAACTGATAAGTTGAGCCTTGAAGAGATTCAGTGCGACATTTAGGCCTCTTTTAAGACGTTTCGTGCTCTTATGCAATTTGCTTTCCATTGACGGAAACTTCAAAGTGCATTCTTCATTTGGATTGCGCTCTCATGCTCACACGCTCTTTGGATTGCACCCGTTGGGTTGCATTAATGCCTTTGGATTGCACCACTCTTCTATCTTACAATTACATGCTAATTTATCACATTAACATCACTAGTCCCTGGCCACTTCTTTATGACCCTTGGGCTACAACAATTTCAAACTTTTTTAAAACAGTCTGCCTCAGCAGCAGACCATGCTTTCCCACCTGATGACGGATGCTTGTGTTGCGCCCGAAACGTCGTGATTTATTTTATTTTTTACACCTACGTGACTTTACCGAAAGAACCAAAGAGTATGTATTCAAAGTGCATGTTTGAACCTGTTCAGATAAATACGTTAGCAAAACTGCTTCAAATGCCGTGATGACAAATGACAAATTGCATATGGGCTATGATCCATACGCTTTTGGCCAAAGTTCCTTTTCATCATTTGTATGGTAAGATCGCGGCCCGATGTCTCCACCATAGCCAGCCAAAGGGCATATCTCCAATGCGATGCGTTTAGGTCGATTCGTCAGTTTGTTACTGGTTCATTGCATTTACAAAGGGAGATGGTAAATGTGGTGCGAAATACGCACAAAAAATATCTACTTTAAGGGGCACGTCAAAATCGCGTACAGATTGGGAATACTATGACACTCGAAGCAGTAGAATTTCAACGGTTGTATTGCTGTTTATATATCAACACAGCATATTTCACTTTACACGGACACATTATGTACAATAACTAGAATTTCAACATATTAATTAATCATCAAACATGATTAATGCCAGCACATCATGTTTTTTTCACCCTTCTGAATGATACGCAGTGAAATAAATATATCACAACCGCCCACGTGCTGCCAATCATCGCTTGATTTCCTTTTGAATGTCCAACAGTGTACATCACCTCTTATATTATGCAGCATACCGTCAAGTGATGGTTGTACCGTCATCTCTTTCCCCCCTTTCACATGTATTTTCCAGGCCCCTTCTGTAATGCAATTATGGAGTGCAGTCTCGTTGACCTGCACTGTTGCTATGCGCTGTGCAAATATGTTGGACAGATACTGGGCTGCTTCTATCACATACACCCTGCGGATACCATATGCACAAATTGAGACTTCAAGGGGGATCCACATTGCGTTTGTGTTGAACAACTAGAAGCGATGGAACAGCGTTGAACACCTGCAGTTAATTTGAATTCATTCCCCAACATGTTTGGAATTCACTCTGCATCAACCAAAGCTTTTGACTGCATATAAAACGTAATGCCACACTGTAAAATGTGTCTACTGCTTCATACGACATCACAAGGCTGGGGTTCCATTTAGAAATATGGGAAATTACTCAGCTTATTTGAAAATAAATATGTATTCATATACATTTGGTAACTTCTTGTTTTGCAAAATGGAATTGTGCCTCCATCGGTTACCACTGGCACTCGAGTGTGCTTTAAACTTTTGTTTCTAAAGTTTCTTACCGATTATCAATGCAATTGCAAGGAAGTTGGTCAAATGTAGCCTATATCGATTTATAACATTCGCTGCATTCTGCATGCATTCATTTGAAAACATAATTAGTGAGCTTACATTGTATCCTCCACGCAAGTGCGGTAGTTTTTATTTGAAAGGGCGTATCCAATTTTCATTTCTCTAATAGCTTTTATGAACAATTCTTATTTTATCAAATTCAAACAAAAACGTGAATTGGAAACTCAGTGTTCCAGACACAATTACACAATACCTTGATGAATAGTTGTTCCGCTGGTGGCTCAGAGCTCATAGCTCACCAGGAGATATAAACCATACAACACATGTATACGTTTTACAGGAAAACTTGAATATTGCCGTCTTATCAGGCTGGTTTTTTTAAGTCACAAAATCAATGACGAGATATAGGATTGAGCGTTGGCACACTAATGCGTGGGATTATTCCACCCCCTAGAAATGCAATATGAATTGTTGCTATTCAGAACCACGATTCAATTCAAGCATCACCTATTTTGTTGTCTCGCTTTACTGCGTTCTTTCTATAGTTTCGGGTTTTCTCTCTGCCTTGTTTGCTACAGTTTGGTTTGCTTCATGAGGCTAAATGTAACATTACGCATTTAATGACCGACATCAAAACATCAATCCCTGCACACGCCATTCACTGCACGTGTATCTCGAGCATTAAGAATCGACATAGCAACAATAAATCAATAATCTACGCTCCGAATACGTAAGGGTAAGGACCACGCACGCATAAACTACATGGAGCAGAAGGGTTTCACCTTTTTAAAACGAAATGCTATTACCTTCGTGGCCAGGTCTGTTAAATAAATATAACTCGTGCACAGCCATTTCCTATGAGGTCTTCATGGCTGTCCGAGACAACAGCACACGCGTCATTGGAATGTGCAATTTAGATATTTAATTCCCATCCACACTGACTCCAACCATCACCTCTACGCTTATAAGGTAATGCCTTATAACAATAATAATCTACAGCCCTTTGGCAATCCACTTCTTGTTGAAGTGTTGTTGGGGTTGTTTGACTGAGCTCTAAAGTGCTGCTGGTCTGTGTATGTTAGTGAAGGGTGTGGGTGGCAAGTGGGGTGATCGGGACTGGTATTATCGTGCTTGTTTACCCCGGAAAGCCTGACTGAGTCTCATGGGTCCTGCCAAGTTATTGTTTAATCCCAACCGAGTTATTTGCAGGTACATTTTCAAATTTGGCAACTTTGAACCATGGAACACAGTGGCCTGCTCTTACGAATGATATTACTCACCACTGACTTTACCCGTGGCTGGGAATCGAACGTAGGTCGCTAGATAATTATTAGCACGGTGTACCTACCACTGTGCCACCGCCGCCCGCTCCGTCCCATTTCATTCCAATGTACTCTGTTTATTTCATAAACAAATACATCTACATGTCTTCATTATAATAATATACCAATAATTGAGTTTATTTGAAACATAGGCTTGCACGACCAATATTATGGTTCATAACCAATATTATGAGCCACGTGAGAGCTGAGCTTCTGTTAACGCCTGATAATTATGTGGATGTAATCTCCAGCGAAATGTCGCATGAAAATTATTTTAAAGAATAAAAAAAATAGCTTTTCCACTTCCAGTTTTGCTAACAACCCTTATCAATTGGCATAATTCCCACGTAACAACTTGATTTGCTTGGCTCTGTCGGGTGGCGGAGGGTATGGGCATTACACCTTCATGATCTAACCCAAAAGAAGCTGATTATGAATTACAAAAAGTGAGTTGTTTTGGGAGGTATAGCAATCACTGATGGCGTCCTGTAAAATCGTTGTTGTATTTCAAGATGAGGCAGAAAAGGGACGTGTAGTGGTTACAGGCCCATACCTAAGTTAAATTCCCAGCCACGACTAACATCAATGGCAAGTGATATCTAAACTGCTCCTTGGCCCCCTCCCACCTAACGTCACCAACCCATATTGACCAGTGTGGTCAAACAACCCCCATAACTTACACAACGCAAGGAGGCTTTCATCCAGCAGTGGATTGACAAAGGGCTGTAAACCATTATTATGCAATACTTTTAGTGTTCACTGTATACTGCACCCTGAAAACACCTAATTGAATAGGGGCCATCCATTTAGTACTGTACGTACGCATGGAGGGGGGGGGGTTAACCCAAATGCCTACGTTTGCATATGGGGGGTCTACTGACAATGTACGTACGCATAGGAGACGGGGGGCGGTGAAGCCTTGATAATAATTTGTCTACATTGGCCTTCAAATGAGTTAAGATAGTGCGGCGGTGGACTATTTGTTTGCTTAAACACGTTAATATTATAATCCTTGATCGTTTATGCATGGATTAAATATCGGCCGTTCTATAGGATTCGGGGGGGGGGGGTGCGTCAAGCGTACGTACGCAGGTGGGGGGGGGGTCAAGTTTTGATAGATTTTATTGCGTAGGTACTAAATGGATGGCCCCATATGATACATCTTTAGTCACTTTTTCATTGAGAACGTCTTTCCGTGATAATTGAACATTGGGAACATGAGTGTTCAATGGTAGAAATATTGTGCCAAGATACTAGAAATGAAATGTGCCCCCTCTGTCCAATTTCCCCTTCTCATCGTAGCCTGGCGCCTTGGCCCCTCTGGCCTGATGGGCTCTGGTGTAGTTGCGCGCCACTTGCTTACTCGATAGCTATGCCACTAAGTCAAATACAAAGCCACACGCGCATACTGCACCCGACATGTGCAGATATAGCGCTAATTTCATGTTGTTTAGGGAAAAACATGTTCTGCTCATTGTCAGTAGAAACTGCATAAACAGAAGCTATCAATAATTGCTTATCTTTTCAAACAAATATTGGCGGAAACTGCCCTTCTTACTAAAACGTGAATTTGGCCGATGGTGTGTTCGGCAATGTCGTGGGGGGAGGGACAAAGTCGCATGAAAAAAATACTGTGTTCTCTAAAATTCCTGATCTAAGTTTGGATTTATTCATTGGGTGGCCGGCCCACAGTTCAGTCAATAATGTCTGGATAAAAAAAAAACACTTTTTGTAAACCTCAAATATTATCATGCTCAAGCTCTTTTCATAACAGTGCCAACTCCGTTAATGCTACACAGCACTGTGCAGCATTCGAGATATTAACTCTTATCGGGTACAATCTGATCTGCAGAGTGATAATATAACACGCGCAACACAACAGCGTATTAGTCAAAACACAGGCACGAGTCAAACGCAAGAGCCTCTACAAGAACATACTGAGCAGTAACACTGAGAGCGGTGGGACCTGACAATACAACACTGGCTTACGGTTGTTCGAGATTAAAACTGGCTGCACGGATACTACAATAAAAGGCGTACTCTCAAGCGATTCAGTATGCCATTTTCACGGGGAACAAATTAAAGGCAGCGCTTGACCTACGTGGACAACGCAATAGTCTCCGTCTACACCTCGGAGCGTCAACCGTTCTCGATGTAGGGAATGTCGTGGTAGCAGCGGTCGATTTGCGCACTCTGCCGCATGGCCCCAGCCATGATCTGCTCGGAGAGCTTCTGGGCGAAGCCGACCACGTGCGGCTCCACGGCTGGGGACGACGGCTTGTGGGCCCTCTCGAGCGCAGCGCCAGAATCTGATGCCTGCTGCTGCTGTTGCTGGTGGTGGTCAGCGTCGGTGGCGTCGGTGGCGATGCGACTGCTCGTGCGGGACTTCTCCATCCCCGGCGAGTTCTGGTGCACCGAGTAGTGGTTTTTGGACTTGAGGCATCCCATTGGAAAATCCGTCTACTGGGGGATTCGCGGAGCCGGCGTGCTCTTCTTCGTGCCTGCGCTCCGGGGTGAAATTCGAACGCTGTGAGTTGTTAACACGCAGTGCACAGGCACGCGGGTCGTCGTTCCTGCGACGTCTCGCACGGGTTAGGCAGGCTACCGAACCATTGCTGTGATTGCGACAACAAGAAAAGAAAAAAAAATCCTCACCCGGCAGAGAAGCTAAACAAGACCCCGCACTCTGAAGGGCAACGCGCCGCATTCTCTCTCAACCATTATAGAAATTAAAGTAGCTCGGGCACGACCCGCGTTATAAAGGCAATGCTCCGCTTCGCACGACACCAGCGCGACATTGGCACGCCTCTGCGATTGTTACCGAGGCAGGGTTTGTTATCATGTGCGGCGTGTCCACGGGGAAGAGAGAGAGGGCTGGTGGGTCACTTAACAACGTAACTGGGGCTCATCTGGGCACGACTCGCAAAAAAATCATTGGCAGCCGACCCAGCCGGGCTGCGTTCAAGGCGGCAGGACGCCCTTGAACGACACAACCGGTCCCTTGCTTCGAATAACGCTGGTGGCGGTGCGCTGTTAATATTCGCAAGGACAACAACAGCTGCGACGCTTACCCCCAAGATGTTTAGCGATCGTCCGTGCGACGCGTCCTGCGATTGTCGTCCTCCACGTCATCATCGACACTCGGGGCCACGCGGTGGTGGCCAGAACGATGGGTGGCCACGGCGTCAGGCAGCCGTGGTCACCGCTCTCCCGTCGTCACCTCGTCCCATCGGCTCCTCCGCCACGCAAGGGTGTGCGCTGTGCACAATCACTTATCTGCGTATTTACCTCCTGCCAGCCCACTAAACATGAGCTGGAGAAACTGGGGGGCGGGTGATGTAACGGTGATGGGTGGGTGGGTGGCTTGAAGAGGGGTGAGTGTGATCGGATGTGGGTTGGGGTGGAGGCTGCTTCCAGTGAGAGAGAGAGGAGTGGAGCAGTGCAGGGAGGGTGAGGAGGCGGGTGATGATGAGATAGTGAACGGGAGAGCGGTTTTGGAGACGGAACGGCGCGCAGAAGCAGCAACATCAGCGGAGATGATGTTGCGTCGGGCGTGAAGCAGAAGCTGTAGCGTTGTATACATGTCACAAATCACACTTCCCCTCTCTCATGTTGGAATTCCATTACTATATAAGCTCTGCTTGCAACCCTTGGGGAATCGCGTTCATAATTAACACTTTGTCATATTTATGGCGGGTGTGAGAATTGTAGGGGAAAAACAATGAATGGCGTTTCACGCAGAGCACGGACGTCCTGTTGACACGGTGATCCGCGTGGGGTCGTCGGGGTCGCGTGCTGACAGAGCGAGGGCCAAGCCATTGCGGGTTAATACAGAGCGCGTGGGGTTAAAGGAATTTGGGAGGGTGTGGGTGAGTGACTTTTACTCTTTGGTTTTTTCGGTAAAGTCACGTAGGTAAAAAATAAAATAAAATGAACAAAAACATCTAAATTAAACTGTAGTCACTTACTACAGTGATTTTGGCTGTAACGGTTCCACCTGAAGACAGAAGCTTGTGTTGCCTCCGAAACGTCGTGATTTAATTTCATTTATTTTATGTGTTTTTTTATGAATTATATCTTTATATGGCAGAATATAAAGATATAATTCAACCTAGATTTGAAGATTTCGTGACTGCAATGATTCATACTCTTAGGTTTATTCGGTAAAGTCACGTAGGTAAAATAGTAATAATAAAATAAAAATAAATCAAAATAAATCAATTAAATCATGACGTTTCGGAAGCAACACAAGCCTCCGGAAATTTTACTGGAGCAATTACACCTGATGACGGAGGCTTGTGTTGCTTCCGAAACGTCGTGATTTAATTTATTAGAATTTTTTACCTACGTGACTTTACCGAAAAAAACAAAGAGTATGAATCCTAGCAGTCACGAAAACTTCAAATCTAGAATGAGTGACTTTTCTTCGCCATTACGTCTCGCAAGCCACCCTTGACACGACACGTAAACCAGATTCCAGAACACGAAGAAAAATATTTTTAATTATGTGGTTTGAGCGGCATGGTTAACATTGAATTTCACTGGCAGCTTGCGAAAACGCTTAGTCTTCTAATGTTTTTGATGATGGCACGTGACCAAACCACCTGGAATTCGCCCCCTTCCATCAGATCTCGGAAGTTAAGCAGATTTGAGTCTGGTCAGTTCCTGGATTATTTGATCACCGTGCACAAACAGGTCTTCACAGAAAAATCTTGACTTAAAGCTTTCGTGACTGCAGGAATTCATATTTTTTGGGTCTTTCGGTAAAGTCACGTAGATAGGTTCAACGAAAATAACCTATCGACGTGACTTTACCGAAAGACCGAAAGAATATGACTATGTACTCTTTGGTTCTTTCAGATCTAGATAGAATATGAATAGGTCATCACAGGGCTGCGTGGCCACGTGGTGGGCAGTAGAGGGCAGCACAGCAACACCTAGTGTTCTGTACAGTACTTCGATGCCACAATGTCATTAATCCCTGCCTTCACCAACCCGCACTGACTAGCGTGGTGAAGTATGGTCCAATAACCCCCACGACCTGCACGGTATGGAGAGGCCCTTATTCAGTAGTGGACAAACATGCAACTTTTATTTAGAAAGATTTGTCTTTCATACCCACAATCTGAAGAAAGTACTATTCTGTAAAAACATTAACGAGGCCATGAATCTTAACATGGGCAAACTCATCACTCCAAGTGGTTATTACATCATTTAAATATCATCCAGACAATACACAGGTCTGAATGTGTAGTGACAATCTCAACCTGAAAACTATGCACATTAAACACACGACAACCAATAGGCAGGGTTATTTAATGGAGACGAAATTGCACCTAAAAACCCCGAAGGCAGCGTGCTTTATCAAAGTCACATTCAAGAACCGCACATCAATAGGACACTTGAAAACAGCAGCCTAAACAGGTCCATTCATGAGGTTATGGTTATAAGTACTATGTGGAGCTGCCGTGATGTACTGATTAGGTTAGCATAGTGGACTCCAGAGGTAGTCAGTTAAATTCAATGGTGGAAGTTTCTTAAATCCCCATGTCTTTGTCCATCCAGCAGTATAAATGGGTTATGTCAAAGTTGGTCGATCGATAGATCACATGCGGTGGGGTAAAGCGGGCGTTTTTCCCAACTTTTTTCAAGACATCTGACCAGCTGGGAAGAGTAGGCCAAATATCCTCGAGAGCTCCATTTTAAGTCAAGTCAGCTTTATTGATCACACACTTGACTTAAAACTTTCGGGACTTCAGGAATTCATATTCTTTGGGTCTTTCGGTAAAGTCACGTAGATAGGTTCAAATAAAAAAGTTTGTTGTTATTTTGTCATTTTGTTATTTTCTTTGAACCTATCTACGTGACTTTACCGAAAGACCCAAAGAATATGATCACATACGCATGCATACATGAAGTACATGGCAGTGCAATTCTTTGTCCCTGGGTCGCTCTCTCTCAGCTTGTGCAAATTAACAACAATGTAAACAGCAGCAACACTATTTTACAATTAATAAAGAGCTACCCAGCCAACATCCGCTCAATGGCAAGGTCTCTCATTCTCCTCTGCTGCCCGCAATATGAAATATCCCCTCCGTTCCCCTCATCTGCGCCAGCCAACTCCCTACCTCTGGTCAAGTCCAGGCTTTTTTCTCCAGCATATTTATATATACCGCAATACTGTATATATTACCATCTTATAGTGTCACATCGTTTTTGTACAGTCTTAATAATAATAACTCCGTAACATGGCAAAACAATTGCAAGGGCGTTTTGTATTTAAACGCTATAGAGAGTGCTTTTAAATAAATAAATAAAATTGTTTATTGTGTGGCAGTATGGGTCACACAATTGTAAACAAAAAGTACACTCGTTGGAATGGGCATGCAAATACTAATGCTGAGCAACCAGTAAACCTGTTTGGTCATTTTTATTCCCACGTTTGTGCTGTGTGTATGTACAGCTCATGAAAACAAACCACAGCCTACATAAAATTTCGATTTAAAGCTTTCGTGACTGTAGGGATTCATCTTCTTGGTTCTTTCGGTAAAGTCACGTAGAAGGGAAGTAATAAAATAATAAAAATAAAACATAATAAAATAATTCTGACGACGTTTCGACCACACGGCTGCTTGCGTTGTGGCCGAAACGTCGTGAGAATTATTTTATTATGTTTAATTTGTATTATTTTATTACTTCCCTTCTACGTGACTTTACTGAAAGAACCAAGAAGACACAGCCGACATCTTCCATCCACTTGCACTTCTCACCTGAGGCTTAACTCGTAAATCTGCATTCTTGCTCGACGGGTGTGACCTCACGTGTTCTTTGACTGACATTCTGTGGTGGCAGTGTGGGTACACTTGTGCTGCACAGGAAGAAGCACCTGGGTTCAATTCTGTGTGGAGTTTGGATGTTTTTCCCCATGTTTTGCATTAGTTTCCTCTGGGTTCCCTGGTTTTCTTGCATCGTAAAAGCACACACATATAGTGTAACTGGCATTGGCCTAGCATGCAAGATCAGTTCAAAGTTTACAATCCAGTGATGGTACCCGTGGTCTGGAATTGAACTCAAGGAGCCAGATTTGTAGCGAAGAAAACTAACCGCTTACCCCTTTCAAATACTTCATTATTCAGCTTGTGTGGAAATGACAGTCACAGATTGTGTGGACACAATGGTGAGAATTGTAAATGTATGTGCATGATAAATGTGTTAGAATATACTGGTCTGTACTGGAATGTGTTCATACAGTATTTACTTGAATTGGTTACCATGTACTGGTTTTAATGCAGCCATTGAGTATTGGACTGCACCGTAAACCAGCAATCAAATGTCACTGTTTACTTTTTGGAAGGTAAAAATAATAATCTATGAGTCGACTTAAAATGCTCACATTGTTATTTGGCTGTTATTTCTATTATTACAGCTGGACATTGACTTATAAGATAAACAGAATCCTATACAAGAATGTTTTACATAAATTCATGAATGACAAAACGAACAGATTTGTGCTTCCATACAAGTATATAGAATATAAATGTCGCAATGGTAATTGTCTTTGTAACGTACTGTATTACGGCTGTTTGTATGTGCCAGCGCTGCTGGGCTGTGCCTGGTCTTCAGTACTAATTAGGACTTGGCGTGTAGAGGCATTGTGGTGGCAGTGGCGATTTTTCATTGGTGCATCATCATCATCATCATTTGTTGCAATGGTTCGTGCAGGTGCGGTTTAGGGCTTTAGACCATAAACGTCTCGGAAAATCGAAGCAAGCCCTCAGGGATCCATCTTCTGCGGAGAATACTTCTGCAATAATGCCGTGGCAATTTCCCATTGGTGCATCATCATCAGGTATCGGCATCTAGTTCCATGGTTCGTGCGGATGCGATTTAGGGCTTTGGACCATACATTTCTGGGAAGATCGAAGCAAAACCCCAAGGATCCATCTTCTGCGTAGAATATTGCTGCAATAATTGAGTGGCGATTTTCATTGGTTCATCATCATCAAGTATCGGTATCTGGTGCAATGGTTCGTGCGAATGTGATTTAGGGCTTTGGGGAAAAGCAAAGTTTGTGGGTAATAATAGACATTTTCTCTACTTTTGAGGCATTAGCATTCGGAAAATAACACTTACTACCCAGGAACAATTTTTTTTAATATATATAATAATAGGGGTTTCCCCCTTTTTTCTGGCAACAAAACTGAAACCTTTTTACAAGGAATCATGTGTGCATTAACCACAATACTTGTGGTCAAAATGCAAACGAAAAACACACTGATAATATATGCATTGTCCTTGAAACTGATTGGTCAGAGTGTGTTATATGGTACTGGCAAAGGAGGTCTAATGTTGTAATATAATTTTTTTATTTAAAGCTTTCGTGACCGCAGGGATTCATCTTCTTGGTTCTTTCGGTAAAGTCACGTAGAAGGGAAATAACACAGCCCTGGTCTTCACCTGAGGACGGCTGCTTGCGTTGTGGCCGAAACGTCGTGAGAATTTTATTTTATTATGTTTTATTATTTTATTATTTCCCATCTTTCGGTAAAGTCACGTAGAAGGGAAATAATAAAATAATAATAAACATTATTTTTTATTTCCCTTGTACGTGACTTTACCGAAAGAACCAACAATATCATATTGATGTTGTTGCACAATGCCAGTGGCCAGCCCACGAGAGGGCGGTGTCTCCCAGCTCGCCCCCCACTCTCACCGCAGCCCGAGGCCACGCCCCCCACTCATTGCGGACCGAGGCCACGCCCCCCACTCTCATCGCGGCCCGAGGCCACGCCCCCACACTCTCATCGCGGACCGAGGCCACGCCCCCCCACTCATCGCGGCCCGAGGCCACGCCCCCCACACTCTCATCGCGGACCGAGGCCACGCCCCCCCACTCATCGCGGCCCGAGGCCACGCCCCCCACTCTCAACGCTGATCGAAGCCACGCCCCCCACTCTCACTGCGGCCTGAGGCCACGCCCCCACTCTCATCGCGGCCCGAGGCCACGCCCCCCATTCTCACCGCGGACTGAGGCCACGCCCCCTCTCACCGCGGACCGAGGCCACGCCCCCCCCTCTCATCGCGGCCCGAGGCCACGCCCCCTCTCACCGCGGACCGAGGCCACGCCCCCCCCTCTCATCGCGGCCCGAGGCCACGCCCCCTACACTCTCATCGCGGCCCGAGGCCACGCCCCCCCACTCGTTGCAGCCCAAGGCCACGCCCCCCCCACTCTCATCGCGGCTCGAGGCCACGCCCCCCCATTCTCACCGCGGAACGAGGCCACGCCCCCTCCACACTCCCACCGCGGACCGAGGCCACGCCCCCTCCACACTCCCACCGCGGACCGAGGCCACGCCCCCCCTCTCTCATCGCGCCCCAAGGCCACGCCCCCTCCACACTCCCACCGCGGACCGAGGCCACGCCCCCTCTACACTCCCACCGCGGACCGAGGCCACGCCCCCCCCCTCACTCATCGCGCCCCGAGGCCACGCCCCCTCCACACTCCCACCGCGGACCGAGGCCACGCCCCCTCTACACTCCCACCGCGGACCGAGGCCACGCCCCCCCTCTCTCATCGCGCCCCGAGGCCACGCCCCCTCCACACTCCCACCGCGGACTGAGGCCACGCCCCCCACTCTCACCGCGGACCGAGGCCACGCCCCCTCCAACACTCGGCGGCCGGTGCCTCGTCAACCACCGCGGGGCATCGTGGAAGTGGTTTTGGGTGGTGGTGGTGGTGATGGTGGTGACCTCTCTCCTTTCCACATCGCAGATCATTCCTCGTGTGTCGGAGTCGAACATCGAGTGGACAACAAAGACGGTGTGGACGATACTCCCCGCTGCGATGTTTTTTTCGCGGCGTTTGTGTGTTTGTGTTCGCTGCTTCTGTACGCCAAGGTTGTTGTTGTTGACCGTTGTTGTTGTTGTTTGTAACGCGAGTTTGTCGGTGTCACCGGAATCTGTTGCGGCGGCGAGGAGACGCAAGGGGAGTAGCAGTCGAGGCAGGGCGTGTGCTGTGTGTGTTACAGTGCTACAGTGTTACAGTGTGTTACAGTCTTACAGTGTGTGTGTTACAGTGTGTGTGTGTTACGGTGTGTGCTGTGTGTGTGTTACAGTGTGTGTGTGTGTTACAGTGACAGTGTTACAGTGTGTGTGTTGCAGTGAGTGTTACAGTGTGTGTGTTACAGTGACAGTGTTACAGTGTGTGTGTGTTACAGTGTTACATTGTGTGTGTTACATGTGTGTGTGTTACGGTGTGTGCTGTGTGTGTTACAGTGTGTGTGTGTTACAGTGACAGTGTTACAGTGTGTGTGTTGCAGTGACAGTGTTACAGTGTGTGTGTTACAGTGACAGTGTTACAGTATGTGTGTTGCAGTGACAGTGTTACAGTGTGTGTGTTACAGTGACAGTGTTACAGTATGTGTGTTGCAGTGACAGTGTTACAGTATGTGTGTTACAGTGACAGTGTTACAGTGTGTGTGTTGCAGTGACAGTGTTACAGTGTGTGTGTTACAGTGACAGTGTTACAGTATGTGTGTTGCAGTGACAGTGTTACAGTGTGTGTGTTACAGTGACAGTGTTACAGTGTGTGTGTTACAGTGACAGTGTTACAGTGTGTGTGTTGCAGTGAGTGTTACAGTGTGTGTGTTACAGTGACAGTGTTACAGTGTGTGTGTTGCAGTGAGTGTTACAGTGTGTGTGTTACAGTGACAGTGTTACAGTGTGTGTGTTACAGTGTTACATTGTGTGTGTTACAGTGTGTGTTAGTGTGTTACAGTGTGTGCTGTGTATGTGTTACGGTGTGTGCTGTTTGTGTGTTACAGTGTGTGTGTTACGGTGTGTGCTGTGTGTGTGTTACAGTGTGTGTGTTACAGTGTGTGCTGTGTGTGTGTTACAGTGTGTGTGTTACGGTGTGTGCTGTGTGTGTGTTACAGTGTGTGTGCTACAGTGTGTGCTGTATGTGTTACAGTGTGTGTATGTGTTACGGTGTGTGCTGTGTGTGTTACGGTGTGTGTGTGTGTTACAGTGTGCTGTGTGTGTGATGATGAAGTGGTACACGATCTGCACCTGTCCTGTGTTACAGTGTGTGCTGTGTGTGTGTTACTGTGTGTGCTGTGTGTGTGTTACGGTGTGTGCTGTGTGTGTGTTACAGTGTGTGCTGTGTGTGTGTGTTACAGTGTGTGTATGTGTTACTGTGTGTGCTGTGTGTGTGTGATGATGAAGTGGTACACGATCTGCACCTGTCCTGTGTTACAGTGTGTGCTGTGTTTGCTGTGTGTGCTGTGTGTGTTACGGTGTGTGCTGTGTGTGTGTTACAGTGTGTGCTGTGTGTGTGCTGTGTGTGTTACGGTGTGTGCTGTGTGTGTGCTACAGTGTGTGTATGTGTTACTGTGTGTGCTGTGTGTGTGTGTTACTGTGTGTGCTGTGTGTGTGATGATGAAGTGGTACACGATCTGCACCTGTCCTGTGTTACAGTGTGTGCTGTGTGTGTGTTGCGGTGTGTGCTGTATGTGTTACGGTGTGTGCTGTGTGTGTTACTGTGTGTGCTGTGTGTGTGTGATGATGACGTGGTACACGATCTGCACCTGTCCTGGAGACCAGGGTTGGTGGATCACGTCGATGTATTTTGCTTCCAGAGCCACGAGGCTGCCAGGAGGCCACAACAACAAATGGGTTCACGAACCCATCATTGCGGACTGGTTAGGACTATACACTCATCTTCGTGCTGATGAGATACTGTGCGTCGAACCCGGACCGCTTAGCATGTTTGGCGACGTACGGTGCGAAAGAAGTTCAACATACGGTCCAGGGGTTGCTGCTGAAAATATGTACTCCCAGAAGGGCATAATAACAATGTATAAAATATATACATTTATGTTTCATGTGGAAAGACAGATGTGTGGATGAGACATGTCTCTATATTTGTATATGTGCTCATCTTTTTGTTCGGGTACAATACTGTGAGTTCTTCCAACAAACTAAACTACTGTATTAAGAATTAGATGACCAAACATCCGGTGCAGAACTTTACGAAAAAAAAAGATCACGAGATCTTTTCAGCCACATACGGGACGTGCACTGCCATGGATGTTGAGGCATTTGTTTTCATGCAGAGGAGCTTCTAGTTTACTGTTGACCCTAGCCACCCCAGGAAGTATCGTGGTTATATAACCACACAGCAGGACATGCGTGATTAGAAGCATTCTCACAAAAAAACATTTCAGCTAAAAAAAGAGACCCCACAGCCGTTAAGTGAGCTTTCTTGAGCTTTTCACTTTTAATAGAGGGTCACATTTCATTTCTTGCACCAGGGCCCATGCCAAGCACACTCCTCTGTATCTCGGGATATAATTCTGAACAATTGGTAGGCTATGTAGAACTGGAATAAACTTACTCGGTGTTGGAGCAGGTACTCATAAGCAGCGGTGTATAGGTACGAAACCGAGGTTACAAAGAGATTATAGCAGAGATTGGAAAATCCTGACCTTTGCGTGCTGTGCACAGCCCGCAATTTCCTCCAAAACTCGGGCCTCTTCACGTGTAGGCATGTTCCATTACGTCCAATTTATGGACGGAATACATTCCGTGCCATTGTGTCATTCACTAACAATGGTAAGTTGGCAAGGCGATGTGTTTTGGATTTTTCATCAAGATGTGAATCATGCCCCCCCCCCCCCTCTTAGATAGCTCAGAGGGTGTGTATTGTACAGATAATTATCAATCCTAAGTTAGAATTGTTCTATCTTCTACCTGTTGTTAAATGGCAATATTTAATGCTCCAGGTTGGTGAAACTGCATACCTTATTTCATACACAACATTTATTGTATTTGCAGGCACAAGCAACATATCACGTCATAGCAAGTACATATTACCTATGATGTATGGATCCGAAATGCGGATTTTATGTTTCATTACAAATACTGAAACGGCACAGAGAAACATGGAGTGATGCACGCTTGGAAATACATGAAGAGACAGACGGAGGAGAAGAATACATGAGTTAGGGAACACACGCAGGTTGAAGACATAGTATTGACTGTTAAGAAAAATATGTGGCTAAAGGAGGTAACGGCCAGTGATTGAAAATAACGAGTGCCAGTACAAAAAAAGTGAAGATAAAGCAATGAAATCGGTTTGCGTGCAATTGCTAGGTGGATTGCTATATCGCAGGATTGTGAAAGATGGTGACGGCTTGGGGAGGCCTTCATCCAGTAATGGATTGATCATTGCTGATGATGACTCATAACTTGGGCACCCAGATGTTTTGTTTGCGTGAGCGTGGATTGCACTCTGCTGATCTCTTTGTGTGCAGTCAAGCCGCCCTCCTCACTGCTGCTGAACTTGAGACTTCCTTGAGGCCATGGCGGAAATTCTGGCCTCGTTGTTGGAGGTGGCGGAGAAAGCGGCGAACATTGCGCGTGTCTGCCGTGCCGAGGAGGCACTCTTCAGCCTCCTGGTGGAGGAGAAGACGGGCGACGACAAGAACAAGAAGTTTCTGAGCGACTTCAAGACCTTGGCCGACGTGCTCATCCAGGAGGTCATTAAGCATTATGTGGGCAAGAAGGTGAGAGCGGTTATTATCAGGATTGGAATCTTCTTTGTCATCTTCATTGGTTTTAACTTAGTTTTGGACACTGATCTACAAAGACCTTAATATACAACTTACAAATATATACATCTAATTGAGGTATTTTTTGTGTAATTAGGAAAACTGCGGTGTTATGCAATGCCTTTCCGGACTTACAGGGTCTGCAGGAGGTGTGTCCTTTCACGTGTATAAGGATTTGCGTTTATTAGGGACTTGAATGCCAAGGCATCTACAGCATTCTTACAAAAACACAAACAATGAGAAGGCAATATGACCAGGGCAACAAGGGGAAAGAAGCCACCTTTTTGTATTTTCATGTGATTGTGGATGGGCCAAACCTTTTGTAAGATTACTCGTAAATCACCATTGGAGCACGTATACCGTGTTCTCATAGCAAGAGGCAACTAGACTCATCGGCCCAGGTATGGCCCTGCATGGTTCGCATCTTGTCCCAATGCTTCATGAGTCGCATGTCTCTATGGGTTCGGTGGCTCTTCTTCTTCCGTCTCCTTTACGACTTCCCGTCCTAACCCTCCACAGCCTGAAATAGGCTAAAATAGATGTACAGTCTATTTTAACAGGGTTTAGAATATGCTCACTTGGGTTAGGCCACGGGTCGGCAACCTGCTGCTCTAGTGCCACATGCGGCTCTTTAAGGACTGCTTCCTGATGTTATTTATGAAGGACCATCTTGTATTCACATGCATTGCGGCTTTTGAAATGTTGAGTTTTTTACCGGATAACAAAAAAACCAGCTGCTCTTGTTATCATCCTTGCCGACCCCTGGGTTTAGTGAAAGCAACTTAAAATCTGTCAAACATTTCTGCTGTCTTTTTCAAAACCAAAATATGGCCTGTTAGTTGATCATTGACTGCACATCCATTTCTTGTGACATCACCACTTGTAACATCACCACTCTATTTCGAGGGTGGCCTGCGTTAAGGCCAGCAGCACACTTCTTAGATGTGAGCTGCACGGACTGGTAACAGAGAGGGTTTGGTGTCATGTCAGCCCATGTAACACTGTTGTGAGAATCCAGGCAGAGCTCCATTGTTTGGTTTATAATCCGGTCTGGCTCACTTTCCAGTGATCTTGGACACATAAACACATTCCTGCGGAGGGGGCTGGTAGGAACGTTGGGTTACTCGGTCAATGGCCAGGGTCAACGGCGGCGTGGTGTATTCCGCAAATATGCCCGACTGTGAGGGCAGGCACAAGCCGGCGTGAGTAGGTTGAACGTCGAGTTTTATAAGGGCACCACGGGGTGACCAGCCCCTCACCACCCAGCCCCACCCCTCCCACCCCCCATCCAGCCCCACCCTCCCCACCTAGCCCCTCCCCACCCTCCCCACCCAGCCCCTCCCCACCCTCCTCACCCAGCCCCACCCTCCCCACCCAGCCCCTCCCCACCCAGGCCCTCCCCACCCCACCCAGCCCCTCCCTGCACGACGGACACAAGGAGGTTACCAGTATTAGTAGTTTGTGTGTTTCAGAGCCATAGCTATCAATCTCCCTGTTTGGAACTGCTGTAATATGAAACAAATTCCCTCAAGCCCACTGTGTCCATTGTGTTTAGTTCCCAGGTCTGGCAGGGCACATTTATGGAGAAGAGAGCAACAAGTTCACTAATAGCTTGGGTAAGTTTTGCTTCGTAGTGCTTCCTGTGCTCATTGCAAATGTTGAAAGTAATTGCTTTGTTTAGCACTTGTTGTGTGTAAGCAGTTTTGTTTGGGTTCCTAATAATGTAAAAGTTATCGTGCTTGCTACACCATTCCATCCCACCCGTTGTGCGCATACCACGATTATGAATGCCAACTAACAGGATTTATCTTCACAGTGGGCATGCAACTCTTCTCCTCTACAGCGATTCATTTAATTTTGCTTCTGGGTCACGATTCGATGAAAAACAATTATGTTCCTAATTGCACAGGTTTTTTCAACTTTTTCCGCGCAGTTTTGTTTTTCCAGAATATCATTTTTCGACCTCTGTTGCCACTGAGAATAATGTTCATCGCATGACAGTCAAACCGAATTTAGTCAATTTAAGTACAGGACCAAGTGTGATGTTATGGCTGTTTTGTGCAATCATTGGTGACCGAGCTGAGACCATCAACTCATTACACTTGAGAAGCAAGTTTAATTACAGGAGGCTGCTTGGATTTTAACCCAGGATATCAGCAGTGTCATCTCAGCACATTTGAGGCACCCAGTCATCTGAAGGATAGGTTTATATCGATGCATCGTTAACATGCCTGCCCACCAGCTGTGCTGCATTAATTTTTCGAACGTACCCGCACGTGCACGCAGGTGAGACGGTATACATCGAGGTGTGCGCCACCCCCGCCGACACGGCGGAGTTGCTCACCCTCGTGCTGGATGGGAACCACCAGGCCGCTCGCCTCCTCGCCGATGCCGTGCACTCTGACTCCGGGCTGGCGCCCGATCCCCGGTTGAAGGACATCGCCGTGAAGCTGGAGCCCGAGGACCTCGGGGTGTGGGTCGACCCCATCGGTAGGTGTAGCCCATGGGAGAGGATGAGCTTACGATCAAATTGCCTCGGATGTACTCGGTCTCGGCAGATCTCAGGTTGAGCCTAGTCAGAGTCTGGACTGCAGGCTGCCTGGGAATATCAGGTGCTGTAGGCTTCGACCGTGAGGTGGCCAGGAGATGTTACTACAGCAGTGGATTGAATTGAATCTATTGGCCCCCTCCTCCTCCCGATGCGTTGCACAGTTTTGGCCCCGCCCCCCCCTCCCCCTCCCGATGCGTTGTATGTTGGCACTCCGTGCCGTCTTTGAGCCCCGCCCCCCCCTCCCTCCCGATACGTTCCATTCATTGGCTACCACATTCTGATTAGCTCCCCCCCCCCCTCTCCTCCCCCTCAACTTGCTTGTTAAGGGATTACATCTTGAATCATTGCCTCACTTGATGCAGCTAATCCGGCTGTGACGGTCCCACCTGATGACGGAGACTTGTGTTGCCTCCGAAACGTCGTGATTTTTGTTTTATTTTATTTTTATTAATTTTGATGTTTTACCTACGTGACTTTACCGAAAAAACCTAAGAATATGAAAACTGATGATGATTGCTTGTGTTGTATTCGAAACGTCATGAGAATTTTATTGTTTTTTTATTTTATTGTTTCCCTTATACGTGACTTTACCGAAAGAACCAAGAATACAAAAAGGTAGCTTAAGTGGTAGGCTTTTTATTTTTTGATTGCCAAAATAAAAACACATTTAGCTGTTAGCAGAAATACAATCGTAAAATTTGCCTTTAGTTTAGCAGTTAAATGTGAATGGTGGAGTGCCCACTTTTACATACATTTGACTGAAAAAGATTTCCCAATGCAAATTACTTTTGCTTTGACATCTTTTAATATAATATTTAGAATTTATGAATTCCAATTAACCTGTCCTCTATATTATTTATGAGTACTGCAGAGCATCTGGTTCTGTTTTTTTACCCCATTTAATTGCCTTAACTACCTGGGCTGCACAATGTTTTCCTCAAACTTCAATTCACTAAGAGTTGTGTGGTTTATAATTGCACCGGGCAAAGTGCACAGCACTTGCTTGTGTATACAGTCCACAGCCTCGGCCTACAGTATTCTTATCATGAGGAAGTTTTTTTGTTTACTGAAGCATAAAGTTAATAAAAACCAGTATTCATCCACATACCATTTAAGTCGACTTACTTACGAACATCACAAAACTGCGAAACTCCTGTGGTCCAATTGAGGTATTGGGAAATATGTCGCTTTGCGTACAGTTTTTGGTAAAAAAAAATGTGTTGACGTTTCTACTCATAACAAAGAAGCAAATTTGGCCCGAGAACATGTATTTCTCTTGGTTCGCCAAGATGTGATGTGAATATGACCACCTAAGGTATCAAAACGTCAGTCCTAACAATGTATTTATATGGTAAATAAGAGTGGATTATTTCATAACCCACTTGTTTAAGATAGTTATATAATTTACTATTATTGGCCACGTGAAGAAATTAAAACCGCTAAAGTGATGCAACGTAATGTGGGACTGGCAAGTGAAATATCTGGTCTGGGTCGATGTTCTAATAGTCCTCACACCTGATAAATGCCCATGTCCTATATGATAGAAAACCACTCTCATCGGTGGAGCCTCCACTTAAACTCGGGCACTTGACCCCTCCCTCAACATTTGTTTTAACCTAGGCACTGCCTCTTCTGAAATTAAGGACTGCCAATGCCCTTTTTTGGCTATTCCCTTATTCCTCCCCTAATGGAAAAAAGCATCTCTAGGCCAACAATGCAAGAAGAATGCTTATCAGGGGGTAATGTGGCCCTATAGCAAAGCGCCATAGAACTTAAGAGTGGGCCGTAATGCAGTCAGCATATGAATTGAATTAGAATCTTCATTTATCCTGGAGGCACTGCTATTGATGAATCAGCAGTAGACTACGCAGGTTTGAGTGATGGATCGTGAGGTACGAAATCTCCATCTGCGTTATGCAATCACCTGTCCTGCAGCTGGATACCTGCATGAATATCAAGTAGCGATGTGGTCGGTCCCAGACATCTCGGTGACTGCAACTACCCCGATGCAAACATCTGCTCTCAACCTGTGCCTTCCACCCCAGAATGATTTATTTTCGCTTCCTCTGCATGTGATATAAAGTAAATTAACAGGCTAAGGGGATTGTTTAATCACTTTAATGAAATAACAATTTAATTCGTCCACTGCTGTGCTTTGTAGATAGATAATTGTATTTCAATAGAATGTCTTCACAATGTTAAACATGGATCAGTTTAAACTTCACAATTTCCAATAAAAACCATAATCCACTGTGTAATTTTGGGCATGCCTGGTAAATGATATATCTCCCAAGTGTGCTAAATGCAAAATAATTTCAATTTGAGTATAAGAACCAAATATATTTTAAAAAATAAAAACACAGTTTTAGTCACTTGCTTTCTTCTTGCTCTGTTTTGACATGTCGTAAGAAAACGCATTATTCACTGTGCCTGTATAGCCTAGAGAGCCTGCTGTTTTGCCAACTGTGTGCCTAGGGACGTCATGGGAAATGAGACGTCGGTTTCCATTGAAGCACGCGTGTACGCCTACAATTTCTGCAGTGGCAGTTCAGAGTACAGCTGTCTTTACAAACAGCACTGTATCCCCAACCCTTAGCTGACCCATTTTTTCCACACACAAGTTATGCTGTGCCCATTAATACGCACCCATGTTTGTGCTGCCCTACGAGCCCCGAAGCCAAATAACTCTGAATATACCCAACCTCATCGGATCTCGGAAGCAAAGCGGAGTTAAGCCTGGTTAGTACTTGGATGGGAGACCACCAGAGAATAGCTTGTGTCGTGGTGTTCGTGTGCCTGTGAAGTGTGGAGCGGGAGCGCGCTGCGCTACGAACCTGGCGACCCGGGTTCGATTCCCGCTCATGGCCAACACCCAGTGACGATTACTTGAACCGGTCCTGGGCCTCCCTCAGGTCGACTCAGCCTCAAATGAGTAACTGGTGCGATGTGTAAACATTGCCACTAGGGAGACAAAGGCGGTCAGGCGTGGCGTTGGCCACCCACCCCCTTGTGTGCTGTGCCGGCCTTCATAGGTGCTCGCTAACAGCCATTGCCCATACAGTCTGTTACAGGCTATACGGGGATCTGTCTTTTTGTGCATGTCAGGTAGCCAGGATAAGGCAGGATAGTAATGGATTGAATCTCTCTGTGTGAAGGTTTGAGTGTTCTGTCCCATATGCACAGTTTCCTGGGTATGCCCGTTCTCTTGGCTACGTACGGTGCGAAAAATAAATTCAAAATACATCTGTACGCGAATGATATTGGCTAAACATCCCTTAATGTGGAGCCCTCCAGAGTCCTGACACTGTAAGTCTTTCCTGGGTAAATAGATAAATGGTGTTTACAAGTAAAGAAAACATTTGTTCAATGCAGTAACAGGCATAATTTCGGTCAAATGTGGCAATCAGAATACAATACTTTATATGCAGATACTTTAAAATTATACTTTTAAATCTTAATTTTGGAGCTTTCGTGACTGCAGGAATTATTCTTTGGTTTTTTCGGTAAAGTCACGTATAAAAATAAATTTAATTTATTATTTTATTTTTATACGTGACTTTACCGAAAAAACCAAAGTATACTTTTAAAGCTTCATTAGAAAGTCAGACTTGCTAACTTGATACCACTTAGCTTCTCTGGCAAATTATTTTTGTGGGAACATTAAGTACAATATTTACAGGGTGTCCCCAATGTAGTGTTATCCCCATCATATAACTTTTACAGGATATGATTATAACTGACAGATAACATGATAGAATGTTGCTCTGATATTAAAACACATTATTGCGGGGGACGTACATTTTACACTGAATTCATAGCATGCATGTTTAACCATGCAACGTCTCGTCCATTAGGTCAGTGTTTGTCATTCTCATGACAAAGGATAATCTTACACCATATTCTATATCACATTTTACTTTTATCTACCATTATACTACCTGTTACAAGCGTAACAAACAAGCACAGGTAAACCAAACACAAACTTGGTAATATTGCGGTAACATGACCATTGTCTGCACACTTGTGTAGTTGTAAGCAGCACGCAGACCCTAAACAAGACTTTGATTTATCTATAGAAGGGGTGTGGAACCTATGAGCCAAATCCAGGTCACGACTTCAATTTATGTAGCCCAAGGCCACATGAAGCCTACCACTTCGAAACAACCCGTAATCGATGTTTATTTGCCACTGCAAGCGTCTTACTGTCTTTTCGACCGAGCAACATTGGTTTTAAACTTCATGCCACTTCGTCAGCGGTTATCTTTTAAGTAGGTCTGAGCACGCAGTTGATGCATACAGACCTCGGATGATCAACGTTTACTTTCAACTGATATGTGGCCCCCCAAAGCTATTTGAAAGTCCAATTCAGGAATGAAAATGTTCCACACCCATGCAGAGCAGCAACAACTACAATTTCACATTCAGGTGGTAAAGCCAGATAACCGCGTCAGGAGCAGCAGAATGTATTGTTGTAATGTCTCCTTCGTATTTATGGATCGGGCATTGCGTCATTATATGTTATATGGTCTATTCTGGATGACCACCGTTACACTGAAGAGTTTTAAAATTTCCATTTGTTCATCAGATATCTGCATCTGCCATGGTTTGTGCGTATGCGGTTTTGGGTGTACGATGAGCTCCGTGGAAGATCAAACCCAGGGATTTTCTGTTTTGGGTCTTTCACACCCATGATCTATAGCTACAATTCATAGCTGTAAATATTTTCACGAACATGTTTTCTCCTGGGGACGTATGTGCACGCGTGCTTGACTAGACTCGACGAACCAGTACATCGAGGGTGCGTCGGATGACAAGGGCAGAGGCGGGGTGTTTGAGCACGGTCTGCAGTGCGTCACCGTTCTCGTTGGGGCGTACGGGAGGCACGACGGCCTGCCCATTATGGGCGTTGTCAACCAGCCCTTCGTCAGGAGGGACCCGCACACTGGCAGGTGAGGGCACACTCTCTCTCGGCGCACGTAGGCCTCGCCAATTGGTTCTTCGAAACCTCTCACTCGTGCTGTGTGTTTGGGATGTATTGTGAGAAGGGCGGATGTGTTAGGAAATGTGGGGGGTTTTACAGGTCGATGTGTTTCAGTGAAAGATGACGTATCATGTGTTTATTTTATTGTGGTGACAATAACCAGTGCACACACATGCCATTCCATGAGTTCCAGGTGACATTTGCCACTGAATTGTTTTGCTCTTGGGAATTATATTACTGTAGTCTCTGGATTACCACATGATCCAGAGAGTTAAGACACTTGCCAAAATCGTACATGGTGTCAAAAAATCTATACAAATATGGTCACATACAACTACCGGATTATAAGATGGTAGGTATGTATACGTCTCATAGTCGCAGAATTATTGTAAGAATAATAATCATGCTCTTTACAAAAAAATGAGGATTCTGCACTGAAATGTTTGACCAATTCTCTTCATGACTTTTTGGAATGTGGGAGATAATTGGAGTATTCACCAAGCAAACGAGGAGGTAACACTCTCCACAGATATATTCAGCAATCTATTGCTCTACTGCCATGTCCTGGCTACCTTACAGCCCAAGCCAAAACCACATGTTGTGGCAATACAAGGCACAAGCCTGCTTGGCTTGTGGGAATCTGATGATTTTTTAAAATTAATTTATAAAACATAGAATGATGTAAAGAGGGACATTGACTCTTAGCACACAGTACTCTAAAATTCAGGGCACATTGCAGGTTCTAAATGGTTTGTCAAGGAGTGTATATATATATATACACCTTAATTCATTGTGTGCACTTGAAACTGGTCAGAGGTGGTCTCTATAAATAATGCTGTTCATGTACTGCATGCCTTACTTGCATGAAGCAGCAACATTTTTCTGGATCTTAAATTATGGGAAACTACAGCAGTGTCAATCGTGACTGATGCTTCATTCACAAAGTATTTGTGCATTGAAATAATTGAAGTCTACAGAGTTGGCAGTAATAGATTATAAATGTGTAAAAATTTACACATTTTATTTGAATATAGTAAGTGCAGTGCACCACACTTTAACAGCAATGATCAAACCACTGCTGGATGAAGGTCTCACCAAGCCATTACCAGTCCATCTATTTCTTGAGCAAGAGCCGATTTGATAGCTCCGTCTCCATGGTGTGCGTGTTATCAAGTTCAGTTTTCAAAAATACTCCGGTCTGTTCTTGTCTGCCTCTTTATTACATCAAATAGATTCCGATCTGATAATAAAAGAACAGCAGAATGTACATATATAATATACATTATGTATGTTGAATAACTGTGAATAAGCCAATCAATAATAGATATCCATTGTAATTTATATGAATACATTAACTCACTCCCCCTCTTATCTTTGCACTTGATTTGCTCACAAGTGATGACATCACATTTATCTCTTTATTGACGACCGAAACAGGAGGATCTCTCCACAATTCTGGCTGTCGCTTCATGAGGCTGGTTGCAATTACTGGCGAAACGTCGTACTCGAATTGTAAATGTTGTGGATTTACTCTCCAACACACCGGTGAACCTTACTAATTGGCTGTCGGGTGGTGGCGGGTTTAACGACACATTTATAATTACGCTTTCTAATCCAAAAAAACCTAGATTATAGGTACTCTGATATGTTTTCCAGTTGTCTTTCCCAACCCATATCTACAAATGTTTAGCCAACTTAGTTGTACGTGACTTTTGTTTTGCTCTAATTTATCTTGAGCCCAACGTTGCAACTTTTTTTAATCGGTTCTGCGATCATTTCCTGTAGTTCATATTTAAATGTTATTATGACAAACACCACCCCCAAACCCTCTCGGTTCTCACCCGGGCTCAGTGATTTGTTGTTTGGTTCTGTGTGCCCTGAAGATGAAGCAAGCTTAAGTGTGCTGGAGAGTGACAAAGCTTGGGAAGCACTGCTCTAGAGACTCTCGGGAACTCTCTCTAGTGGAGGCCCTGCCAACCAACAGTGCTTTGAGCAAATACTTGCAGTGCTGCACCCGTCACCTTTTACACCATTGACTAATATCAAATATTAAACTGCTGTTCTCTTGTTATTGTGGTGTCGCTGCAAGGTGGTCAGGCAAAGGCTTCTGGGGCCTGTGTTACGACGGGGTACGCGTGAGCTCCATCCAAGGCCCTCCCCACTCGGTGGACCTCTCCGTGGTGATGAGCGGCAGCGAGGGCGAGCACGTCAGGTTAGCGATGGGGAAGCTGTGCGGTGGCGATAGCGAACGTGTCCGGCTGGTGGCCGGTGCTGGCTACAAGGCGCTGTGCGTGGCCGAGGGCTTCGTCTCGGCTTACGTGTGCACCAAGCCCAAGACCACGTATGCCTGGGACAGCTGCGCCCCCCACGCGGTCCTGCGATCCCTGGGGGGCGGCGTGGCCAACCTGCGGCGTTGCATGGCGTCGTTCCGGCAGGGCGTCGCTGAGAGAGGCGAAGAAGGGAAGGAACCCCCGCAGCTTGTCTACCACCAGCCCTTCCCGAACGGTAAAGGGGCTGAGATGTGGGCCAATATGGATGGATTTGTGGCCTACCGGTCACCAGCTGTGCTGCAGGCGGCATTGTTGGCCTTGGCCGAGTGCGAGCGAACCTGAGCACTCGCCTTGCAATTGTTCCCCTCTGGTACTGTAGTGTGGCGTGTCGACTTTTTTCCGTAACAATGCCTCCATCAGCTACGGTTTATTGCCGTTTTCTACATGAAACAATTCTGTTGCTTGGGTCATGTTCTATTGGGTGCTAGAGCTAAGTATGACCTTTGAGCTTGGAAACTTTGACTGAACTTTGTCCTTGTTAGTGTATTTTTCACGTACATAACTGTTCTTTTTGATTAGGAAAGAAAGTTACTTGTTTAATTGGAAAAAAGTTATATTCTTCTCATAAGCTGATTTGTAATATCTGTCAGTACTGAAAAATTTTTGCAAAATTTAAAAGGGTTGGCTTAGGTGGTTTAGGCACACGCCTGTAATCCTGCACGATGGGAGCAAGAGTATGTGGTTCACATATTTATTTTAAACTCCAAAACCAACAAGGTTACGAGGTGGCTAGATGGTAGCACAGAAAGTGGATTAAAGAGGCCCACCTGTGCAGATCCTGGTATGCTTTGTGAGGTATCACCATGCACTCTAGTTTTCCTCCCATATGTAGCAAAACACTACTTAAAAATGAATTTTCTGAACATCCCAATGCAGGACCTTCCTAAAAAGTCTTTCGAATACTAAACAGGTTCTACTTTGAACATGAGGCGGTATGACCACAACCACTGCATTGCGATGTCATTCGGAGCACAGTATTAGTATGGCTGAGCTCAGACTGTATGGACCGCATGAAGAAGTGGTCTCTTCATTGAAGGGCCTCCTGTAAAAAAAGCAATATGTACAGCCCTAGATTTGAAGCTTTCGTGACTGCAAGGATTCATATTCTTAGGTTTTTTCGGTAAAGTCACGTAGGTAAAACATTAACATTAATAAAAGTAAAATAAAATAAAAATCACGACGTTTCGGAGGCAACACAAGCTTCCGTCTTCAGGTGGAACCGTCACAGCCACGACAGCTGTATCAAGTAAATGAGAGATTGCGGGAGCTACCACTCCGTTTATATAATGTCACAGCCACGACAGCTGTATCAAGTAAATGAGAGGTTGCAGGAGCTACCACTCCGTTTATATAATGTTTATATAATTATATAAACGGAGTGGTAGCTCCTGCAATCTCTCATTTACTTGATACAGCTGTCGTGGCTGTGACGGTTCCACCTGAAGACGGAAGCTTGTGTTGCCTCCGAAACGTGATTTTTATTTTATTTTACTTTTATTAATTTTAATGTTTTACCTACGTGACTTTACCGAAAAAAACCTAAGAATATGTACAGCCCTTTGTCAATCCACTCCTGGATGATGGCCTCCCCAAACCTGTGCTGGTCATGAAGCTTATTTGACCATATTTCACCATCTTGGTCAGTGGATTGAAGGCATGGAAAATAGATGTGGAAGCATATAAAGTAATGTGCAACAATGGAGGTTCCTGCACTGCCTACCATGCAGCGCCCCGGCCTATAATACCTGTTATGCACGGTGGTCGCTCATCCAAAAACTATCCAGGCTCAAGCTTGCTTAGCTCCGAGACGTAATGAGGTGCATTCTGGGTGACATAATGTGTAAAAAGTCTCATGTATTCAAATAGAAATTGTATGGTGACTTCGATGTTCTCCATTACACGATATTGATATTTGAATGTGGTCATTTTTTGCCTATTACATTAGCACATTTGTTTGCATACAATACATGCAAATGCAGTTAAATGTACATATTCAGGAACACACTCGGGTGATGTTGTATGGAACTGGGGGTGAGTGTTGAGGATACGCTTACTAAAGATGTGACAGTGACCGATTATTGGACTATTTTTAGAACCTCGTAATTTTCCCCTAAATATCAAAATACTATCTGTATAAATAAAAGGGGTGACTGCATTTTAAGAAAAGTTATTTAATGAAAAATAAGGTGCAAGTCTATTCTATTCTACATTGTGTATTGTATAACATTTTATTATTCACTAGCTTTACCACCCGGCTTCGCCCGAGAATTGGATTCTTGTCTTGGATTAATACACGGCCTACATGGAGGGTAGGGGGGGAATGCATGACGTCAGCAGGCATACTGCGTGACGCTTCTGCATGCGGGTGACATCACAGATGTGACGTCACCGCTCACTTTCCGTGCAAAATATATCCATTATTGCACTCCATCCCCCCCCCCCCCAAATACAAAAGTCTATTTTTTTTATACTTTTTGCATTGTGTACAGTCTGGAATCTACCAACATGCCAAATTTCAAGTTTGTTGCATGTTGGAAAGTATGCTAAACATTTTGAACACACATTCACAAATTTCACTTATATATATAGATGGTCCATGGTCGGTCCTCTTCTGGGTGAAGGCCTCCCCACACCGTCTAAGTCATAGACGATGTCTGACCATATATTTCACCACACTAGTCGGTGAGAGTTGGGGATGGAGGGTCCAAGACTGATTCAGATACCATACGCCACTCGTGTGCTCGCTGTGGCGAGTTATCAAAATCTAGTCGCGTGGTTCATGGGTCAATGTTGTGCCACTGCTCCACCTCATATACAGTCATTGACTAAATGCATATATAAAGCAGCTAAAGTTATATATGTGTATCTGTTCTCTTATCAAAAGGGGTAGTCCCATTATCGTCAATTCTCGAGTGCTTTCATGTCTCAATTCTTTGAGGTTTATCACAGCACGGGTACTATCCAGTGCTTTTTTAATATATGTATTTTATATTAATACTCCATATAACTACTGCTGTAGACTACACTGAGTTTGACAAATATTGGTATATAACATGACTGAATGTAAATAGCCAAGTTTATAATTTCCTCTCCTGTTGAGATATTTATGTTCGGGTTAATGAGCCTTTTTTTATTAACTCGTTAAGTGCGTGCACACAAGGTAGACATTGCACATAAAGCCTTGGCAAGGTTTTTAAGCCCAACGTATTACCCCTAATTCCGTTTTACATATTTGTGCTTTCATGGGTGGGGAAAATAGACCAGAATGCAGTACTTGTGGAAATGTATATTTAACTTCTTTCGCACCGTACTTGACCAACCATGTTAATCGGCAGTGCATTGATTACCTGTTTTAACCTGGAGTCCAGGGTAATTAAAGATAATGAATGGCTACTTGTGACACTTTAATGCAAAATTCACTTGAGCGTTCCTTTTAACAGCTATTCCTTACGTGATAAACACTGAATGTAATGTGCCTCTGTCGTTAATCACTCAGGCATGTGAAAACCATACATGCCTTATTTTTTTTAAGTCATGGATTTGGACTTGTATTGCTTTTTTCTCACATTCGACAATTATGGGTTACGGTCTTGTCAAACAATGCATGCAGAAAGTTGCATATACTGTACTTGGCATAATCATAACGAGTTGAGACAAATGGAAGGCACCGTAATGCTTCCTTTTGGGGAGGCAAGGCTTGGGTAAGGACGAGGAATTCCAAAGGAGCTGCCTGACTGAAGAATTCCAGCTGAGCTTGCCTGGCGGCTACATGAGTTCCAACCTCCCTCTTTGTCCAACTCTTGCCTCTCCTACTCTCTTACCTCCACCTGTGTGGCAGCACACACAAAACAACTCGCATATTTACTATGACGATGCAGTAACATGACATTTTAATATGTTGACTGGTTTTCAGAGATATGTGTCGCTGTTTAAATAATTTTTTGGACAAGGCATATTCTATCTGTTCGTGATTTTTTTTGTCAATTGCAGTCGCAGTACAGAAGCCATTTAGCACCATTTCTTTCAGTGTTTCGTAACCTGCGATTCACAAGGCTTGTGGGAAGTGGTCTGCGGAATTGTAGATTTTTTTTTCACAAAACCAAATGTAGATTTCCTATTGTACAACTTCGCTGTTATATAAAAAATAAATCAAACCCATTGTTTTCATTAATATTTAAGTGATTTAGGCAGTTTAAATTTCGAAAAACATTTTACTGGTGCACAGTGACCCACACAAAATGTGTTAAGCTTGAGAGTGTTGCGCAGGTCGAGAAAGATTGGGGACCAATGCTTTTAGGCATCTGAATGTCAGTGAACTCCAAGGCAGGCTCATCAGCTGAAACACTGTTCAACTTGTATGCTTGTATGGTTTGTTTGTAATGGGATTTTATTTACATGTTTGTAAAATTTTGTATAATGGAAATACAATTTTATATACCAATGCATAATCACGAATGTATGTATCATGACTCACATTGTGAATAATAAAATACTCAACATATCCTCTTCGCATTCCTTATTTGGTTAATTTTGCTTCGTGACTTTATCACCGTAAATTTCTATGTCATCACAAATTTCAGCAGGTGTCTACGTGAAGATTTAACAAAATCAACGAGTCTGATATAAGTGCAAACAAATAAGCTTTTAATGTCTAAGAGCACAGTGTATTCTTAATAAGCATATGAGAAAAGGCAAAGTTGCTGTAAAGTTCTGCATATAACTCACAATATATTTTAAAAGTGCTCGCTCTTTAAACTAACAGTAAAGTGCAAACAAACGCACATTATCAGTGCCTACTTGATACAGTGGCTCTCCCAAATGACCTGTGAGCCACTTAGGTAGGCAACAATAGTGGTGACTGCGACTGCGAAACAACAAGCGTGAGGTTTTGAGCACGGGTCAGGACGAACAAGAACTGAGTAACATGGCTGAAAGTTGAACTACAAGATTTGAGTGGATTTAACGCAATTAATGCTGTTAGTGCGTTTAATATCACCACTTCTGAGAAAGAATGGGCATTTCCAATGCATTGCTGCTAAGCATATGTAACGATTGATCACCCAAGCAATGGCATTGTTACGATTTGGGCCCTTGAATCCCATTAAAAAATAAATTATTTTGTAGTATGTATTGTTTCTCAACTTTAAATTTGCACACTTTTATTCGCGCCATCAGCATTAATGTAACAGTTGCATATCGTTCTCATAAATATGAATCGATTCTCCCCTGCACGATTTTGAATTTGACGCAGGTATTGTGAGCGAAAGAAACAACTTGCAATTAAAGCATCTGTAGCGTGCCTAATTGCTGCCATGCTCCGACACGTGTTACCAACGTTTCACACCACCCTGGCCCGAAGCGTGCGCACGAGTTATTTTGTATCACAGAGCAGCGCCACCCCACGCAGGGTCCAGTGGTCGGGGTTCTGGGTGGTCTTGAGCAGCAACGGGAATATGTACGTGAGGTCCGTCCGACGCGGCTTCTTGTACACGGGGCACGAGTACGGCACCGCCGCCTGCTGCTGCTGTACCGCCACTGCCTTCCCCCCCTTGGCGTCAGCCGCGGGAGCCGTGTTGATGGCGTAAATATGAACCACAGGCAGCTGCGTGAAGAGGACCTACGTGAAATGAATATGGTAATTAATGCCTGCGAGTGGGAACGCAGTTAATAGCGGGATGGTGTTACCGAATTGCACACACTGGCTTCCTTGAGTTTGCGGTAAATGAGAAATTTACAGTACCGTCAAGTGCACAGTAAGTCGTGTTATGTGCATAAAATTTGGGACAAGAGTCGCATGTATTTGTGGCGGGCTGTTACATTCATCTTACAGTATTTGCTAAACTCCACACTTAAACTAAGCCAGGTTTTGCAGTGTTCCTGTCCTTCAACAATCATTTCCACAATTACTTGTAAATCAGAATAAACACAACCCATGTAAATTGGCAGGCACTAAAGCTTGTCAAGTGGGTACAAAAGCTGACATGCAGGGATTTTTAGCTTAAAAAATTCTGCAGACTAAAATATGAAACAAATCTAAAGCTTCTGTGATCTCCATTCATGCTTTTAGATGCCACCAGTGTGGCATGCATACCATCACAATAGAGGATATTACAAATTCATAAATAACAAAAAGATATGTATATTAAGTGGATAGTTGCCTTTTTGCAATGATTTGTAAATAAACCTACAGTTACATAATCTGTACAGTATTGATTTATTTCAATAATGTTTATAATAATAGCTCATTTTAAAAATGTAAAAACATTTCCTTGCATTTATAAGTCGCTTAAATGCCTCGGCAACTAAAAGAATGATGCTATGTATTCTAATTAAGTAATTTGCAGGTCATTTTTCAGATATGGCACATTTCGACCATGGTTAAAATACCCGCAAAGATTAACCAGGGTGGCCTGCTGGCTTCGAATCACAAGCCTTTGTCACAATTGGTGATCGTGGTACCGCTGGGCCATGTCGCCACCCCCGTATAATGTTGTACGTAATCATTTATTGTAAACCCTATAGCTGCTTCAGATTATAATCGCAACCCCAAATTGCAACAATTGAATGGCGAGGGGGTGAATTGTTTTCTGCCAAGTAACGACAGAGTAGCCATGTTAACAACCACATAATATTTTTTTATCGTTAATGGAAAGGGCTTTTCACCTTTGGCAGGGCCTCGGCCAGATTGCCGCTGCGCCGGTCCCAGCCGGCACCGTCCAGGAAGAGGCCGTAGACGAAGACCCCGCCGATGTCGGTGGGCGGCGAGCCCGTCACATCCTCGCGCATCATGCGCGTCACATCGTTGTGCAGCGTCACAGCGTCCAGGGCCCAGCCGCGGCTCACGTTCTGCCGCGTCGTCTCCTGCCTCATGGCTGTCAGGAATCCCTGGGCGCGCGCAATAATCACCTCGCTGGGTTAACGGATGCTCCGCTGGGTTAACGGAATCCTCCGCCGCGGAGATGGAGCATTGAGATCAATTAATGTGCACAGGTGAAATGGATGGTAGCAGCACTGGACTGCAAGGGGTGGCAACGGCATGGGAGAAAAGCCTTCATCCAGCAGTGGATACATAATGTGTGATGATGCCCATACCATCTACGCGCATTTTTTTCATGTATTTTTTCTGTAAATTATTGGTAATCATTGCCAATCATTATGTATTGAGCCATGTAATTGCAGTGATATTGTTTATTGCAGGTGGACCAAAAATGATTGTCATATGATGCTATTTAGTAAATTGGTCATAAAAATTCTGCACTGACTCAAAAAGTACACGATATAATTATAAATCAAATGGAATTTACATAGCATTTAAATACGATCTCAAGACATGCAAGCAAGCAGTGTCACACGGTCATCCTGGGTAAAGGAGCCATTTGATATAAAGAGAAAACAACTGTCAGGGGCAGAGGAGAAGAGGATGATCGTGAACCTGGATTTAAACAGGGACGGAAAATCAACAGCAGAGATGGTCATGGGGAGGGAATTTCAGACCACTGGTGTAGCAGAGGAGCATCATTACAGATTGAAGATTGATTGAAGGAACTAGCATCAAGGCTTTCAACTCCTATGAAACTATAATGACTGATTTTTCGGCACACAGTTTAAAGAATATAGTGAGCGTAAGTATACATTTTCCATTGATGTATTGCTCTATGCCTAATAATTACATACTTCAAAAAATGCAATCAACCTGACTGACCATTCCATCTACAAATGATCATAATAAAAAATACATAATTAAATTGGTAAAAAAAGAAACGGCTTATGCATCCCATATCGTGGGATGATCTAAAATTGTTTAATTTTACAGTGCACCTATCAGCACTTTATTCTCTCTGACGGACAAATCGGCATACTTGCATGCATTACCCCCGCCACGTGGCGGCTTCCACTAAGCCCCGCTCGCGCTCAGCAGTGTGCACAGAGATGCCTCAGCCATCACCTGAGGGTTGAAGAAGCCGGTCATCCAGAACTGGTGCGGCCGACCCTGGAAGAGCCAGGTGTTGAACTGCGAGTTTCGCTCGAGGAGGTCAGTGAACCAGAATCCGAGCGTGGCCGAGTCCCACGAGATCTTCTGCCACAGAGCCGGGATGCGCGCGTTGTACATGTTGTCCAGAGCGTCTCGCAGGTCCTCCGACATGATGATGGTGCCTGTTTGCAGGATGCATTAAAAAAAATAAACGAGCACATGAGTTGGATTTAAATCCAATTAGATGCAGGTGGCTCAAAGATTCATATTCACGATTTTTTAAAAATTTAATTAATTTGTATATTCACAGTACGTTTTGCCGGAAGCTATGAGTGTGTGTCACAGTCAAAGTCAACAGGAGGAAAGAGCTCGGAGGTTCGGAGGTTCTTTCTTTTATTGTCTCGGCACTTTGGAGCAATTTCCTGGTTGCAAAGAAGGGCAGTGTACATATTTTCAGTTTCATCACAACAGCACCAATGACCAATGTGCCCGATTTTGTCAGAGTTTGAAAGCTCAGGAGGATGGATCCTGGATAGTGCCTGGATGGGCTATCAATAGGGACATCAGATTGCTGTAGGCTACTATCGGCAGATTTGGTGGACACCAGACAGAAATGCTGCAAAATACATTGTTGTACTGTACTTTCGTCGATATTCCGTGCATTCACCAACTCGCGCTGTCCAGCACCGTGAAGTATGGTCAAATAATCACGACTCACATTGTGTGGGGAGACGCTCGTGCAGCATAGCCAGCATTGGATCGACAAGGAGGGATCTACAGGTACATCGTATCAGTGGCTCCAGTGTGGGATGGGTACTGCGGCTTGGCACACGGTGTACCGTCGATGGCCAGCTTGAGGTCGACGAGCGTGGTTCGCACGCGGCTGATGACACGCTGCATGCGGTCCAGCTCCTGCCGCAGAAAGATGTTCATGGGCTGGAAGATTCCCATTTTCTGCAGCCGGGATTTAACCTGTACAGCAACGCAAATACACAAGGGCAATGGGTACCTCTTAGCGGGGATGGGCCGTTTGGGTCGGTGTTCTGGGTAATGATTTGTAACTTTAATCCTAACCCATATATCGATAGTTAAATTTGAATGCGCAATTTTATTCAGGGACTGTGTTGCTTTGGTATGGTCTGGGACTGTTTTTGCTATTGTTTTGGTGCCTTGCTCAAGCTTGATAATTGATGTACTTATGCAATTTGAACTCATATACTTTATGCATTTTTTGTGATTTGCTTACCTTTCCTATACTTGTATTGTTTGTTGATGTAACTTTATGACCTGCTCCTACTGGACATCTATTTAAAAAAAAGAGCTTCATAGCTCATCGGATTTCTCCAGGATAAATAAAGATTCTGATTGTGCTGAGGGGGAGGGCACGGAACTCATCAATAAGTCTAAAGGTGTGAACGTCACTTTTGATTGAAACGGATTACATACAGATTTTATGAATTCTTGCATACATATCCCAATCTTATAATTGGATTTTACCGACTACTAAAACAACATACAAAATTCTTGTCTGGTAATTTTTCATACGACCGCAGTTTTTCTGCACTGCCTGCAACACTCAGGCCTCCACAGTGCGGCTGAGAGCCGTTCGTTGGGCGTGCCCACACGAGCGGCGTACCTCGTGGGGGATGTATCCCGGCGGAAGCTTCTCCAGCATCTCGTCGGCAAGTCGGCGCACCACGCTCTCGCGGGTCTCCCCGGCTCCACCGCCACTGTCCTTGGGCTGGATGTTGACGATCTCGCTCAGCACCTCATTGGCCATGTTGGTCTGGTAGGTGATGTCGGCATTGGGGTGCAGGCCAAACACCTGGTACGGAGGAAAACACGGGGTGGAGGCACGGGTTAGGTGCTGGCTTTCAAACCGCGTTGTGTTGCGTGCACGGCTTTACAGAGTGGGTAATGAACCTATGGCCCACCGGTCGCATGTAGCCCACGACATTATTTCGTACAGACTGCGGCCACGTGAGGTTGATCACTTTTAAACGGTCCTCAATCGATATTTAACCGTCACTGCGAGTACTTTCAGCGCCAAGCCGAGCTCACCTCAGGCGAGTCGACGAGGGGCAGGGCCTCGATGGCCGCCATGAAGTCGGCGACGGTACGGCCGCGCGGGACGCTGTAGCCACGGAAGAAGCAGAACGAGTCGGCGAAGGTGGACTCCCCGAACCATACGCGCGAGAACGTGTTGAGCAGCTGCTTGTCGAGGTCGTCGGTGACGCGGCCGCCGTACTGCACCTCGCCCAGCATGTAGCGCACGCAGCTCCAGTTCACCCCGCGCCGCTGGTCCAGGTCGTCCAGGTGGTTCTGCACAAACTGCACACTCGCCGTGAAGTCCGCCTGATTGAACTCGTACGGGATGTTCCAACCCAGCGGCCCGAACTTGCGCCTCTCCTGGTGATAGCAACAGAGATGTCGAGAGAGAACAACGTTCATGATCATCAATGTGTATGATATAAGATGTGGAAAGCCAAGCAGGTTTAAGCCTGGATAGTGCATGGATGTGTGACTACAATGCATACAACTTGTGTTGCAGGCTGCTGCGCTGCTACGTTGGCAGCAAGAGGCAATGCAGAACAAGCCATTGTTGTACTGTATTATGCTCCAAAGTTTTTGCTTCCCACCTTTGCCATCCGGCATTAGCTAGTAGCTAGTGTGGGGAAGTATTGTCAAAGAATCCTCATGACCCAAAATGGCTGTACATATACATTGTAATCTTGATTTGAAGCTTTTGTGACCTCAGGAATTCACACTGTTTGGTTCTTTCGGTAAAGTCACGTAGATAGGAAAATAAATAATAGATCTATTATTATAAAATAAATAATAGATCTATTATTATAAATAATAGATCTATTATTTCTTTTTACCGAAAGAACCAACATTATAGTGATGTATATTGCTAACTGCATATACGGGATGATCCATTTATAAATTCCCCACTAAAATCAACGTGAGTGAGAAATTATAGAGCATATAACATTGTATATCATAGCCTCTACATGTCTGCCAACGATCTCAATAAAGACACTTATTCAACATTCAAACACTGAAAGAACCAAACATTTTTATTCAAACCCTGTCATCTATAAGATATGGAGCCATCGCTTTCACAACATTAAATCGCCTCTTAAGACGCATCGTGAACGCAAGCATTGCTTGTAATCGACGCACTGTCACAAGTGTAACAATGAGATCCCGAGGGGAGGGCTGAGGGCAGACCTGTACGGTGGTGTGCAGGAACGCGACGGCGTAGAGCAGTGGCTTCCACTGCGGGAGGCTGTTGATGTCCAACTGGTCCTGCGTGATGCCGGCGTACGTCCTCTTGAGCCCAGCCTTCACGCCTGCACATGGCCGCGTTCAGCAGCCAATGGTTTTCATTGTCACAAACATTATAATCAAATTATCTATGTAAATAAAGACCTTAATCGGTATGTTATGTCTCAAAAACCTCTAGGGTACTTCCCGACAAAGTAGAAAGCTGATATTTGGTACACAGGTAGCTTTTAGGACACAAAAACAGGAACAATCTCAAAATCCGAGGTTATAAATTTTAAGGCCCCCAAATCTCTATTTTAAGTGCTCCATAAAAATGTTTGTGCGTGTCATTCAGAAACCGTTCAAAATATAACAATGCAGTATTTTTAGTTTGATAGAGCGTTAAACAGCAAATAAAATTAAAGTGAGAACCATTGTTCTATCTTTTATTGTTTTTGAGATATTTTGCATCAAGCGGTTTTGAACGAAAACATACGAATTTTATGATGTGCAAATCTGAATAATTCGAAAACGGTAAAAAATAGGAACTTCCCCTCATAGAGTATTAAGTTCATTCATTTTTATTCTCTCTAATAAAAAAACGGAAACTTAAATTGAGCGGTTTGCGATGGGTACGTCCTTAAATATAAGAAGTTGAATCAAGTGGTCAACAATATTATATATTTTTTGGAACAATTTTTTGAGTAGTTGTTAGTGTCTGATCGTTAATTATTATATTTATTTAAAACTTTTTCCTGGCGACGACAAGCTTTATGAACTAGTCATTATTATTACTCACTGAGTCTCAAGAAAAGGTTTTTTTTGCGGTAGGGATGACGATTTGTAAGTGTGAATGTTGTTTTAAATTAATTGTATAATTTGCGATAATTTCTCTAATTTGCTAAATGTGGACCATGAGGTCGACACACATTGATCTACTCTTCTTTGAATAACGTTATGGGATATTTAACTTCCACTGTTAAGCAGACGCTGCGTATTGTAACGTGAATACACCATATTCTTGGTTCTTTCGGTAAAGTCACGTAAATACACCAGTCGAATTAAGAAGGGTGGACTACTGGATTCGAACCGTGAAATTCTAAAACAAGTGGTGAATGCGTTATCTCACTGCCCACAGTGCAAGCTGGAATGAAGGAATGTATTAATATGTGCAATGGTGTTCAGGAGCTTTCATTATTAGATATTATCATCGAATTAATTAATTAATTAATTTTCTTCATAAGTACAATGGATTTTTTGACTGCCACTCCCAAGGAGGGAGCGTGCCCGAGAGGAAATCCACCAGGGAAATGGAGCGATAAATTCAGATTAATTGCTGCATCCCGAGACCATATGAGAGCTGGTGATGCCTTGGGGGGTCTTCATCAAGTTCTGGATTAATCATGGATTATGATAATGATGACTCTCTTTTGAATCAGGAATGGCCCCTTTGGATACATTCACACCTTTGAAATTTAGACGCGAGTGAATAACAAGTGGAAGGAACAGAACTGAACATTGGATTTCCATGTACGCTGTCAGTATTTTTTTTGCCTTTGGAGGGTAGGCAGGGGATGTGTGGCAAGTGGTTGGGCAGCGCCTGGGGGAGGTGGGTCAGACATTGTGGGGGGAGGGGGAGTGGGGTGCACCTTGCGGTGGCTCGTTGGTGAACTTGATGGAGGACTGCAGCAGGTTGATGGGGAAGCGCGGGTGGCCCTCGGTGGTCAGCCACGTTCGGAAGGCAGCGTGGGTTCCCTCGGCCGTCGTTACGCTCTCTAGGAGCTCGTCCATGAAATCCAGGCCCAGGTGGCAATTCTGCAGGAGGAGCCAGCCGCCCTCCTGCATGCACTGCGCCAGCAGGCGACGGGCGTGCACCTCCTGGCCCTGACCCATGGAGATGGCGCGACACGGTACGCCCTGCACCACGACCGCACAGCGTTAATTTTGAGGTAGGTGAGCAATAGATAGATAGAAGTGGCAGGTGCACTGTGAGTGGTATGTGAGTGAGATGTGCTGCTCCTGCCTTAGTTTTGGCAAGACGCTCGATGTTCTCTGTAGGGTCGGAGCCCATGGACAGGAAGCAGATCATCGGTGTGTGACAGTCGCTCTCCGCCCACATGGTATCCATATCCAGGATAACCCCCTCGGCATAGCGCACCCCCATCGACTCCGAGATGTAGTGTCGTGCCTGCAGCGAGTGTCCAGAAAATAAATATATTTAAAATAACTATAACAAACTAAATTATGGCAGAATAGGGCAGAATAGGAAGTGAAATACAGCAAGTATCAACAGGCATTGATGAGACATCCTTGAATTTAAAGTTCAACCAAAGGAGGAAATCCCACGCACGAACGTCTCACGTTTTAAAACAGATGTCTCTGCTGGATACGCCCTCCATGCTCTCACCTGCGCGATCACTCGGTCGGGGCACCAGCTGCGGATAAGCAACAGCTTGCCAAACGTGTCGAGCGACGTGGCGTAGCCATCAGGCAGCGGGTTCTCCTCGGGGGCCTCCGTGTCGAACCAGGCGTGCCATGCGCGCTCGTGGTTCGATACCTGCGCCAGCAGCTGGCTGAAGTTAGGCAAGCGCGACAACTGCACCAAGTTGAGCCACGTCATGTCCAGGATCCACTTCTTGGCCTTGGGCTCCACGGCGTTTAGGTCCAACGCCGCACCACCTGTAAATTATCAACACACGGTGCAAAAGAAGTTCAATATACATACAATGCACCATATATACACAACAGTGGTATAGCGACCCCTCAAACCAAAACCCCTGGACCCCCTTGCACTGCCAGATCACATGTCCACGCAAATATTGTTGTTGCAACGTGGCAGCTGACATTCCCTGCTCAAATTCTAAATTTCACCTGTACGATATTCATGCGAGAGGCTGTGATTCTCTGAAAGGCCGCTATACAAACTTATTACGGACATTATGGATAACAGCATATATAAGGAGAACTCCGTTCTGTGTCTCCACATATTAATAATAGTTAATTTATTCCATCGGCCAATTGGATTTCCAAACCAATATTGTTAAGCAACATATTTTTAAGCAAGAAACATTTGCACCAGTTTCAACCTTATTGGCCTCATCATCAGATAAGACAGAAGATTTTGACATTTCAGACAAATGGCCTCCTTCAGTGATGTACAGTCTTATATAAGGTATGTGGGTTTGAGCAGGCCTTTTAAAAATTGTCATGTATCCTTGCATGTGTATGGGGCTGGGCAGGAAGCAAGCTGTTAGTTTTACGATACAATAGTCCATCATGTCAATGTAAAATATGTAGTTATGAACCTAAGGTCTGTATAGGTTTGGCAGTGGAAAGAATGTAGGGGTTGACATCAAGTCAGTTCCAAAGTAAATGACATTAGTAGTGGTAAGGCGAGAGAGTAAAAGTCTAAAATCTGTCTAAAATCATCTGCCACTGAGATGTGCGTGAAACTAAGTCACGCTCATTAACAGATAACTCACTGACTGTAATGTAAAAAAAGTCAAATTCGATGTCTTTTCCAATTAAATGTATCTCATGAAAGATTAACCGTAGAAAATGTATACAGCGATACCTCAGTTTATGTCGGGGATGCATTCCTGAAAGCTGCGACGATAATCGAAAACGATGTAAATCAAAGCAATTTACAGGGTAGGTGGAAGCAAAGGCTGAGGTGACGGATACGAGAAAGGACGGATGCTGTCAGCGACGTAAGTGGGTTGAGGCCACGCAAATCGGGTTGTAGTATTAATAAAGTGACAAGGTATTTGCGAAAAGACGTAAAAAGGGGGAGACGTAAAGCTGTTAATATACAAATTCGAGCCACGATCTGGCTCTTCACTCAAGCCCTGGGATGAAAAATAAGTAAAATAAGGAAACACATTCTCATCCTGAAAAAGTCAGACACGCAACAACGTCACTCCGCAATGGATCTGCTGAGACAACAAGGCTCTACACACCCTTGATGAGCGTCTGGAACTCCTCGTGTGAGATGCGCTTGGCCTGCCGGTCCACCTTGAGCGTGAGCAGCAGCGTGAAGAGGAACTTGTGGCTCTCGTAGAGGCCGCGCGCCGTGTAGCGGTACACCTCGAACGTCAGCGTCTCGATGATGGACGCGATGCGCTTCGTGGGGATGGGCGATCGCGCCGCGGTCTCCACTGACAGGTCGAAGAGGCCGAGGAACTGGCGCAGCGATGTCTGGTACATGGCGTTCACGAGGCTCATTTCCACGATGAGGAAGTACAGGATGCTGCCACGGTTCGCCACTGGGCGGAACTCCTCACGTGCCGCATTGATCTTCAGCTCTGTCTCAGCTGCGATGTTCAGCTTTTCGCTCACCTGTGGCATGCATACGGGATGGAGGATATGCATGGATGTGTCCACGTGCGCATGTGCAGCAACGGAGGGTGGGGGAGCAACACTCACAACAATGAATTGAATACCAGGCAGCAAGATGGCACATGGTGGCACATCTGCCAGTTAACTCAGTCAACTCATAACACGTGAGTGTGTCCCGTGAACTCCTTTCAGCAAGCCTCCGACAATTCACGTGGCCTCAAATTCCACCTGGGCTGGCACAAGCGATGTGGTGATGTCACCACCACCGAGTTGTGAATGGCAGCCGTTGTTGTTGTGTATGCATGGAAGCATACGTGGGCAGCGGTGATGCAGTGGTTAGCTTACTGTCCTTGGAACCCAGCAATTTGAATTTCGGACACGGCTAACATCATCAGTGGCGAGAGATATCAGAAAGGGTTGTGGACCTCCGCTAGGTCGACTCAGTGGTTGTTGTTGGATAGTGCTCGTTCGATGAACCTCACCTCGTCAGACGTGGCCTTGGTGACACGCAGGACCACAATAAGGGACTCGTCCTCCACCAGGGAGCCCTGGGTGCTCGTGAGGCGGAACAGGAGGTTGTCCTCAAGCTCCTGCATCTTGCGCTTGTTGGCCGTCACCTCCTCCATCAGTGTCACGCGCTCGCTCTCCAGCTCCTGCCATCGAAGCGAGCGGCAGGTACAACTTTATAGCGCTGGATATTACGCTTCAGATTTCATATATGTTTTGCGCTCATATTGATACATTTGTTATCTCGTGATTATTTAAAATTCTTTTACTTTTTTTTGTTGCACTCCAGGACCGAAATGGTTGGCGATGGCTCGGGGAAGTCTTCATCCAGTAGTAGATGATCTTTCATTTAAAATATTTAGTTTTTACATAATTTCTATTTAATGGTGCAAATCACTGCTATCTGTCATTTCAGCATTTTGAAACTTACGTGGTGCATCCACTTTATACAACAAGTGATTATCAAACTGATGATGACAACATTAAGAACATTGACGATTACAATTACAATCGTGATAACAATGACGTCCACGATGACAATGATCCTGATAATGATGATGATCAGGTTGTTCATGATGATGACGACAATGACAATGAAGACAGCCCCAAGGTTTCGTCCCTGGCTGACCCCTGGTGTGAACCCCTGGTTTGCGGTGAGCATCGGACCTGCTTCTCGGTGAGGATGACACGGCCCAGCAGTTGGTCCTCCAGGCCCTTCATGGTGACGGTGAAGTCGATGATGGACGTTTTGGCGCTGACCTCGGGTGTGTATGCCGGGTTGGCCAGTTTGGTCGTGATGTAGAGGCTGAAGCCCTTCATGACATCCACCTCCTTGTCGCCCACCTTCACCTGTGAGCCGAGAGCAGACCCACTGTCTCTCTTAAAAGTCACTCAATATGCTGCATTGATAAGCTACTGACTATACATCTCAAGTACTATATACGATGCAATTATTATGGCTGTCTATTCATCAGGGTAGGTCATTCATTGGTTGGGGGGGTCACTCAGCAGCTATGAGGTGCTGGGGGTTCCATCTGTTCTGCTGATGTGGCAGAACAGTGGTGCTGGGAGGAGACATCTGTTATATCTACCTTCTGGTAGTGCACTCTGGGCTGCTGTGTAAAGCCAGGGGATCCGCCAGGGTTGGTGCTTTGGACACCTGTGTACTCATTCCCTGGGCTTTCTCTGATGTAAGAAGTTCAAGTGTTTCCTGTCGCGCTGCCGAGTTCATGTTGTGGTTATGCCGTATACTTGATCTTGTTGCTTTTGTTTCTCTGTGGTGTACTCGTCCCTTTCGCAATTTTCAGCGAACCATACTTCCATTCAATTAAAAAGGATGATGTTATATGAACAAAAATATATTATAATGCTTCAACAAATTCCCATATTTCACGGTTGTGTATTCTCTGGATAATACAACACTTTTTTTCCCTATAATTAAAAGTAAAAGTTGGGGGTGCATTGTACAATCCGGTGTGTGTATTAGCACAGTTGGTTACGTACGGTGCGAAAGAAGTTAAACATACATACGTGTGTGTGAGAGATACAACATTTATATAACTTTAATGACACTGGGTAAACGTTTTGGATGCATCTTACTTCATGGAGAATCTTATAATCATAAGAATAAAGGATGTACCGCCATATAACTTTGGAATTAAGCCAGGGCTACCCAATGCCAGTATTTTCACTTCATATGTATTTAATTTTCCCTATATAGTGGTCCAAATGGGTCGATATACGAGGGTACGCCATACCATCACTTCTCACAGTACCAAACACGTATTCCGTCACGTTTCAGAACAGTTCCTATTCCTTCACGGTGATGTTTCCGCAGAGGGAAAACAGCATTGAGCGAGTGTGTAAGAGGGGGTGTATGAGACGAGGTGAGAGGGGGTGTGAGAGGCAAGGCTGCGTTGGCTGAGTCATGTAGCCCGCATGCCCAGCCACCGCATGCCCAATCAGCTTCTGTTTGGCTGCATAGAGGGGGCTAAACGGGCACAACATGGGCTGGAGAATAAATGGACTGATGCGGTACGGGAGGACATGGAGCTGAGTGGACCTGCCGAAGACTGGTACCAGCAGTGTCAAGATCGGCCTCTGTGGAAGAGGCTCGTGAAGGACGCTACTGTACAGTTGGAGGCAGTCGCCATCCTAACAACAACTGAGGGCAGAGGAGCGACGCTCGAAACAACGAGCGGAGCGCCAGGCAGCTAAAATTCAGCAAGTTGGCAGAGTAGGGGGTACAAGCTGGTGCATCTACCATTCATCTCACTCAGCCAAACCATGGCACCTGGGTCTGTCCTGTGACCTCCTGTCAGTGAGCCTTCCACACTTAAGGTGGCCTCAAAGTGCACCTGACCTGTCACAAGCGCCGTGGGGACGTCGCCGTCACTTAGTGGCGAATGGCAAGTATTGCTACTGGTTAGGGTGTGTGTTAACCTGCAAGGGTCAATATGAGTGACTCTCTTTGTGTGTGTATGTATACAGAAGGTGTGTGAATGTGCGGGGGTTGCCGTTGGTGGTGTGCGAATGTGGGTGGGTGGGTGGTGTTGGTGGTGGCACCGGTGTCGCCTGCTTGCCTTGAAGGTGGTGCCGGACTTGATGAAGTTCTTCTCGAGGACGTTGTCAAGCGCGGGGTCCAGCTCCTCACCCACATCTTCGATGAGTAGGGGGCGGCCCAGCGACAGGCTGTCCTCCAGGTGCGAGCGGAAATACTTGTGATTCAGCGATGTCACCTGCAGTTGTGCGCACGGTCAGCCTCCTTCAACGCTCAGCTCTATTTGGTCTGTGTGCTCCCGCTTCTACTCTCCCTGTCATTTTCATGTTTTTGTTTTTTTGTTTGTTGCGGTTGCACCCGATTCAAGAGCCGAATGGCTCACAGGGCTATACATAATAAATGAACTTGAACCAACCCCCACTGACCAGTGTGGTAAAGCATAGTCAAATAACCCACAGGACCTGCATGGTGTAAAGAGGCCCTCATCCAACAGTGGACTGACAAAAGGGCTGTAAAATATTGAGCTGGCTCTGCTGTGTGTGAGAGCGAGGCACCTGCAGGTTGTCCTTCTCTCGGTTACGGATCCAGATCTTGCCCTGGCCCTGAGGGTCGATGAGGAGCGGGTAACGCGAAGCCTTGGCCACGATGATGCCGTTTTGCACGGACAGCTCGTCGTTGGGCAGCCCCTGCAGGTTCCACTCACCGATCGTCGCATTGTCCACCAGCATGGCGATCAGGTTAAGGTCCTGCGGTGGGGGGGGGGGGGGGGTGGGCAAGTGTGCCAGCACAACAGTATGGCGAAGACAATAATTTTCTTTACATTTTTACAATTATTTTCCCCAGTTCTGTCCCAATTGTGCTATTAGTCATGTCATCACACAAAGATTTGCATCTCTTGCAGAGCAGCGCAATCCTTGTCTTGAGAGAATGGCCCACGGAAATGGCTATTTTAATACACACAATGGACAGGAAGGACAACATCAAAGGTCTCGCATAATGCGCAGGCATAATGTACGTTCACTCATTAATCCCCTCCCACTTTGCGCAAGAGCGCAGAAGTGTGGTCACCACATCAACGCCTCTATATAACGAACGAAACAGGTGGACTGCTCCACAAATCTGGCTGTCGCCTGATAAAACTAGTTGTAATTACTGGTGAAACGTCGTACTCAGATTGTAAATGTTGTGGCATGTTCTGTTTACGTGACAACCCTTACGAGTTGGCTGTGTCGGGTGGTGGCGGGTAATAACGACACATTTATATATTTACGCGATCTAACCCCAAAAAAAAACCTCTATTATGGATCACAGGGCTATATCGGAGATCCCTTCAAATGACCTCCGATCCACATTCTCTGCGACCGAGAGTAATGTTTGTCACGTGACAGCTAAACTGATATTCAATTCTCAGAGATGGAATTTTCTAAACTAAGTCCAGATGGTTTCTGTGTAGTCAGTGTTGACTGGCCTAAGATCATCGAGATGGGTTAATCACAGATGACTGCCTGGATTCGAATCCAGGATATCAGCTCAGTGCTGCCCACCTTCACCAACATGCACTGACCAACATATCGATTTGGAAGGCCCTCAACGGGCATTGGATTAATACAAATGGTACCTGTGACAACGGCAAGAAGAGACAGGAAGGACACTCACGCTGGTGTAGGGGATGTTGCGCACGTTCATCTCGCGACGCCACAGCTGTAGCAGTTGGTTGCGGAACTCCTGGTTGAAGGGCCCCGAGTAGGACAGGAAGCCTGTGGCCAGCAGCACGTCCCCTACCAGTCGGGTCGTTTGGTCCTGGAAGCGCTTGCTCGCCTCTGTCCAGCGAATCTGCTTGCCGAGCAAGGGGATGGTGGTAAACATCTCCATATAGATGGCCGGGAGACTCATTGGTCAGATCGATTGAGCTGGCAGCTACCTTTGAATAAAATAAGGTCTCAAATGTAGTGAGGTTATGATCTCAGCCCACTCACCAATGAATGCACAAAGATAGAGCGGCCACAGTGTAGCAAGATATGATTGAAGATTGAAGACTTCTCATAGAGAAGAGCCAGCGATAAGCAGAGAAGAAATGTCTTGGATTTGGCCTTTAAATCATCATTAACGATGCTTTTGACAAAGACGACAATGACGATTACAATATTGATGACGACCAGGTACATAATAATTCGCAATAAAATACATAGCTGACAACGATGACAAATACAATGACGATTGTGAATAGGTTGTACGTTAGCGGTGCAGTGCTCGCCTTCTCCCCGCCGAGGCCATCGATTAGCGCCGTGGCATTGTTCATCTTGCGGCGGCAGGCCTCGGCGTCGTCCACCAGGATCTGCTTCTCACGCACCGCTGTGTCGTACATGGCCTGCACCGCGTCCAGCTCACGCTGCTTCTCATCTAGCTGCGCCTGCGCGCGATCCAGCTCTCCCTGCGCCACCGCCAGCCGTGACTCTTGGATAATCAGGTTGGCCTGCGCGGTGCGATGCGGGAAGAACGACGAGAGCATGGGTGGTGTTCGAAGGAGGGGACGTCATCCGGCAGAGGTGTCGGCATGTGACAAAGAAGAAAGTGTTGGGGGGGGGACAATGAGAGAAACTGATTGTTGACAGATAAAACAAATCCGATTATTAAAACAAAAACATATCGGCGTGCAAATTAATTTCAGAAGCAGAATATTTATTTATCCTGGAGAAATCCGATGAGCTATGAAGCTCTTTTTTTCACAGATGCCCGAGGCATACCACTTCAAAATGGCCTGCAAACATTATTTATCAATTAGTGCAAGCATGTTAGCTGGGCTAATTGGATACTAGAGGGGAATATTTTCTACCTGGAAAAATACATTTTAGGACACCCCAGTCACTCCTGTCACTGCACTTGGGTTTCTTACAGTGACAGAAGTGAAAGTAGGTGTGTGTGTGTTCATGCATGGTCCACCGCCAAAGGTATTTGGAAGTCTTATTTGGCATCTCAGTAGGGAACATGTTGCCCACTCCTGATTTATAAGATGAACCTTCTAATTTTCTTGAGAGCTGTTAGAAAAAGGAGAGGAGGATTTGGAGTAAATTAGTTGGGTGAGAATAAGAGTTAAAAGTAAGGAAACCGCTTCTGCTGAGAATTCATAAACAGAACATGTACTATTATTAATGTAAATAGTACATGGATATGAATAATGTAAGGTTTACGTACTTGTGTAAATATGGACATTTGTAAGTCTTGGCAGCACCTACATGAGTAAATAATAGTAGGCATATTCTCAAATGTTTAAATTATCTAAACATTTTCAAAACAATTCCTATAAAAAAAAACAACCAAGTACAATCAGAACTCGACAGACGATGGGTTCACTTGGCACGATTGTGGAATTTCGGCTAACGACCTCCGCCGGTTGTGGTCTCCTATTCATGTCACCATGCTGGAAGAGGATACCAAGCAGCGACTTGAGATGAAACCCCTCACCTTGAGCGGCAGCACCTCCTTGTTGATGCCAAAGAAGGTGACCATGGCCTTGGTCCAGGAGCACAAGCCCGCGACGTTCCCGCACACATTCCTGGCCGTCTCCAAGTTATAGTCCTCCATATCCATATACGGCATCAGCAGATCCACCATCTCCTCGTTGATGGTGTCCTACAAACCCACCGCACAGCCGCACACGCTGAAAGTTAATAGAATCGAGTTTATTTTGATTAACCAGGCGAGGACTTAAGAAATCAGGATTAGTCTCATTTGCAAGAGTAACCCAGATCACCAAAATGACAAAAGCAATAACATTAAATAATGTACAGCAATGAAGCAAATAGAAATCCGAGGAAAAAGAAGCAAATAGTGTGGACATCATGGGAAAACAACCGCATTACAGTGCACAATCATGAATCTATAACTAATTAAAATACATTTCTGTCATTAAACTTTGCTTGGACAAATTACTTGTGAAAACCATTTTTTATTGGATATTTACTTTTGTTACTTATTTACTGTTTTAAGTTGACTCGTTTTCGGTTATTTTTTTTTCTTTGTGCACGTTATGATTTTAATGTAAACAATTGATAGTGGAATGTATTACAAATGTAAACTTTGTATTAATATGATGGAATTAAGCTGCGGTAACGACGTTAAATATATGAATGCATGTGGGGTATATGGAGGTGCGGGCTATCTAAATTTGTTTTACACAAAACGCTATTTTTGCGGAGTATATGCGTCTGCGGGTTATGTGCGGGAAAATACGGTACTTTAAGCCCAGCCGAGTTTGCGATGGTCCAAATCCTGGTTACCTTGTCACCCAGTTCAAGATTGGTGTGACTCATTGATGAGAAGCCCTCGCACCTTAGAGAAGGTAAGCAATGAGTTGAGGAATCCGGAGAAGTTCATGAGCTTCTGGGCCTCACTCCAGGAGGGCCGCATGCATGGTCGCTCGGGTTCAGGCGTCACGGTGTCCACCCGGCGGCGGAACAGCAGCAGCACGCAGTCCATGATACGCATGATTAGATGTGGAGGCTTGGTCAGCTTGCGCACCGTGCCAATGTCCGCAGGCTTGATGGTCTGCAGGCATGGCAGCGCAAGGATTCGTCGGTGGAATCAGAGCAACAGTTATACTTATTAGGCTTTTTTACCCAGGAAAGTCACAATGCTAAGTTTTGCAGTAGGGGGCAATGTTGCTTTGTGTTTTCCCAAAGAAGTAGTTTGCTCTTAATTTTTCTAATTTGGTAAATTTAGACCATAATACTGGCACACAAAGGCCTACTCTTCCTCAAATTATGTCAAGGGATCTTTCATGCCCACTGTGAAACAGACGGTGGGTATTTTACGTTAATCGCACCCGCAGTATTAACCAAGGTAGCCGGCCGAATGCAAACCAAGAACCTGTGCAACAAGCGGCAAATCCCCTCCCTCTTGGCCATTTCACCGCGATAAATTCCACAGTATTCATGTTAATGAGCAGCTGCAGTATACAGTAAGGTTCCTCTGCTATTGCGCTGTGAGCGTAACATCGCGTACCTGCAGGGCAGCCTCGGCCTCCTCCAGAGCGGGCTTGGCAGCCTCCAGCTTCGTCTCAGCCACGGCCTTGTCGGCGGCAATCTCGTCCACAATGGCCTGGGCCTTGTCCTTCACCTTTTGCACCTGCTGCTTCACGGACTCGGCTGCCTGCGCCTTTGAGGTGACCTCGCAGAGTACCTCGTCGGCACGGCGTGACGCCACCGCCAGCTCCTTCTCCTTCACCTCGAGCTCGCGTGACAGCTGGCTCACTGACTTCTCGGCCTCCTGCAGCTTGGAAAGGCCTGCGCGAGGTAGGGTGTAGGGAGGGCATTCCAAGGTTAGGGTTAGGGTTAAGCAATAAAAACAGACATCGTTCAAAAGCGAAGGTTATTTTACTTCGCAAACATCTTTTGGGCAACATCAGTGGAACAAGGACTAGAGGACATCTGAGGCACATCAAAAACAACTATCTGGAACTGACAATCACACTCTCAGAAGTGGATGTGCTCGAGCCAGCGACAGGCACAGTTGGGAGTTGGCTATGAGTGTTATGCTCGCGTGCGCTGATCTCTCGGTGTCACTAACACATTCGGTGAATATACTCTTGGTTCTTTCGGTAAAGTCACGTAGGTAAAGAAATTCAAGAATTAAAACAAATTAAATCACGACGTTCCGATTGCAACACAAGCAATCATCATCAGGTGTGACAACCACAGCAAGAAATTGTACTGAAGTGGGAGAGAAGCCGGAGTCAAAAAAATTCTTGCTGTGGTTGTCACACTTTGTGGTTGCTTGTGTTGCAATCGGAACGTCGTGATTTATTTTTATTTTTTATTTTACCTACGTGACTTTACCGAAAGAACCAAGAGTATGGATCCTTGCAGTCACGAAAACTTATAATCTAGAACATTCGGTTAAGTGAAGCAAACAAGCAATGATTAACACCCCCCCACCACAGCGATTCGACAAATCTCCATGATTAAAATTCGTTTCAAGAATTAGTTTTTCTTTAGCCTCATAATTACCATCCCATTTGCATTGTCTCATTTTTTTAAAGTAACATTTGTACAGGCACATTAGTCCACATTTAACAATGATATTTATGTACGTAGGGCCCTGAGTCAATCTACTGTATTTGGTACAAATGTGGTTAAGCTTATTCTATTAACTAGAAACGTAAAAAATATCTACATTTTAGAATTTGAGCCCTCCTATAAATTACAACCTGAAAGTTGATTGATTTCACTCATAAGGCAGGGTCAGCCTAACGTTTTATGTGACTTTACGTCTTGTGCTAAATGCTTCTAAATAAATGGTTCCCATCATTATTTGACCAAGTATTTCACATCTTATTAAGTGTGATGCGAAATTTAACAGAAAATGGATAAAGCCTACTACCAATTATTTCCAAAAACATCAGTGAAAGTATTCCATGACAATGAACCCCATCGATCAGTGTTATTGCTCCGGACAAGGACGACCTAGGGCCACTCTAAATCAAGCATCTTCTGCATGCGTCACGCCCTTGCCTGTGCGCATGCGCTCCGACAGCAGGGCCACATTGCTCAGCTTCTCCGAGTAGATGCTCTTGTAGCCGCCGATAAATGACAGGTACGACTTGGGCGTCACGTACGTCTGCCGGCGGAAGCGCTCAAAATACTCGACGCAGCGCTCCGCTACCATGTCCTGGAAAACGGCCATGGCGTCCACCACGCCGCGCTTCACCTCGGGTGTACATTCCACACGGTACTCGGCCAGGAAGTGGCCTGCGACGGCCGTGAGTGCATCACGCGGCCAGCTCTGGAACCAGTCCATTGTGCAGCCTGAGATGAGCGCCGGGAACTTGAGGGCGCGCGCACGGAACTTCTCGCCGACGGGAGAGAAGCACAACACGACGTGCAGGTTGGCACGCACGCGCGACAGGAAGTAGTCGTAGAGGTTTTCGTTGGTGGGCGGCCGCCGTGGGTGCTCCTTCTTCAGCACCGGAATGAGCTCCTGTGTGATCTCGTCGATCTCGTCGCGGGCGAAGAGGTTGGAGACCTCGCCTGAGGCCAGAACATTGTTCATGTACTCCAGGAAGGCCTCGTCCTTGATCTCGTTGTCCGTGAAGATGAACGTGACGCCCTTGCCCTGCTGACCCGTCTTGCGGTACAGTTGCTTCAGGTCCTCCATGAGGTTGCTCATGTTGTAGGTCCTAGAACAGTCGATGACATGGCATTTTGTTGAAGCAATTGTCTAAACAACGCTTATACAAATTGTAAAAAAAAGATTGTCCCCTCCATTATGCACTGTTGATGATTGGGGTGTCATCTCAAAGCTGTGATCTGTGACCTCACCTGGAGAGTGTGATCTGGAAGCTAGAGTAGCCAGCGATGAAGGACGCAAGGCGTGTCAGGCTCTGCTTGCCCGACCCGCCAACCCCAACCAGCAGGGCGTTTCCGCGCGGCGTGCGGATGATGCGCGAGATCTTTATCAAGTGCACCATGGCGTCCTTCAGAAAAACACATTCAAATGGATTTTATGGAGTGCCCTCACTTTTATATCGTTTTGGGATAATTTGTTCGCAGAAATATTTCGTATAGGTTCACACTCAATGTATTTTGCTCTTGTAACATGCAACATTGGTTCATAACACACACATCTGGAATGTATGCATGTCAGGTTCTTAAGTGTAGTGAGCTGACCATCTCAACTTAGTCACCGATGACTGCTTAAAAAGTTGTCAAGTCATTGGCTAAATATATTATTATTTCTGAATAGACGTGTTTACCCACGAGAGCCTGAGTCTCGAGACTTCTTCAGGACGGTCCTGCTAATTTCAGAGTAATTTTTCTATTTGTGCAAATTTGGGACGTGACAACGGCACACATCAACCTAGGACCTTTAACAACGTCCATCGTAATGCAGACGGAACGTACCCTACGGTTAAACCACTCGCAAATTAAAAACATTGGTTCCACGCGTCACCCACCGCGAAGAAGACGAGGTCCATGTTGGCTCCGCGGACGCTCTCGTTGTACTGCACCAGGAACGCCTGCAGGCGCTCGGCGAGCTGCGGGAACGACGGGATCGGCTCGTACACCTTGGGTGCCTCCAGGTCGGCGTCATCGGGCTCCTCGCCTGTCGGCTCCGGGGCGTCGCGCATGAAGTCCACAAAGTACACCTCAGCCTCCATCGACGCGGCCGCTGCCGTGCCGTGGTCGTCCAACATGATCTGCCGCCGGGAGGAGAACGGCGTGACCATCGTGCAAAGGCACTGGAGGTGGGCACGGTACAATTCGCTCCGCCCCACCCCACCCAGCGAGATTCCCATTCCATTTGAGAAGAATTCATTTGAAAACAATTCAGCTCAGGTCAAAATAGTTTATGAATAGGCTCCATTCATCAGTCTATAACGGGGAGGCACTGTATTTCTCGTAAACAGGATCCAACATTAACTAAACTTTAGTATAAAGTTGTGTTGCTATTAGAAAATTACCACAATGAAAACCAACTAAATTGATAAATGGGTTGTCCAAAACTTGGGATACACAAATTATAGCAAAAATAACTATTTGCAAATGTACAAATTCATTTTTCACAGAAAGCTTCTATATTGCTAATTCAATTACAGGCAGACTTCACCGAACGTGAGGGTTATGTTCCTGTAAAATGCCATGTTGGGCATTTGAAAAACCGTGTTCGACAAATAATATACCTTATGGGAAAAATTATTATACATTATTTCTGCCATTATTATTGTACTAAAGGATGCTGAGTAACCCTTCATTTCTTGTGTGTGCACTCTCTATTTTTTTTATTTCCCCTTTACACAAAACCTCCATATCCATATACCTTTCCCGCATCAAGGCACTCACGCCCAACACTCTCCCAAAAACAGTGTCACTTGAATGTTAATAATTCACCATCAAGGCATCCGTATGACTAACAACCTCAAAAACTGGAAGGCTAAATGCAAGCGGCAATGTGAAAATATGCGTTGCGTGTCTTGATTGTGTTACATTCTCACACAAAAACATACACACAAAATATACACGCAAAAACATACATGATAAATAAATCGTTCTTCCAACGGATGCATCACTCTCACCGCAATGCCTTTCGAGGTGGAAATGAAAATAATAGCAGTGTTAAACTGGAAATAGCCAAAACATCACCCCTGTGTTCTGGAAAACACATCTCATAAGGTAAACCATGTACTGTAGAGGCGAAATACGCATTCAATAAAGCTGCATTAGGCAAGGTTCTCCTGTACTTCTGAAGCCAAACGCATGTTAGTTAAAGTCATGTTATCTATTTTTCCTAAGATGTTTGTTTAATTTTACTATCCTGTTTCTTTATTATTCAGTCTCATTTTGGAAGGTTCCGTCCACTCCATCAGCACAATTAAACAATAGCATATATACAATTTGCATACATTTTGCAGAAATCAGAAGAAAATCCATTTATATTTCCATGCTAGATTCAACGCACCTTGCTCATGGTGCCGTTGAACCAGTCATTGTCCTGCTGCGCCGTGAAGCGGTCGGCGATGACACGCACGCACTCGTGGCCGAAGAGCGCCAGCAGCATATCGGATGAGCGGCACACCTCGCTGTTCACCACCAGCATCCCCTGCCAGATGCGGCTCAGGTCCCGCAGGTTGAAGATGTAGTGGAACTTGGCCGGCGTCGGCAGCATCTGTCAGACGCAGGGAGTGTAACAAAGAGCAGCTTCGGCTCGGTTTTTGTTTAATTTTCAGTTGGTCATTTTAAGAGAAAAAGGACTTTGGCAGGGGTTGACATGAATAACCTTTGTTGTTTGTTAGCACTCAATGAGTGCACGTCATTTTGTGGATCTTATTGTAAGGAATGTGCAAAGGGCCCTTATAAAAAATGTTATATTTAAAGATATTTGTGCAACCACGTTATGGCTTGAGGATTGACCAGGTTGGGGAGTGCCTTTTGTTTCCCCATTGTGAACTTAAAAGCGCTAAAGACTGCCACTGGTCCATGTGACCCCTGCCTGTCGACCGTCTGTCTCACCTTGACCTTGGTGGCCTGCCACAAGCGGCGCGTGGTGGGGACGAGTGCTGCCGCTAGCTGGTTCACCTCCTCGGGAAAGCCGCGCTCGGGGCAGAAGTGTCCCTCTGCAAAGGTGCGGAAGATCTTGTCGATGGAGGCATTGGAGGGCAGCGTGCAGTTGAAGATGCAGAATTGCCGCTTGAGGCGTTGTGGAATATCATTGCGGCCACCCCCCGGGTGGATCATGGCGGCCACGAACTGCACGTCCACGATCGTCGTGAACTCTCCAGGTTTCTCCAGGTTGTAGAAGCCATTGTTTTCCATCAGCTGCCGCACGATCTCGTTTGTGATCTACGGCGTGAGAAACAGATTAACTTACTTATCTGTCAGCCGAGCCCAAATTTCACGTCACTGGCCTCTCAATGATCATCTGATCCTTAGGAAACTGGTGATTGTTAAAATACACAATTACATTTTACATCATGTGGATCCAATGCCAGCAAAAATAATCTGATCTGTTCGTCAGCACTCCGACAGATGCCTCCCATCACCAGCCGAGCCTTCACCTGGTCTCCCCACTCATTGATGATGGGCATGTTGATGTCATCGATGAAGATGGTCATCTTGCGGCCGGCGGGCGGGCCGTACGTGGTGCCCATGCGCTTGTCCACGTAGCTCTCCACCGTGCGCTGGAACATGTTGGGCGTTGTGGCCGACGAGAAGTTGAGGCTCTTGGTGAGGTGCAGCTCTGCGTCGTACTTGTTCATGTAGCCCTGCACGAGTTTGTTAGCACACAAGGGGTCGGATGCAATTAATGCGGTCCGGTTTTGTTAATACACGGGGGTGGGTGGAGTGGTAGCACAACATGTAGTGCTCTGCACCCTTCAACCCGCCAACCTAAGATTGATTCCCAGTGTGGGGAGGGCCTTCATCTATCAGTGAGTAAACAATGGTAATTAATGATTATGATAAATATCAGTGTCACTTGAAGGTGTAGCGCTCTCAACTGGCACTGTGTTAACACAAAAAACTCTTCTCTTCCAATATCTATCCCATGGGGCTTCGATTTGACTGCATTATTTCCAAATAAGTTTGGTAATAGATAATGAGACAAGTGGAAATGCACATTGTTATATATGAAGCAACACATGCCAAACAATGTGTTTATTTTGTTTCCAATCAAAAGGCTCAAAACAAGGATCCTGATATGGCTGAGAGTTGGATCAGGAGCAGCCAGACCTATCTGCTATCAATAATCAACTCCCTCATATCAAATTCAAGCATCAATGTAGCCAGATGCATTTAAGAAAGGATACTGGCCCTTTATGGATTCGCTCCAGCTTATACATGTGGCTGATTCCTGCTTTCCATTGTAGTCAATCGGGCATCACAGGGTCTCAAATAAACAAATTGATCAATTACTTGATACTGAATCTTATTGGACTTTCATCAGATTCTAAATAAAGAACTTAATGGCTTGCTTGATATTACATCTCAGTATCAAGTTGTATTATCTCAATGAGCTCGAAATAATGAATCTGTCAGTGACATGGCTCAAAAGGCTACGCACTAATAAATAATATATTTTTTTACATTGCAGGATGTTGAAGTGATTGGCAGCTGCAATGCCGAGTCAGAAATTAACTATTTTTAAATAACCAATTGTCTTCATTTGAAAATGTCAACAAATCTAAATTTACTCAATTATGCTATAGAGTATTACTAAGGCATGCCATGTCTGGTAAATAAATGGGACACTGAAGACCATGTGACATCATTTGCAGCTGGGTTTGGTGGCACAAATCTGTAATCATGTCTACTGGATGTAAATGAATAAAAGATTAAGTATCTTGAGGAAGGAGTGTACTGATGGGATTCTAATGGTAGGTGTATGGTCGGGGTGGTTCGTTGGATGGGTTTTGCCTCTTTACGAGCTGCACGGGCACCTTGATCATTACGGTCTTGGCGGTGCCCTGCTCTCCAATGAGCAGCACAGCCTTCTCCTGCTTCATGATGCACTGCATGAGGAAGTCCGTGCGGACGTTGTCCACGTTGGGAACCAGGATGGCCGAGTACTCGGGCACTGTGTCCCGGGGGTAGGCGAACTCCGGCACCTGCTCGCACCAACCGCCATTTGCACGCATGCACACGCACATATGCTATCTTTAGTGACAACTCTTGGTATGTCATAAAAAGCACGAAATCAATCTGGTCACTTATATGTACACGTACAATGCTTTGTCAATGCAATGTTGGATGAGGGCCTCTCTCTGTACTATGTGGTTTGTGGGGATGTTTATCCGAAATTAAATACACTGGTCAGCACGGGTTGGTGAAGGTGGGGAGCATAGATATTAAAGCATAGATACATAGTACAACAATGGATTTTGCTAACATCGGTAGCCTACCGCTTAAATCGGTAATATCGTATATGAACAGACCTCCGTTCTGTCTCCACATACAAATAAAACATTCGGTCTATTTGCCTTCCAGACTAATATTATCGAGTCTGTACATTAGACGGGCGAGGTTGGCAAGCCGGCGACGGCACTGCTACTCACGCGCGTGTTCCAGTGCTCCCAGCCTCCGTTATCGCCAACCACATACTCGAACATCGAGTCGTCATGCGCGGAGCCTGGCAGGTCAAGGCGCGCCGGGTGTGCGCGCAGGAAGGCCTCCATGCGCGCGCGGTCCTCCAGCTCGAGCAGCGCCCCCACCGACCACATGAGGGCGAACACCAGCAGCCGCTGCAGGTGCGAGTGCTCCAGGCGCCGCTCGTCCGCCTCGGGGAGGAGGCCCTGCGTGCATCCGAGCGCGTGGGCATGCGCCATGCAGCCGGGTTCGGAAGAGACAGCGAGCGTGTACTGCTGTGTTAGTGTCGGTAGCGCTGAATTTCTTACTCAATATTTCCCGGGTAGCACGCATGGTGACTAGTATAACTCCTCATGTCAAAAGTGAAGGCAGAATTTCTTACCTTCAGGAGCTCGATGGCTTGCTTGATGTACATGCATTCCAAGATATCCATTTTCGGGTTGACAGCAGTGAACACAAAGTTAATAAGATCCTAAAACAAAGAAATCAAAATTAAATCTATGGCTCTGCATCCAACTTTGTAATTCCAGCATAGATTTTTTTCAGTAGTTCTGTACAGCTCTCCAATATGTTTTTGGATTGTATGCCGTGTGGTTCTTCTGGATTTCCAAAGTGGTACAATCAGAAAACACATCGGAGAGCTATAACATTGTAACCTCTGCAACGTTTGCTCTGTATCCTCTAATACTATGTCGTTAACTCACATGAATACAAGTCAAATCCCAATCATCAGTGTTAATGTATCCTGACAATAGGCCCTGGCGTCGTGCAATGAAACGCACCTGGAAGATGCTGTCCATGGTGTTCCACAGCACCTGGGCCTGCTCTGTTGGTAGGCCCTGCAGCCAGGCCTGCACTATGGGCCTCCAATCGAGCACGGACGAGCTCATGAACACCATGCCGTTGCGCGAGACGGTGGCGGGCGACGCATTGTCGATGTTGTGCGGCTCGAACACCACCTTGCAGTTGGGTGCCATGGGGATGCGGTCCCCGTTGGCCAGCGTCAGTGTCTTGTTGTCGTCCAGCACGGAATTGAGATTCTCGATCCAAATTGCGTCCACGGGCCCATCCAGCAAGATCCAGATGTGTTCGCCCTGCAAAACCATAATGGTGAGCATGGATGTAGAGAAGCTAGGGGTAAAGCTTACAGATTTCTCGGAGGATCAACCGGGTTACACGATGAGATGGCAGTTGCTCCCTCCATCAGCCTGGACCACACGGCTCTTTGTGACGTTGGTTCTGTCTCTTGCTCACAGGCCCTGCCTACTCATCTGCCAACCCCGCCCACTGCTCGATTCATGATTTTCCCATATCCCGAATCGAGTATGAGACCAGAACATTTCCAAATTCAAGCATTCACCTTCTTGGCCTTGAGCGTCTTCCTCCAGAGCGTGGAGAAGATGCCGTCCGTCCAGTCGTTGGTGGCGACGTCGAGCGTGCCGAACATCTGCGGCGCCGTGATCGCCTTGGGGTTCATGCGCATCTCGCGGTGTGGCTCCCCGCAGTCCGTCATTGCCTTCATGAGCATGTGGATGCAACACGTCTTGCCGGCACCGCTTGGCCCCAGTGCCATCATGCCTGCCCACCGTACCACGCGCACAGGCATGTCGTCAGCGTAGCAGAGTAGGTGCGTAACAATGCATAGATTTAAAAGCGATTCTTACGCTTGCGTATGTATGTATGGTGTGTAATAGGTTCACCTGTCCTATGAAGTCAATAGGGCCCATTAGCTTCACCGCAGTGTAATAAAAAGAATAAAGTCTTGAATAGAATATGAACTCAATCGCAACAATTCAATGACTCGAGAGGGTTTGGGCGAATCATTAAACCCCTAGATATTAGTCCGAGCTACCCTATGGTGTGTGTCACCAAACACACAACCACAAAGTGTACACACAGCAACGGAGCATCAAATTAAATGTAACATCAACGAATAGCCCATCATAAAAAAAAATAACGATTTACCATTTATGGCAATTATATGATGTTACTTTGAGGCTAATGAAGTGAAAAAAAAACACGAACACATGAGAGAAGAAAATAAAAAATACAATCGAGATGAACAACTAAACTAAAAAGAACTGATTGTTGAATGGGAACCGCAGCGAGAGAGGGATGGCGGTACCATCGGCGACACCCACCGTGCCGCACGCGCTGCGTCTCGTAGAGCTGGATGATCTTGAGCACCCAGGGCGGGTGATGCACCAGCCCTGCTGCCTTGGTCTGCGCCAGGATGGCCTCCTCCAGCTCCGGATACCCCGCCTTGTCCAGCGTGATGCCCGGAAACAGGTCGTTTATGAGGCTCATGAAGAGTGGTTCGTCCTCGTCCACCTAACAGTGCACAACATAACGCTTGATCGGCAGAAATTATAATTTGTCTACTCCTACGTGTTGACACCAATAATGATAATATGAATAATGATCCTGGTTCTTCAGCAAAGCCTCGCTAGTTCTTCAAAACTCTTTTTTCACATTGGACCTGTTAAGGACATTTGGCTGATGCTTTTTTTTATTTGCCACATTAAAAATACAGCCCAGAGATAACCCACATAAGTAAAGCAATAACATCCAAATGCCAGTCAAATAGGAGGTTGTGGTTCGAGCCCAAGCATGATGCCTGTAGATTTGCAGTTTGCATTTTTTCCCCGTGGTCGCAAAGATTTTTCTCCGGCTTCTCTGGGTTTTCCCCTCTATATTTAGAAACATGCATTTAGTGTTTGGTTGGTACAAATTTACACATGATAAGCCACTTCGTTGAGCTTTCATTTATGGCTAGGTTGCATCTGAAAAAGAGCTACATAGCTCAGTGGGCCTTACCTGGTAAAATAAAAAAGTTGATAGTTTAAATAGTTTTATAGTTTTTCGGTATATAAACCTACTTTCTATGCTGCCTCATACAGGCACTTTTGTGTACCAGCAAGACACTGTCACAAACACACGTACACAATGGCTATATTACTGTCAGATCAACCATCGCAGTGCGGTTACTGGTTTTTATCGCGTGTACCGAAGGCGGGGTGGGCTGCTCACCAGCTTAGAGAGGTTCATGTCACGCAGCACGCGCATGACCACTGTCTTCTCGGGCTCCTCGGGGTTGGAGCGCTTCACAGCGCCAAGCGTGCGCAGTACCGACAAGATATTCCTAAGCCCAAAGTCGTAGTGAACCTGGCCGACGCCACAAACAACAGCAGCAGAAATGTCACGGCAATTTATTCATAATTAATTCCAACGAAGGTTAAAAGTGTGCATATGTATACAATGAGGGGTCACTATAACTCTCGTAAAGATTCACTGATATGTATGAAACGTTATTTTTACATTGTTTTGCTATTAGGGCTTTACCAGATTGAAAACCGGCTGTATTGGTTAAAGGGTTGCCCAAACATTGGAGACACAATATGCAAACACGCTTTGCTCTGACAAATACGACAGATTATTTTTTTAAGCCGATAGTCTGCTTCCGTGGCTCAAATGACAGGCATGGAGGACAGGCGAGCCTGCTCGCTCGTACCTGCTTGGAGAGCTGCTCCTCGCACAGCTTGTATAGCGTGTAAAACTTGCGGCTGAGGATCTGGTTGTCCCGAAAGCCAGCGCTCGCCAGCTTCACACGCATGATGATGGCGCGGTCCGGCACCATCATGGCCACCGTCCGGAACTGGATCTTGAGATTTTCCGGGAGCTCCTGCCGCCCCGCGTAGCCGGGATTCTGCCCGCAAGCAGCAACAATTGTGATGGGCAATTAGCGATGAGACGGGATGTAGAACACACTTTGATGCATCTTTGCTTCTCTGGAGCAGGTTGAATGATCTCTGATTTTGGGATGCAGAACTTCATTACAAAATATGCACATACATTGGTTTACATGTATCACTTACACCAGAGTTTTCCACACTTCAGTTGTCGCTACTGACCAGTGTTGACTTTTTTCATTGACCAATATATAAATAGAAATGAAATCATTACACAGAGCAAGCACGAAGACATTTTTTATCTGAACTTAATTTAAAGTACAATCCTATATCTTATATCTTAATTTAAATTGGTGTCTGCTCTGAGTCACATGGGCCATGTTTACCAATCATCAGGCAAGTGCAGTGTGCAATGACGATCTGTATTTGAACGGAAAAGATCGGTTTATGTGGAAAGGTGGACCATGTTGATTCACGACAGCTGAACCTTGGGAGACATTGACTTGTACCTCAGCGAGTGTGTGTGCACTTCGCAGAACGGGAGCCTGGGGAGGCATTGCTCATCATGGAACCAAGTCACTGAGGCCTTGGTGAGTCACTGTTCACCACGGTGGCAGATGTAGCGGGGTGGTGCGATGGAGGTGATCGCTCCCCTCCTCCCCCCCCTTGTTATTAATAATAATTATAGTGTAGAGGCCGATTTAAAAAGCATTACATTTTAGGGCTGCCCCCTACTCCCACCACCCTTGAGAAAATTCTATATACGCCTCTGGCTCACCATGGTGAGGAAGATGCCGAACTCGCGGTCCATCTCGACGCTGTCGCCGTCCGTGAACACGAACTGTGTGCGCTTGTTCTTCTTGCACTGCAGCACAATGTAGATCTGCTGAGCGGCCACCGACAGCACGGGCAGCTCGATGCGATTAAACTCGTCGAAGCAGCCCCACGCGCCCGACTGGGCCAGCCCTGCGGAGGCAGACAGTGCGAGGAGAAGGAGGAAAGGGACACAGAGATAGTGGGGGGAGAGGTATAGAGTAGGCAAAGCGGAGGCAAGGTTGGAGGGAGGAGATGAAGGAGAGGGAACACATGGTGGGGGATTAGCAAGAGAACAAGGGAGGCAGAATCAATTGCTGCATTTAAACAATTATAGTATTTTATATTATTTTGCTGCAGCTTACTTTTTGTCTTCTCTAGCTTCCTGTACCCCTTACTGCCTTGATGATATTGTTATTTCTGAGCATTGTGTACAGTGTTTTGAGATGCAGTCCCATTTCATAAATTATATGAAGATGATACGAACTTTATAGTAACCTTGCGAAGCAAAATACTTTCATGGGCATATTGTGGAGATTGCGGCAGTCAATAGGGCAAGATGTACTTCATTGTTTAAATAGTGAGCTATAATTGCAGCAATCATACAGACTCTACACGGACAATAACTGGCTCACCCAGTAATTTATTAAGTGAGAGTTGAGGCCTTGATTTTAATCCAGCTGACGTAACAAGATGGATGGGAGCAGCAGTGGACTCGAATGGATAACAACAGCATGGGGAGGACTTCATCCAGCAGTGGACAGGCAGTAGCTGATTATGTGGATGACGAACAAGAAAACAGACAAGTGGTGGCAGCCAAAAATTTGAAACGGTCACGGGGCAGCACGGAGAGAGTCGTGACACAAACCTTTGTAGATGCGGCCGAGCCCACGGTAATCCATTTGGTCAGAGCAGTTGAAGACCACCACGTACTTTCCCAAACACTTGCCCATGTCCTTGGTGGTCTCCGTCTTGCCGGTACCTGCTGGCCCAGCTGGGGCCCCACCCATGCTCATGCCCAGTGCCTGGGACAGCGTGATGTAGCACCTGAAAGCAGAACACACGACACCGCACGCTTTTTGCTTTAGCTGCTGAGCTCATCACCTGCCGAGGATCCTACATTTCATGGGACGTGAACAATGGAGGGAGCACGTTTGGGTTCAAATGGGTAGAAGACTTGAAGTTATGTCTGAAAATGTAATTCAGATGTCACCTTTTACATGTTTCAATTCTAATAACAGTGTTGCATGTTTTTTTTGCAGCTAACAGACACTTTGGCTTGATGGAAGCAAAGTTATTAGGTATGATGATTTTCAGATGAAAAAAACCTATTTCTAAACGAATTATTAAAAACTAATTATTCCACTAATAATAACACAAGTTTGCTGTGAAGCACACACAAAAATAAAATTAACAAATTCGCAGAGTCAAATGAAGAAATAACGAATGTCTATTCTAAGCATGTGATGCTGGCACCCTCCACTTTCGCACATGGTAACGTACCGTCAAATTACCCCAAGCCATACGACGTAGGGAGGCCCTCACCCAGCAATAGATTGACAAAACATGCAATACATATACATGTGCTCATACAGCTAACCCAATAGAGGAGGGAGGTATGATGCCAGGATGGATGTGGGTGCTGACCGGTCGGTGAGCGGGGTGATAACCAGGCGGTCGGTGCACCCCAGGTATTCGTTGCAGTAGTGAAAGTCGACGTCCGTGATCTGGATAAGGCACTTATCCGTCTCCTCCACAAAGTAGAAGCGTGACTGCTTCAGCCACTCAAAGTCGGCCGTCGACTTGATGTTCATGCGCACCTGCGTAGCACACCAAGTGAGTCAGTCCATCAGTCCATTCACTTGGACAGCTGGGGTCATTGCTTTAATTACAGGTGGCCTCTGCATAAAGCCTCATCCCACATCTCATTAACGACAGAAAATATAGAGTAATTGGACAATTCATGGACCCGAGGGTGACTGCGAGCTCTCAACCTGATTAGTTTGGCACATCTGCTTTATCTGACATCAGTGGTGAAGCTTTAAAAGTGTGTATGTGCGTGTGCCATCCACTAACATGTCTTTAGTTTCATTCTTTCTTCTTTAAACAGCTGTAGCGGTCTATGGATGTGTTTGATTTTTTATGTGTGTTTTTGTATTTGGCATGGGCCACCCCTGACCCACCAACAACTTCCATGCACTCCTCCCATGTTCGTCACGACCACCTGAAACCCCACACCCCCACTTCTGCCCCCCCCCCCCCCTCACCAGGTCATCAAAGATGTCCTTCTGGTGCACGTGGATGGTGATGAGCGTCTCGTACTTGACGCGCTCGCGTTTGGTGAGGTCGCGTGTTGTCATGTCGATCAGCTCATTGAGCAGGTCCAGGAACTTCTGGTTGGTGGCTGGCATGATCTACATCATTGTGGAACACACACTCATCAGATCAGTAAGTTTTTGTTTTGTAGCTGGAATGACGCTTTCTCTAAGTTGTGTTGGTTTTAAAACAAAAGTATGCATGGTTAAATTATAGGTAATGATTACAATAGCAAATATAATGTATACAGCATCTCAATGAAATTGCATCTTGAGACACTTTACAAAAAGAGAAAACCTGCTTTTAGAATAGAAGTGGGATGGTGTTGGTGGGGTGAAGTTTTGTTGCCAAAGCACGGGAAGGAACATTGCGATGGTTTGGCCATATGGTGTGGCGTTGTGGAGTGCAACATCACAGAGTTTTTAAAGCAGAGATTCGGGGAAGGAGAGAAAATGGAAGACAAGATGGAAATGTGAAATAAACAGATACATGAGAATATCTGTGGTGACAACAAAGGAGGCCTTCGACAGACAGAAGTGGAGGAGAGCGATCGGGGTTACCTCTGAGCAACTAGAAATGTGGAAACAGCAGCCATAAGCAGAAGAAGAGGGGGTAGGGGCTGTGAAGGCCAGAAACGTGGCCTCATTCTCCAGGCAAACGTTGCATCTACTGGTCCCCACCTTGCGGTCATTCTTAGCATTATTGAGGGCCACCTCAGAGTCCCGCGTCCAGATCATCTGGATGGCCAGGAGGCCAACTTGTGCCGGGAAGGAGGTCTGGAACTCGTGCAGCTTGAAGGCACCGTCCTCAATGATGGCGGCCGCCTGGCGGATGACGGCGTGCACTGTGCTGCGCACGCCGGTGAGCAACGAGCCGAGCCACGTCTCCACATTCCCCTGCCACCCGCGCCACGGTCGCACATCAGAAGAATCAGAATATTCATTTACACTGGAGGAATCCGATGAGGTATAAAGCTCTTTTTCACACATGTTCAGTAGGGGTATCATGATCACAGCGCTTTGGTTCCAGTGATTCTTGTGCACTCAGCTATGTAGGGATTTGAAAGCTTTTCTAAATTTCAACGAGTTAATGCATTAGCACGTTTTGTCTATACGTCTGTCTATCTGTAGCGAGGGGTCATGATAACTCTCGTGAAAACGATGCAATGTAAATTATATTTTAGTATAAAGCTGTGTTGATATTAAGGACTTTCCATAAAAAAATGGCCAAATTCGATTCAAGGTTTCCCAAAATTTGGAGATAAAAACCAGCAGTAAAAGTATTTGCCTTGCTGGTTGAGGGAGATGACATCATACATTATGCGTGAGCACCTCGCTTCCCTCCTGGTGAAGTACTTACACAAGATGTCAGTTTGAAAGGTAATGTTATTATCGCTAATTAAATACTTACAAGGACTAAAACATGTTGCAAAGTATGGCGCAATATGTGCATGTGCATGATTTTTCATTCTTGTTTTGTGTTAAATTCACGACAACACTGTAATGCTTTGCCGGTTCGTTGGTACAGTGAGTCCTTAACCGTGGAATGCGTGATAGTAGTGGGTGAGTAATTGTTCACATCCACTCACAACCTGATGAATTGTTACAATTAGATGTTGTAATTAAATTCCAGAATCTATTATTTTATTTTGCCATCGCGGTTTATGCAGCAGCTTCAGCAGGTGCATGACTTACGTGAACCAATTATATACAACATACAAGAAGTAGAGTAAACAAAACCATAAACTATGCCTGTACCATGAGCAGAAGCATAACATTTTCACTGCATTATTTCATGCGGAGTAGTGAATAATACATTTTAAAAATGTACTTACCTGGGCCATGACGGGCTCCACCAGGGTGACAGATTCACCCTCCTGGGACTGGATGCTCAAGATCTGCTCGTAGTTCTTCTCGTGGAAGCCCACTTGGTTCACGTTATCGAACAGACCGAGCAAGTGAGCCTGCACGCATGCGTACACGCGCATACTCAGCGACACGGCAGCCTCACCGCATCAGCAGGTACTCGCACACAACATCAACAACTGCACTGTCATTGCAACCAAAGGGCTCTATGTGGCTTTCCAGTAAAATATGCACGTTCAAAGCATCTAGACGCAATTGTATCAAGAGATGTGTTGTAACAAGAGAGGGTTATATTCTAGAAGATTAGATTGAGGATGGGATGAAATATCAGAAAGTGGAAGGATTTTTTTGTATGGGGAAATGATGAGGGAGGCAGAGGAGAACAAAAAGTCTTCCGCTTTTCCTCTTCTCTCTCCTTCCTTTCTCCGTCCCCCCCACCACCACCACTCATTTCCCATGTGTGTGACACGATTTGCAGGACACCTATCCTTAACCCTATCTGTGGCACGCACACACACACACCTGTATTGTGTGCGGATCTGACGCCTGACCCAAGATCTCCAGCAGGGCCGGGTCGGACACAAAGAAAAACCTGGGGAAGACCAGGCGCTTCTTCTCCAGGTAGCCCGTGAGGCTCTTCTGACACATCTCCAGCTGCTCTAGCAGGTGTGGTAGCAGCTGCGCCAGCGTCTCGTCGCCCACGCAGCACACAACAATGCCCGGGATTTCGTGTGCGCGCTGCATGATCTTCTGCCACGACTTATCGATGTTCTGGAATCGCTTGGCTTCCTAAAAGTGTGCCCACAAACCGACAACAGCAGTGAAAACGAAGTGGTTATTTATGCTAACGTTTGTGATCGTTTAGTGGGAATGGTGGTGCTGTGGTTAACGTGCATGCTCTTGAACCCGATGACCTGAGTTTAATTCTTGGCTGTGGCTACCAAGGAAAAGGATTTACAACTTAATTCGTCTGACATAACATCTCATCTGAAGCATTGAAATATAACAGTATCCAGAGATATCTGAACTGGTTCCTGGGAAACAACTCCTCTAAACGAACCTGCACTGGGCAACATGGTGGTGAATCATGGTGGTGAATCATGGCCATGTAACCCCTAAAAACCACAGGCATGGGAAGACCCTCATCCAACAGTGGATTGACAGAAAGGCTGTACGTGTATATGGATTACATTGGGATTTGAGAAGTGTGGATCGTGTGTCTAGGGCAGGAAGTAGGACAGACCTGGGGCAACTGCTTGGCAATGTCTCCACCAACGAACACAGCCTCCAGGTAAATCCAAAGGTTCTGCACCATCATCCAGTTTTCAATGATCTCCGTAGTATTGGACAACTTTTGCACCCACTGCTGGATGGTTGGCTTGAAGGGCACGTTGTACCTGCAGCAGCAAAGATAGGGCATCGGTTACACAGTAGCTGTTGTAAATAAATGCTTTGAACATAGTCAACATAATCATGTGTTTAATGTCTCAAATCTGTAAATAATGAGAATATTTATACTCATACTCATGAAGAGAATATTTATCATAACAGAAAACTCAGTGCAGGCCAGAAAAAAAGTTGCAAACATGTATATAAACATGCATTCATCCTCGTGCAATGTGAAAAATCATCAACAATTCCTGAAGAACTGCTGAAGGACCTCAATGCAGTTCTTTAGAAACTGTTGGTTTTTACATAATTCTCGAGACTGAGTTTTTTGCACACATTTCTGTGTGTTGTTAATCAGAATATTTACATCTCAATATTTATCAGATTAAATCGAATTAAGTATATTTTGCAGTATCAATTTCATTACCACAAAAATAACAAGGCTCGTTTATCAGCCATAAAACGATTCACCGCCCCCCTCTCCAAGTGATTCAAGGTTGTGGTTAAATGCAAACTATCTTTATGGCAAAAATGTACCATCTAGTTTGTCTTTTTTATATTTTTTTCTATCCAATTGGTACTTTTGTTGGCTGCTTTAGCCTTAATGTAATATTAACATGTAATGAGCATAACCCCTGATGGTCATCCTCTCAGACATGTTCACCCCTTTGTGTGCTATTCCATCACCAGCCATCATCCCAAACCATGCCAAGATGAATCAAAAACAGGATTTCAATGCCTTGAATCGGCAGCTCCAAATGTCGTCATCCTCTATCAGCCCCCCCCCCCCCGCAAGCTTCTACGCTTCTCTCCCAATCACCTGTTGCTCATGAGCGAGGCGAGCACCATGAGGCTGTCTTCCATGAGGGCCACTTTCTCGGCCGTGTCGCTGCCCTTAAGCAGCAGCTCGCCGCGCGTCTTGAACGGGGCAAACGTGAAGCACTGACTGCTCCACTCGCTCACCACGGCCTTCAGCTTGGCGTCAATGTCACGCTCCTTTATGGCGCTGATACAGATGTCCTGCACAGCGATGATGATGACGACAAACCGTGCATTGAGAAATCCAGCTCCCCAAATTCTGCAGCCCCCTTGACCTCTCTCTACACAGATCCGCTTAATGCAGTCAACACATGGCAGACTCTTTGAAGCTATAACTTTTTTTTATAGCCCTTTAGTTAAAGAAATTACGTTTTTTAAAAACGCTTGCTCAACCACGTGCAAATTAATAGGTAGAGAATCTGTACACTGATGGATTAAAACCTCCCCAGGCTGTGTTGATCATAGGGGTTGTTTGACCATTCTTCACCACAAGGGAGAAGTGACATAATGGCTAACATCAGGGGCAAGTGATATCTGTACCAATCATAGATGCCCGCCCAACTCACACTGACCAGAATGGTGAAGTACGGTCTAATAGCCACCATGGCATGGGGAGGTCTTTATTCAATAGCACCATTAATAAAGAGCTGATAAATACTGTGTTCATCATTAATCACTTCAAATAACGAGCTGAGCACGTTGAATTGTGTGGAAGATAGGAAGAGTGGGCGGTACCTCGATGTCATCCTTGAACGTGAGAAGAGGAGCCTCCATGATGTTCTTGAGAGCAAAGTGGTCCGACTCGATGTCAAATGTGTGTCCAGTTACGGTCGTGATGCGCTCCCAGTGTCGCGACATCATCGCCTGGGGCAGTACGGGGGCGCAGACAGGCGACGGTTAGTGTCTTCTTCCAGAAAAAGTGACCGCAAGCCGGAACCTGGGACCAAAGTTTGTTGTCCTTCCCCCACACCTCTGAATAGCACGGTTGGCTACGTATGGTGCAAAAGACATTCAACATACATACATACAGTAGGTGACAGTGGGACACGGGAGAAGGTAAAGGAGAGTGGAAGAGGAGGCATGGGGGCCAATGGTTATACATTGAACTGTATTGTTGACAATTATTAAAACTGTTATTATTCATATTACACTGCATTACCCCGGTGTAATAATGATCGAGTCTCAACTCGTTTCTCAGGAGCGTCCTGCTACTTGTTTGCTGTAGGGGGCGATACATGCTATGCATTTTCCAATTAACAAATATGTAAGTTTTCTAATTTGGACCATGACACTGACAAATGGCGGCCTAGCCTTCTTCGAATGACATCACGGGATCTTTAACGTTCACTCTGAAGCAAACGGTGCATATTTTTTTTATACAACCGCTGTATTAACTAGTGCAGCCTGCCGGATTCGAACTGTGAACCTCTGCAACAAGCGGCTGGGCCATGTCACTGCCCCTAATAATATAAGGATTCTTTAGACAGAAAACTGAGATAGGATGTGGTGTAGTGCTTGTCCTAGTTATAATAGTAAACTGCATCCGTTGATGGTGTCGTTTAGAAGGAATACCAGTGCAGAAGGCAACCGGAAACCACGTCAACCATTATTCCATAGCTATGGTTCAAGAAGCTCAATAAGCCATAGCTATGAAGAGGGGGACTGGGACAGGATGGGATGGAAGGAGATTGAGCTATGGACCTGCCCTTGGACAGAAAAATAGACTAAGTGAGAGGGAGGAGTAGCAAGTGAAGAAAATTAATTTTGGATAAAGATGTGTACCCTTAACCTTTTATTTCTCCTTCTGCATCGGCAGAGCAAAATAGTCAAGGAAAGTGGTAGTTATTTCTCACAACCAAAGTTTCCATTTGGTGATGCTAAGTTACACAAATGGACCTTATTGGCCATCATCTCCAGCAGCGGACACGTCTCATTGAAGTTGTCGATCTTCTTTTTCAGGTCCTCAAATGCCTGCCACTCCTTCAGGGCCTTCGGCAGCTTGCGGCACCTGGCCAGAGCAACAAAAGTCAACGGCAAAAATAATTAGATTTTTTCAAATATGCAAAAACAATGTACATAGCAACTTAATGTAATCACATCTCAAGATGCTTTATATACATTTTTTATAATTACAAAAGGTAAAAGTATGGAAGGTGGAGAGGGGTTCAGGACAAGAAATCATGGGAGAGAGGAGAGATGGCACCACTGCGGCACAGCCCGGGAGGAAGCAACAGGTGCTCAGCACCAACAGAAAGAGCGAGAGCACCAACAGAACAATGAGCCATAGACACAGCCGAGGCAGCCAGGGCAGTACACTCCCCGGGTTACGGAAGGGTTAGGTTTCCGAGAAATATCCACAACCCTAATTTTCCGTATGTCGGAAACCATTTTCTCTCAGTCCTGTATCACGCTGTCATCCGTTTTCTATTGCTACCTGTATCGTATCGCTGTACATACGCTCTGCACTTCCTATGATTCTGTGAAATGCAATAGCACTACCCATTATTAAACTAATGGAACATAAACTATTTCCAATTGTTGATTTTAATATTAATATTAATTGTTAATATTAATTGTTAACACTTCCGAATGTTTACCGTGCATTCGGCAAGGCCTCGAATTCACATACAAACACATACACGCACACAAAGACAAAGGTGGAGTAGGCTTGTCTATAAAGACAAATATCTCCCATATAACCTTAACAGACTGTTGGGGCAAGTGCTGTTATCGAGCACCTATAAAGGCCAGCAGGGCACACGAGAGGGTGGGTGGCCAGCACCACCCCCGGCCGCCTTTGTCTCCCCAGTGGCCATGTTTACACACCACACCAGGTACTAATTTGAGGCTCAGTCGACCTAGGGGAGGCCCAGGACCAGTTCAGATAATCGTCACTGGTGTTGGCCATCAGCGGGAATCGAACTCGTGTAGCCAGGTTCGTAGCGCAGTGCACTAACCGCTACACTACCGCTCCCCACTACAACAACAACCGCCATTCACCACTAAGTGGCGTTGACGTCACCACGACGCTTGTGCCAGGCTATATGCACTTTGAGGCCACGTGAAGTATCGAACGCCTGCTGGCAGGAGGTCACGGGGCAGACCCAGGTGCCACGGGTCGACTGACTGAGATGACTGGCTGATGCACCACCTGTGCCCCTACTGTGCCAACTTGCTGTGCTTTAGCCACCCGGGGCTCCGCTCGTTGTTGTGAGTGTCGCTCCTCCCCCCTCCATTGTTGTTGGAGGGCGACTGCCTCCAACTGCCCAGTAGCATCCTTCAAGAGCCTCCTCCACAGAGGCCGATCTTGACACCGCTGGTACCGGTCATCGGCAAGTCCACTCAGCTCCACATCCTCTTGTACCACATCACTCCATCTCTTCTCTAGCCCATGCCATGCCCATTTAGTCCCCTCGATCTGGCCGAACAAAAGATGTTTAGGCGTGCAGTGACTGGGCATGCAGGCTACATGACCCAGCCAACACAGCCTTACCTGCCGGAGGAGCTTACCGATTGGACTTTGTCCAGATCTTTCAAGGATATGTGAGCTCCTCACACAATCCAGCCAGGTTAAACCCAGGATGGATCGAAGGCAGGCCAGCCTAAATGTTTCTAAATGGCGAAGATGTTCCATTAGGGGGGTCCACGTTTCGCAAGCGTAGAGAAGGGAGGGAATGACTGTGGCCGGGAAGACCTGAAGCTTCGTGCGGAGCGACAGACCAGGTAGCTTCCACGCAGCGTTACGCAACCAATGAAAAGATAATGCCGCTCGACTGATTCGGAGTGAGACATCTGCTGTCAAAACGGAGCCGGTCATGAACACACTGCCAAGGTATGAAAAACTCTCCACTCTCTCCACAACTGCCCCATCACCAATTGGGAGTTGTGGGGGTGGAGTGTCCGATGGTACAAAATACCCAGGCAGGTGCTTAGTTTTGGTGGGGCTGATGGTAAGTCCCCACCTCTTAGTGGCAAGCTCCAGGTTCAACATCAGCACCTCCAACTCCTCCTCTGAGTGAGCAGCAATTACCAGATCATCGACATACGTAACATGGTTGAGTAATAGGGAGCCATCCCTCGACCGCACCCAGGCATCGATCAGCCTCCCATTGTATCTGTACCAGATGGAAATTCCTCCGGTACAGCTATTAAAGGCTTCACGAACTACGTGGTTGAAATAGATGTTAAATAATGTGGGAGCCAGAGGACATCCCTGTCGCACCCCAAAGTGAACAGGGAATGGCTCCGACTCCCGGCCTTGTAGTTTTACACGGGCCCGCTCACAATCATGAAGGTCCTTAATGATTGTGAGCAGCGGGTCAGGGACTCCGAAAGCACAAAGAACAACCCAGAGCCCAGGCCTACTGATGGTATCATAGGCCTTGACCATGTCAATAAAGCAGAGATGTAGGTCTTGTTGGAATTCCTTACACCTCTGCTGTAGCAGACAGACAGAAAATATGGCATCTGTGCAGGTCCGCCCTTTCCTGAAACCCATCCAGTGGTCCAGACTGTTGTTATGATGTCATGTAGGGCTGTCTGTGCACAAACGCCACCCTCCTTCAGCATTTTGCTTGGGAGATCATCTCTGCCCGGTGCCTTTCCTGGTCTCAGGCTCTGGATCGCCTTCAATAATTCCTCAACAGATGGCACCTCAGCCAGCCACTCACAGGGGGTGACTTCTTCTTCCAATATTTGAGGCAATGCAGCCTCATAGCAAACAGAAAACTGGGACCCTTAAATAACGAATGACATAGGTGTAGCTTCCCCCTTCGCTTTTGCTATCATCAGTGAGCCCCACTACCCCCTCCCCACTGGGGTCGCTCCACCCGCCAGTCCCTACTTGTTCTGGAAGTCCAACAGCTCGTTGTTGATCTTCTCGATGTCGAGGTCGCTCCAGAGGATCTCGTAGTATCCGTCGACGCTCTCGATGACCGTGTTGTAGAGCCCGTACAGCTTCTGTAGCAGCGCCAGCTCTCGGCGGATCCGCTGCAGCTCGGGGTAATCTGCAAGTACAGGAGCAGTGGTTATGGGTAAGGGCGTGGGATGGAGGGTGGTGGATTGGTCGCAAAGTGGTATATCATTATTCATGACCGCTTTCCCTTCCCTAAATTGACACAGATATATTTTCTTGACATTATGGTTATCCTTTATATTTTTTACTTGGTATTTTCGAACAAAGTGACTAGGTCAAACATTTCTGGAGAAGTCATGTAATGAGCAATAAGATACAATTACAATATGATGAGAATAAAAAAAATATCTCAACAATTCCGCATTTCAAGATATTGTATGGAAACAGTGGGCTCATTTATTGTAGAGAGAGGCAGTCACATGCAGAGGAAAACATGTTTTTTTTTGCCTGGATTTTAACAGGGGCAGGAAGTCAATATCACACATGGCAGGAGGAAAGGAGTCCCAGATGATGGGGCAGCAGAAGAGAATGAGTGATCTCCCACTGAGAGAAAGTTCACTGAGGAGCTTTGACAGAAGGTTTTGATTGCTGGAACAGAGAGTGTGAGGAGGATCTTGAAGACAGAAAGTGTGATCTGGAAATTGAGCTGTGATAGAAATAGGAGCCAGTGGAGTGATCAGAGTATTGGGGTGATCTGGTTTCATTTACAAGTATGTGTGAGAAATGTGGCAGTGACATTTTTAATGAGATATTTATTGAGAATTCTGGCAGTCATAAAATGACGTAATTCAACATCTGGTGGAAGCATATTGAGAAATACGAATGCCAAACATTGATGAATCTGCACGGTACATCTGACACAGGACGATCACGCAACGCACCTGTGACCGGTAGCCCAAAGAGTTCCTCTCCACCCGAATAGGTGGTAAACTTCCGCCACAGGTCGTCAAACCGCATCTGGCACATCTGCAGTCGATCGCTTGCCTCCTGTGGAGCGATCCCTGCCTCTCCAGGCCCCCTGATACGGACACAAAATGTGTAATTATTCAACTAAGATAACTGTCAACATTCAAAGTGATTTCCTGTTCAAACAATTGAGGTGGTACTCATCTCCTGTTTACAGCCCTGAGACAGTGTTGGAAATTCTACATTCTACAGAGACAAGTCTATCCAGAGGTCAACTCCTGTTGACTTCCCGTGTTACCGACCTCGGAAGTATGATCGTCTGAATCAACCCCCAATTACTTTTGTTATGCAGCAATTTATATGACAAAGTGTAACCTCTTCCATGGGCATTCTCTGACACATGGGGGTTCTGCTGTCAGAGATCTCCAAATGGATCCTGCATCTCGTGACATGACGCTGGTAGCACAGTTGGAATATATTGGGGAAAAAGACAACAAAAATAATACAGATATCATAGCATTTGCTGTATAACTGCTGAGAAGCCAAACACGGAGGGACATCTGTATGGAATTGTAAATAACAATACACATATTCTTGGTTCTTTCAGTAAAGTCACGTAGAAGGGAAATAATAAAAGAATAAAAATATAAAACAATAAAGATTCTCACAAAAACATGGTTAGATGCCACGAAGTAGGTGGCAATGCCTTCTACCATATGTGTTGTAAAGACCACATGGGTCTCTTCCATCCTTATGTGTTGTATGAAAGGAGAGAAGGTTAGCACTCCCCTTGATAAGGACGGAAGAGACCCTTGTGGTCTTTACAACACATATTGTTAAGGCATTGCCACCTACTTCGTGGCATCTAACCATGTTTTTGTGAGAATTTTTATTGTTTAATATTTTTTTTCTTTTATTATTTCCCTTCTACATGACTTTACCAAAAGAACCAAGAATATGAATCCCTGCAGTCACGAAAGCTTTAAATCAAAACAATACACTTATTTATTAATAAGTGAAAGAAATAGCTTCACAGGAAGCTGGTTGCAAAGTCAAATGAGCGAGCATACATGAGGACAGACAGGAGGATGGCTCCACTCACTGGGTGTCGTAGTCGAGGTGGAAGGAAGAGAGGTCTTGGTGGAACTGCGCGACACCGGTCAGCAAGTCGGCCTTCATCGTAGGTTGCAAGACCACCAGCGTGTTCTGCACCTGCACACTCTGCAGGGATCAAGGGGTATCATCTGTAGCTCCCAAATATCTGGGAAGCTCAACTGGGGACACATGGTGAACTGGAAGACCCTCCATCTATCAGCACCACAACATTTTACATAGCCACGCCCACTCAACTACTAGTCCTGCCCACATAGTGAGTGGCCATTCATCTGACATTGGCCCCACCTACTACTCATCTGTTTGGGAGTTGACCAAGCCCATCTTTCTTCCAGGGTCGATCAAATTTGTACTACTTTGTAAAACAGTCGAGACTGTTTGTCCTATGCATAAATTAACTTCTGCCAGAGGAATAATTAATTTCCACTACCGTGTCATGGATGTAAACATGAAATGAGCACTGTTTCAATGCTCGTTTGAGCAAAAAAAGTATATATTTTAAAGAAGAAATAGGTTCCTAGTCTCTCCTTTAAAGCAACGACAAGACAATACCTGGGTCATGAGGTTCTTCCAGCAGTACGCAAGGCCATCCACGCGGTCAGCACTGCTGTCGCGGAACGTGAGGTCGTATTTGGCGAGCATGGCGAAGGCCTCCTCCACAGGCCCGATGGCCGATTCCATCTGAATCTCGGCGGCGCGCAGCTCGGCCAGAACCGCCATCGCCGCCCGCACATCCTCCAGGTCACAAATGGGCCTCGCCAAATGTTTGGCCATGGCCTCGGAGAAGGCGAGCACCTCGTCGGTGGAGGCCGACGCCTTACGGTTGAGGGCGGCGCCAAACGCACGCTTCCACGTGCGGCACTCCTGCACGAGCGCCAACTTGAGTGGCTCGGTCATGGCAAGCACCGGCCCCACGGTAAAGTGTGCCGGCAAATCCTGCACCTGCTGCTCCAGTTGCTGTAGGGAAAAGAGTAACCAGGCTGGGTGAGTGCCTGACCTTGTATTTTATTTTGTCACTTTTCTCCAGTTTCATCCCAATTGTGCTATTTGCGGCCTGCCATGAGACGAAGTATCCAGATGCATCTCTTGCACATTAATGCAACTCTTCGTGATAGAGAATGGCCCAAGGAAGTGGATACCACAGGACTGCCTCTGAAATCCAATCAAGTGACCTAGTCCACATAAGTAGAAGGGCAGCACTTTCAAACCCACTCTGCTTTTTCAGAGTAATGTTGTTTGCATGAATCAAACTGATATATGTTTTGTTCTGATAGATGGAATTGATTCAAGTTAAGTGCAGAAACACTTTTAAGGTAAGGAATGTTTAGTGCAGCAATCTTTGGTGACCAAGCTGAGATCATCAACTCATTATGCTGGGCAAATACAGGCAGCTGAAAGCCAGATTTGAACCCAGGATCTCAGCAGTGAAAGCAGTGCTCTGAACTCTGAGCCAACTGGCCCTGTTGAGTGCCTGATATTGTGCTTTACTTTTTGTTGACAATATGTGTGCAAGCTTCTAAGTGGCTGAATGCAGCAGACATTAAAAGTTCACCTACATGTTGTTGACGCTAAACGTGAAGGTGGGTGTTTAGTAATTTACTGGGAGTGATCACATTCACTCACAGCATAGTACACCATCTGTGCGTTAAACTCCGACATGGTGGGATCTGTTGTCATAAACTGCTTCACCATCTCCTCTGGTTCCTGGAGCACAAACATTCGTTCTCTGGTTAGTGAAACCAATATTTAGCACTGGATGTTTGTTCCACAACTGAAATATTGTATGTCAGAAAATTTAATTTTGGCTTAAAACTTTCGTGACTGAAGGAATTCATATTCTTTGGTTCTTTGGGTAAAGTCAAATATATAAAAAAGCATAATAAAAAATAAAGTGAATACAAATTTTAAATAATTTTTTTAAAAGACTAATGTAGACTGTAGCCTGGTTCTTAATCATAGTGAGTGTACTGGCAATCTATAATGTAGACTGTAGCCTGGTTATTAAGTTTGGTGAGTGTATTTGTAGTCTATAATGTAGACTGTAGCAATTGTTATTAAGCTGAGTGTACTGGCAGTCTATAATGTAGACTGTAGCCTGGTTCTTAACCTCGGTGAGCATATTGGCAGTCGATAATGTAGACTGTAGCGTGGTTCTTAAACTTGGTGAGTGTACTGCCTACAGTCTACATTATAGAATGCCAGTATGCTCACCGAGGTTAAGAACCAGGCTACAGTCTACATTATAGACTACCAGTACTCACCAAACTTAATAACCAGGCTACAATCTACATTATAGATTGCCAGTACACTCCAATACAGAACCAGGCTACAGTCTAAATTAGAGTTTTTTATTTGTATTATATTTTAATTCTTTTAATTCACTTTATTTTTTTATTATTTTTCTATCTACGTGACTTTACCGAAAGAACCAAATAATATGTCAGAAAATTCGTGCAACATTTTCAGGCAGACATCTAAAGTCAAGATTTTATCTGCCTAAACAAATGCTATATTCTTGGGTTTTTTCGGTAAAGTCACGTGGGTAAAAAATTAAAATTAATAAAAGTAAAATAAAATAAAAATCACGACGTTTCGGAGGCAACACAAGCTTCCGTCTTCAGGTGGAACCATCACAGCACGCTTGCTGTATCTTCAGGTGGAACCGTCACAGCACGCTTGCTGTATCAAGTACTGCAAGCGTGCTGTGATGGTTCCACCTGAAGACGGAAGCTTGTGTTGCCTCCGAAACGTCGTGATTTTTATTTTATTTTACTTTTATTAATTTTAATTTTTTACCTACGTGACTTTACCGAAAAAACCCAAGAATATGAATCCTTGCAGTCACGAAAGCTTCAAATCTAGAATAAACAAATGCTGCTGGAAAAAAAACATTGGTCCGGAAGGCTGATCAGCTCGCGTTAGCCATAGCTGGCAGTCAAATTCTGGTTGCCGGATTTATATATCGGTGCGTTATCCACTGCACCACTGTTCCATCCAGGGTCATAGGAGCAAGCAAAAAATCCTCTACGCCACCTTCCTCACCCAGAGAGAATTCACCTCAGTAATTACTTCAGTCTCCTCCGTCATTCTTAAGTCTCACTTTGGGTGGAGGGAGGCTCACCTGGCTCCAGAGGCTAGAGAAGCATGAGAAGTTCTTGAGGACCTCGGTGGACTCCACACGAAGAAACGACAGGACGGAGCTCAGGTGGAACATGACTTTGCCCACGTCCTTGTGCTCGGTGATCTGCTTGTCCAGCGTCCGCGGGTTTATCTGCTTGATGACGATATTCTCGTCGCCAAGTTCCCGCGCCACCTGCATCTCCAACTAGGGACAGCAGTGTTTATGGAATCTCTCAATATTCCATTATTCTCTCTGGTTGTGTTTGATTAAAATATGACTGCCATGGCCTACATCAGAGGTTGGGAATCTTGTCCTTCCTATGGGCCTAGTAAGACATTAAAATAGCTTTAGTGAGTCACATTCGTTGACACTAAACTTTGATCACTCTAGGAATGTATACATTAACAGTGTGCTCAGAGATACTTGCAAGACAACAAGAGAGTTTGCTAAACTTAGAAACACAGTGTTGCCAGATCAAATATTTCCCTCTAATACCTACTTAATGTGGCTAAGATGATTGAAGTGCCAGGTATTGTTTATGGGTCATTTTGAAGTGGCGGGCCTCATGTGGCAGCAAACCGTATTGACTATGACCTGTGGGCCGTAGGATCCTTACCTACCCTTAGCATAAGCAACCGTTATCTAATATTTTCCCACTAAAAAATGCACGCCCACCTTCAAGTTGCTTTGAGCAGAGTAAATCACTGAATTTACATTACAGGTGCCAAGAGATGAGTTCTGCTGACTGCTGCTTTGATCGATGAGGCTTACCTGCTGCTGCTTCTGCTGCAAGTGAGCGTACTTCCACACCGAGATGTCCTTTGCCATACCCAGCATCACGTTCACAGCTTTGTTCAGCGACGACTAATGGAAAAATGGAAAAAAATTACGCAACCATCGCTGTTATACGTTCAATGACACAGCCTCATGTCCACACGCTTACACATATCCAAACACAAAGTCAGCAATCTTACATTTAGATTTGCAAATAACCAAATGTCACTAATTAGGTCAGATCTCAGAAGTTAAGCAGGGTTGAACCAAGTTAATATTCGGAAGGGTGGCCACCAAGGCTTGCCGGGTGTTGTCAGCAGGGCCGGATCATGGTCCCGTGAGGCCCCTGGGCACATGTCTTTTGGAGGCCACCCCCTCACCCACCCGCTTTCCTATATTGGTGTCTTTCTTGCCTTCCTCCCTGCAAAATCATGCACTAAATCGTCAAAATCTAGCTTTCTGACAAGGTCTGACTCTATTGACATAAGTGGCAATGTGCTGAGACGTGTTTGGCACATGCTACTCTGCAGCTCATTTTTTATTCTGCCGAAAAGGGAAAATGTCTGTTCACCCTGGCAGTTTGTCACTGGCAAAGTTAGAAAAATCCAAAGTGCCACGAAAATATTGGGGAACACTGACTGCAGATTCAGTTCCTGCAACGTCTCAAGCAATTTAGTTGGGCACTTCTCACTCTCAAAGTCAGACATGAAAGACTTGAATTGGATGAGTTCATTGGCAAAGTTCATGTCCAGGTCGGATGGATATGCAGCGGAGAGTGCATTTACCTTTTCCACTATGACATTACTGTTAGACACCTGATCTGATATAAACAGAACTCCAAAGAAACTGGTCAAACGCTTGTAAGTTTCCAAGAGATGTTCAAGGCATGCCACTAGCTTATCAATGACCACATCAAATGTTTCTATTTTGAACTTATCCCTCCCCTCAAGTGTCACACCTAGCTCTGAGCTCTCGTCTGCAAATGTTTTGCATTTGCGTTGAGTAGATAAAAGAAAAAAATAGAAAAGCACATAAAAGAAAATAACCCTAACCCTTTAAAAAGGTTGTTAAAAAATAGCCCTTAGGAGGGATTGTTGAAATAGCCTTTAAAAAGGCTGTTGTTTTAGAAAAAGACTAGCTTTACTACCCGGCTTCGCCTGAGACTTGGATTTTTGTTTTGGATTAATACACGGCCTACGCGGAGGGTGGGGGGGGGGATGCGTGACGTCAGCGGGCACACTGCATGACGCTGCCGCATGCGGGTGACATCACAGATGTGACGTCACCGCTCACTTGCCGTGCAAAATATATCCATTATTGCGCCCCCCCACCCCGCCCCAAAAATACAAAAGTCTATTTTTATACTTTTGCATTGTGTACAGTCTGGAAGCTACCCACATGCCAAATTTCAAGTTTGTTGCATGTCGGGAAGTATGCTAAACATTTCGAATAGACACACATATTCACAAATTTCCCTTTTTTATATATATAGATGCAAAAAGTATCTGAATATATTAATGTGGCGTAACAAGCAAAAAAACAGGCATCTGTCTGTGGTTTACCCTTCCAAGAAAAGTCTTATATACCTGCCTGACACAGAGAGAATAATGTTGCTTGCAATTCAAAAGAGAAGTTTTTTCTCATTGGCTGAACAACCAACAAAGGTTTCTGATAAGTCAGTGAAATTACTTGGTGGAGACTTAGCACATAGGCCACACCCCATCGATGGGGAGGGGAAAAAAGACCTCGTAAGAGCTATTGACAATTTGCATGTCAACGTTAGCATTATCTACTTCCGTGGATCTAAAAACAGATGGTCTATTGAAAAAATTTATGGGGTTTTCCTTAATCTTTAAGTATGGATTGGGTCTATTACATATGCGTTAGTGTATCAAAAAATGTATCTTTTGGCATTTTTTTTATGTTTCACAAAACCGCGGTGTATTTTTTATATTTGATTTGCCAATGGCGAACTAAGCTCTCAACAAACGACGAGCCCTAGGTCTCACTAGCTGGCGTTTTAGTGCAGCTAATTTGGTTGTAAGGGCAGCTAGCTGGCAAAAATGGCAGCTAGCTAACTAATTTCTGTTAACAAGCTGAATCATATGGGCAGCTAGCTAGGGAAAATTGGCAGCTAGCTAGAATAAAGGGTTAGCTAGTTACAGTAAGTCAAATAACTAACGGCTTGCCATAATATGACACCCTTCAAACTCTCCTGTTATGCAGAATGAACTGACTTGTTGGTGAATATTGTATCATGTCACAGCATATTGTAGCATGCCAACCAGTGGCTCAGTTGTACAGAAGCACTGTACTCTCCGAGAGGCTCTCGTTTTAAGCATGCACTGTATGTACCAAGGGGCCCAGGTGTTATGCTGGATGTATGCACCGAGGGGCCCAGGGGCCCTAGTGGTCAGATCACGCTTTAAGCCCCAGGGGCCTAGGGGCCCTAGTGGTCAGCTCACGTTTTAAACACAAAAGGGTCTGGGGGGCCCTCACATTGTAAGCACAGAGGGGTCTGGGGGGCAGTGGTGGTCAGCTCACGTTTTAAACACAAAAGGGTCTGGGGGGTCCTCACATTGTAAGCGCAGAGGGGTCTGGGGGGCAGTCGTGGTCAGCTCACGTTTTAAACACAAAAGGGTCTGGGGGGCCCTCAGATTGTAAGCACTGAGGGGTCTGGGGGGCCCTAGTAGTTAGCTCACGCTATAAGCACCCAGGGGCCTCGTGGTCAGCTTGCGCTGTGCGCACTGAAGGCCCTGGCGTTCAATTTCCTTCGGCATTCTTGGGCCATGCCTGAGGCTTGGAGGCCCCCTGGCAGTCTGAGGCCCCGGGGCACTGGCCCCACTGGCCCGGTCCATCATCCAGCCTTGGGTGTTGCAGGTGGAGGGTTTGTTACCTGGTCAGGAGTTGGCAGAGCTCCATGTCACCCCCTTGTATGTATGGTGGGTTTTCTATGGGTGTTATTATATCCTCTGACATGAAGCCAAACATTCAGTTATGGAATTGATAAAACATCCCAATGCAGAACTCTCCTGAGCAAGAAAAGACATCTTGAGGACCAGGGCAAATCATTGGGATTTTTCCTTTATCTTTATACTTTTGAGGAAAGGAAAGTTAGCCGCCTAATTTTGGCTTAACCTAGGTTTAGGACCGGTTGAGAATGTCATCCGCAAACTGACGTTATGGGGGTCATAGAACTATACTCTAACCAGTGCTAAACCACTCCCCACACACATGCACACATCCTCTCTCAGCACCTCGCCGACCCACCAGGTGGCTAGGGTCTCACCTGCAAGTCGTCGAGGCTGGGCTTGAGCAGCACGTTGGGGATGGCCAGCATGATCTCGGTGCAGAAGACGGGCGTGTGACCCTGCTGCAGTCTCTGCTGCTCCGCATAGGGCCCGGCCGTCTGCAGGCGGCGGCGGAGGGCATCCAGTGAGCGCCGCGTGCCTGCCCGCACCGATAGCGGAGGTGGGGAATACGCATTCAAATTTTATTTGATGCAAATGACCAATTAACCACGTTTGTGTAATTTTGATACCGATTGCAAATTAAAAATGTAATTAAATTGTATATTTCAATGACATATAATTTAGATATTGCGCATATCATTGCGGGCCACGTGGGATGGGGGTCAGGATGAGCTCCACTAGATATCACATTTTAACAGGCAACTCCATGTCGTATGAATCTAATGAATAGACAAAAAAGCTGCTTCAGCTTGTACCATCATAATCAGCCATGTTATATATCCACTGCTGCATGAAGGCCTCCCCAAGTCATTGCCATCTATCATGATCTTGCTATGCAACAATCTCTCTTTCCAAACAAATTAATGTTGCACAAGCTAAACGAAGGTTCAGACTTTTCTCTACATTGTGAGCAACAAAGTAAAATGCAGCAAAATTCAGTTGTACTGTACTAGGCTCCCACATTTATGCTTTCTTCCTTCATCAACCCACAATGATGGACGTGGTGAAGTATGGTCAATAACCTCCATGTTCCACATAGTCTGGGGCAGCCCTCATTCAATAGTGGATTCACAAAAAAGTAGTAAACGTACAATAATGATGCATCAATGCATCGATTGTAATAATTTCTTGCACTCGTAATGCATGAATCAAATTGTGCTCTTCAGATCTGCAGCTTTGGCACAGCACTTATATTATAACATATTTTTTTGGTTGTGCTATACAGCTTTCCAACGTGCGCCTTTTGGCGTCATCTGGTCCAACACCATGTGAGACTAGGCTCTAAGGAAAGCTGTCTCGGGTGTGGACCAATCAATTTCAAGGACAGTGCATACATTATCAAAGTTGTGTATTTTGTTTGCATTCCGACCGCAGGTATTGTGGTCAATGCAAACATGACTCCTTGTAAAAAAGGTGTCAGTTTTGTTGCCAGATAAAAGGGTAAAAAAACAATTATCATATTTTGTTACTTGCAAAGGAGGTTCCAATGGTGCTCTCCAATATGTTTTCTGGTTGTACCATGTGGTGTTCGGCATGTTGTCCAACATCAAAACTAGCAGCAGCCAACAACTGTATATAACTGTGGGAGAATGTCAGCTGCTCCATTTATTTCCTGAAGGAACTCCCCCAGTAAGTGGAGAAAAGCATTGGATGTCATGCCGAACAACATGCGGTACAAATAGAAAACACATCGGAGAGCTGCACTTATATTTGTTGCCAGGCCCCATGGCTCTTGAGTGGTGTTGGCTGTGCCGGGAAATTGGACACTCACAGCGGACGAGCGCCTCCGTGTTGCGCTGACAGATCTGCCCTGTGAAGTTGTAGTAGGCGCACGACAGGCACTCCTGGCAGCGAGTCTTGTGCTTCAAGTCCGGGTGTAGGCATGGAAATCCATCCTGCGGCCGGTTACACATCGACCACCATGAATCACAGTGTATCAGGGCACCACTAAACTATAAATTACAATCAAAAGACAAAGTAATCACTTTCTCAAATGAGCAATGAGGAGGCGGGCACTCGTAGTCACTCCTTTGAGTGCTAAACAGGCTCAATACTGCTTAGTCGAGATCCAATAATGGTAACTGGGTCGTACATAAGCCCATTGAAACCATAGTTTTTTTCAAGAGAGAGCTGTGTTTAAATAGGTATAAAATATGAACAAAACCAAACCCAGTGTGGAAGGAAAGCAGTGCAAATAACACACCAAATGAGGGAATGCTATGGCACGTGGAGCTCGACTACCTTGATATCGGCCTGCTCAGCAGGCTTCAGCTTCGTCTTGAGTAAGTCGAGAAGGTCCAACACAGACTTCTCCACAAAATCGCTTTGTCTGCAGGACCAAATGTAGTTCGCAATCAAAGCATCCGTAATATGCACACAATTCAAGAAATGAGCATCACCAGCATCATTTTGACAATATCATGTTCATATTTCGATTTAAAGCTTTCGTGACTGCAGGGATTCATATTCTTAGCTCTTTCGGTAAAGTCACGTAGAAGGGAAATAATAAAATAATAATAAAACATAATAAAATAAAATTCTCACGACGTTTCGGCCACAACGCAAGCACCCGTCCTCAGGTGAAGAAACAGACAGCTCTGTTTCTTCACCTGACAGCTCTGTTTCTTCACCTGAGGACGGCTGCTTGCGTTGTGGCCGAAACGTCATGAGAATTTTATTCTATTATGGTTTTTTTATTATTATTTTATTATTTCCCTTCTACGGGACTTTACCGAAAGAACCAAGAATATGAATCATGTTCATAGCTGCATAAATAAAATGATGATACAAATCAAGAATGGAAAACTTTAAAACATTTCCAGCACTGACATACATACACCATGGGAAGTTATACCTGGAATGTGTATGCAGCTGGCATAGTAATTTGCCACCCCCTTTTTTAAGTGTAAAACCAATCGATGTAATTCAATTGTGTATGGCACATGAATCTATTTGTTAATGCTCTAAGATTTTCACAAACCATGGCTATACTTACGGAAATGCTCCCATAAATGATGTAAAAAATATGCGGAAATGTTTGCGTTAGTTGCGTAAGCGCAAATAATGCAGCGCGGTGAGGGTGCGGATGAATACCACGGAGCAAGGCGTAGGTCCCGTCTACCAAAACGCCACCTTGACCGAACCCAAGCTTCACTAGGATTAAGGTAAATGGAAATTGTTGTAGTATTACATAATTCGTTTCCTTTTGTAGCAATATGTAATTGTTTGTTTTCTATGCTTAGAACTATCTTTTTTTCCCATGTTTCTATTGCTAGTTTTCTTCATTTTAAGTTTATTTCATGAGATATTTACTGTACGTACTGTGTGTGTAAGTGTGTGTATCTGAATTTGTGTGTAGACGAGACTACTTCTTCTTTGTCTGTGTGTGTATGTAGCATTCGCCCGTTTCTCATTGAAAATAGGCACATTTCAAAATATCACTGTCCTGGTCACAAAAGCAAAGTTTGTGGGGAATAATAGCCATGTTCTGTACTTCTGAGGCATAAGCAATTAGGAAATAACACTTACTACCCAGGAACAAAAAAATTGTTACACTGTTATAAGAACCACTTCTAAAACTTTATGTCAATTATGACAAACTCATTAGATAGAAATTAGTATGCTGGCTGGCAATTATTAAGAGCAATGATAATTTATACAAAAGGTGATTTCTAGACAGCAAATGGTGTGACTGCAACCATAAAATCGATCCTCCCATCATGCTTTGCAAGTCAGGTGACATCAGCCTACTACGTCTGTAATGTGCACAGCCTTGTCCTAGACCACCAACTCTAAAGAATAAAAATCAGTCGTGTTATTTTAGACCGCAGCAGCAGTAGAACAATGATGGAACTGTATATCCGTTTCATCCTTCATCATTGCGCTCATTCGAACCGCAGTGCTGCACATCGATCTTTGAGCACTCACGTGGCCAGGCTCTTGGTGGCGGACGCGACCATGGTCTCGGTGGCCGCCATGAAGGCCAGCATGTCGAGGGGCTCCTCCTCGGGGAGGGTGAGCAATGGTGTGAAGGACATGTCATAAAGCGTGGCCTCCACGCGACACTCCATAATGTCCACCACTTGCTTGGTGGTCTGCTTCAGCTGCACCACCGCTGCCTGGATATCCTCAATGTCTGCAGGTTTTTTGGCACAGGGGTTTGGAAGATTCATTAAGTATTATTATTATTCATTAAGTGTCTGAAACTCGTACTGACTAATCATGTCTAAGATATTCTTAAATAACATATTCAAACAGACTTCCATTCTGTGGCATTCTATTGGCTTTCCAGATCAATATTATTCAGCATGTATTTTTTCTTTATTTTAGTATTCAAATCCAGTAGCATAATATGGCAATAGTGTAAAATAGCACTCTTTCATCACATTACTTAAAATACCGTAGCTACCACAGCCATTGTTCATCCACTGAAAGAGTCAGTGCACCACACAACAAACCCGTCAAGCAGCTCCAATTATCTTGTAGCAAGTCATCACCGTGGACATGAAATGACATTGCCGTGGATTTAATGGCCCATTTGCAGCTGCCCCCCATCTGCCCAATGATGCTTTCTCAGGTCACGTGGGGCTGACTCACAAGTGTCGATGTTGAGCGATGTCCAGGAGATGATGGTGAGGCCTGGCAGGATGGCGTCCTCGACAAGGGCAATACACGGCGTCATGAGCGGCTGTAGTATGGGTGGAATGGAGGACACTGCCTGCGTGTACTCCCTAAGAGCCTCAAGCAGCCTGTAATGGGCCCGGGGACACAAACCCGCGCACCACGCCGGGGCACACACACAACAAAGTCAAGGTGATTTCCTGCTCAATTGGGCATTGAGATGGTACTCGGCTCTTGTTTACAGAACCGGCACCAACGGTAGCAATTCCAAATTCCCATGGCGGAGGCAAGTCTATTCATAGGACATCCACTGTGGTACTAATTTTATTGATCTCGAATGGATTATGCGTTGTCAATCTCTAACCAGCATTGAAACTGGCAACCTTCTGTCGCTCCAGCGCCAACCCACGAGGCTTGATCTTACACACACCCACGTATTGCGCCTATATACACACCACATAGACACAATGCACACACGCACCTACATGTGCGTGCATACCCCCAAACAAACATAATTTACCCATACATAAACACATACATATGTAAGGACAGTACGGGGCCTGGTGGCCGTGGTTAATCATTGACTCGACGAGAACGGACAGGGTCACGTAAGGATAGTACGGGACCTAAGTGGTCATAAATTATAATTGAGACAGGAGGAACAGACAGGGCCAGATGAGGTGAGAGAGAGTTCGGGAAAAGGGGTGTGGCCGGGTCCGAGAGGGGGATAAAAGCCGGCGTGGAGCAGAGCTCGAGGCTGCTGTGGGGGAATCAAGAAACCGTCGTCGCCTTGAAGCGGGCTGTCTTCATCATCTTGGATCAGGGCACCTTATAGTCCTGGAAGGCTATATTTACATATTGTCTACGTGACTGCTATGCGTCCGCTCCTATGTAGTCAGCCAACTACATGGGGATCGTCACGTAGAGTCATAGAAGTTACCAAGCTGGATATAGTCAACTCGCGGTTATCCATTAAAATATCAGTGAGTCGGCGGACTTTATTCATAAATATATATAACTGAACAAGACGGTGTCTCTGAGAGCTACATTACACATACACACAGTGATCACCCATTCATGGTGGTCACCCGTCCAAGTAATATCCGGACAAAACCCTGCTGAACTTTTTAGATAAGACGTGATCACATGCATTTCAGGTGATATGTCCATAGGCTGAACTCAAACACTTATATATATTAAAATATATAAATGAAGGCTGCCCTCACCTTGTGTGGTGCTGCTTGATCTGCTGCTCTTTCTGACATAGGTTAATGACCACCTCGGGCACCTGGAAGCCCAGCTTGTGGAGGTGCTTGGCCTCCATCAGCAGCTCGAAAATAGCCAGGTCAAAGTTGACAAAGAACTCCTGAGAAAGAACATTTCCAATTATGCGATGAATGATTTGAGCTCACACTCAGCTCAGTGATCTTTAGTAGGTATGTAACTGGTTCTTAATTTTAGCTGCCGAGTCTATCGGCAATACAGAAAATATTTCTGCATCCAGCACACTACATCCAATATACCTCTCGCTCAGGTGTCATAGGCATGGAGGTGTGAGGTGGCTAGGGGATAAAAACCTTTCCCCCTCTGGGCAGCTACATTACCTTCTTCTTTGGGTAACGAACGAGCAACGACGCGAGGAGGCTGTTCCGGACTAGGTCCACGGCGCGGCTCCAGGCCCGGTGGTACAGCAGCTCAAACTCCAGCAGCACGGCCGCCATTTTGTTGTAGTTGCGCACGGCGATCTTGCCCTCGGACGTCTGTGTACGCGGCAGCAAAACGTCTGCATTGGAACACTCATTATTGCATCATTGGGCTCTTACCTGGTTTAAAATCAAGTCTAAATGTCGGCCAGGTTACTCAGCGGTTGAACGAGTAGCTCACAATCAGAAGGTAGCGAGTTTAAATCCTGGTTATGGGTTGACTCAGCTCATTCTCCCTCCGATGTCAATAAAATAGGTACCACTTTGTGGGGAATTCAGCAGCGGTTGTCCTATGGATAAATTAACCCTACCATAGGAATATGAAATTTCCACCAATGGCTTAGGGCTGTAAACAGATGAGCATCACCTCAATTTTCATTAAAGCATGGAGTATATGGAGATTTGTATATTCAATTAGATTTTTACTCTCATGATAGACGCATGAAATGGTGACCCCTGCAGCCACTAAAAATGCTACATTCAGCCAAATGTTTAAATAATATGATTGTTGAATCATGACCTTGAATTGTGATAATGCATCAAATCACATGGGGGAAGAATCATTACATGCCTACTAGATATCATTGTAAAAAACATTTTGTGATGTTTTATAAGTTTACATCAAGTCAAAGTGTTGGAGAGGTTGGAGCTCATACTCAACAGTCATGAGCCAGTACTGACATTTCCACATTCCTTTATTGGGGATCAGTCTGTATTGCACTGTAATTGTAATTTTCAGCCCTTTGCCAACCCACTACTGGATGAAGGCCACTCCTTGCCAAGTCAGTTACAGGGCTTTGTTTTTTCAACTGCGCTCAAAGACCCAAGTGATTTTAAAACTCTTGCAACCCCCTACATGAAAACACAAGTTCATAGCCATCTCAACCACAGATTTAAACTACAACCTCACCTGAAGGACGTCTCGCTTGTTGTTCAAGAACTTCATGGGGATGTCGATCTTGCGGAACAGCTGCCGGGCCCACATGATCTTCCCGGACACCTGCCAATCAGCGCCAAGGGATAGGCACAGGGCAGCGTTAAAGTGTGAACGAGTGAGTTCCAGGACGGGCGGCGATGGAGATCGCGATGGTGCTGTGCTGCGGCGAGTCTCACCGGTGGGATGTTGCGCGGGATGGGCGGGCTCTGCTTCTGCTTCTGGTAGGTTCTCCTCACCATGTCCATGTCACGCGCGTAGCGGTGCAGCACCAGCTGGTACTTCTCCATGAGCTGCAGGCGGCCGCCTGCAATCCGCTCAAACTTGCCCAGCAGCTCGAGCATTTTCTCTGTCTGGAGGTGACCCAGTCGTGTGTATATTAGCCGTGCACGTGCTGTGATACACCCAGTGCTGTAGAGGTGCAGTGCAGCTATCAGGCCATTCCTTTAAAGCATCCTGCTGAGCAAAATATACTCCAAGGTGCAATGTCTTACTTGCCAGATGTAACCACTCCTATTTCAGTGGAAAATGAGAGATATCTTGGTAGCATGCAACCGTGGAAATCCTGACCAGCCCGTGGACCACATTGTAAACCAATGTGAAGTTAAAAAATTCAGCGGAGGCATTGAAGACATCCATGCAGCTTCTCCCGAGGCTGTCCTTTGCCTATCAAACCTGGACATGGACTAACAAGTTTCTATACAAAACAATACACAAGAACAATGCCTTACTGAATAGAAGAGCAAATTGAGCAGTGGCAGCGTTGTCCTTGCAGCTGGTAAATCATGCCAAATCGGTTGGTGAGTCAGTCGAGGGCTATGAGAACGATGTTGTAAATGACAAGGACGGTGCCACCAAATTGGCAACAATGTGTTCCACAGTTTGGGCTCTGATTATCACGGTTGGCTAGGTATGGTGTGAAAGAAGTTCAACATACATGATAGTCACGGTCGCACTGTGGAGTGCTTTCATCTTCTCCTGGCACTTACCGTGAGCGACTTCTCAAACCACGAGTCGACAAATGTCTGCAGGCTCTGGTAGAGTCCTTCAGTCTGGGAGCAGAATTCTTTGTAGTCTATGTCAAACTGGTTGATGAAAAGTGACACGTATTTTGATTAGCATTTTTTAATTGGAGGAATAGTTTTCATTGTTACAACATATGCAAGGTTAAATGTTTTATTCTACATCAAAACCACTAAGATGCAATGTGGCCAGGTGGCTCAGAGGTCAGAATCGGCACAAATGAGACCGAGGGTTAGATTCTGTAATTCAGCCATCGTAATTAAACCGGGTTCTTAACTATAATATGGATGACCTCAGTTGGTCCTCAACAACTACACAAAAAAAGGCTATCGCATTAAATTTGGTTTTTCGCTTCATTTGGCAAAATTTCAGCTTTGAAAATTCTAAAATATTGGAATCCCTACCAGACAATTAACTTGTCTACAGCAGGGCATGTGGGAAAGTACAGCATTCCTCATGTGGACGAAAGATCAGCAGTATTTGTGAAATATTCCCTGTTGTGGTTTGTTCTATAACATAGGCTGATGCATTGCTCTATGAGAGACTGGAATGGGTAATTTTTGACATCATGATGCCAATAGTACAATTTGAATAAACATTGACATGTTTTTTTACAATTATAATCACAAATATTAATATACAGAAATTGGCACATCCCCTAAGAGCCAGCTCACTCGGACACGAGTTAATGCAATGTCAGCTCTGAAATCTAGACACTAATGCACTGATCTCTCTGTTCAGTGAGCTGACACTTTCTGTAATTTTCCACCCCAGCAGTGCTCTGTGCTGCTGAGCCATCAATCATTGCACACCAGACTGGGAGCCGATATCCTCCAGTTTCACGGGAGAGTAGGGGCAGTAACACACACCACCCCACTGGAGAGCACAGTATACACTCGCTGCCCCACAACAATGGGGCTAAACATACGTTACAATGGCCACGTATGATAAAATACCCTCGGATTTACAGTAACGTGCAGATACAGCACAGACAGTCTTACCATACATAAAAACCCGTGTGTAGCATTGTCACAGTGCAGTATATGGGAGATGTGGCAGGTGCATGGTGTGAGAATGAGTCGTGGCATTATGAGACCAGTGATGATTGTAAGTGTGTGGTGGTCACACTAATAAAAACAAATGCGTGTTGTGTCCAAATGCAGCTACAGATGCGCTGGTGTTTGTATCGTTAAGTACCAATTCTTAGGAACATTAAATAAGTAATCCTGCCTTTAAGAGTGCGCATCGCCCACTAAATGTGTGGGAGAATTGAGGTCTGCTGAAGGCACATTACACCCTGTACAGTCTCAAAGTATATCGCAATATTATGGTCCCCCATTGCAGAGGATGCACAGTAATCATGTTTATGTCGGGGATGGCTTCCTAAAAAGTGCAACAAATATCGAAACGACCTAAATCAATTGCCCACTTCAGCAACTGTTTCTTGCTGTGGTTGTTCCACCTGATGACGGACGCTTGTGTTGCGCCCGAAAAGTCGTAATTTAATATATTTTATACCTACGTGACTTTACCGAAAGAACCAAAGAGTAGTTATATACCTAGCGTGCACTAAACAAATGTACGCATGTACACGCGGGCGACTGTTGGCAACTGCGGGCGCACCTCGCTCTTGCGGTGGTCGAGCACATCGTAGGTCTTGGCCTTGGTGTTGGTGGCGAGGGCCTGGTAGCGCAGGAATATCTTGTCGATGCCCTCAATGCGCACGTGCTGCAGCCCTGCTAAGCTCTGCATCGTCTGCAGCATGTCCGACAGCTTGCGCAGCCTCATGCAGAAAGAGTCAAACTTCCCAAAGATGTAGTTCTCACTGCAAGCGACATCGGTAAGCAACAACAATTTCCCGCAGGTAATTTAGTTTTTTATAGAAAGTCATCCGATGATGGGCTGTCGTTGATCACAGAGGTTATCTAGACAAGTGGTTCCCATCCTGTGGTTTGTGGACAACTAATTATCTGCAAAGCAGTTTATATTGATCCAAGGAACTGTTTCAGATAACTCAATTATAAGTAGTATTAATTTTGAACGTTTTTATTAATGAATGGTGGTTTGTAAACTAAAAACGTGTGGGTTTGCATTGGTCCATGGTCCCATAAAGGTGGGGAACCACTCATCTAGACTTATTTTTTGCTGCGATAGACTTTGTTGGCCAAGGCATGCAAAAAGAAATTAACAAATTTCCATATTACATTTACCGATATAATAAATTGGCACAACGAGATCTCCCTTGTTTGTAACCTTGCAAAGGTTAATGCGATGACTGATATGATGCATATTTTAAGGGGTGCCAGCTCACTGGAAGGTTTCCCAAGCAGGAATTAGGAGAGAGGGAAAAACACTATTTTGATTCCGCAATAAATCATCTCAAAGTGCAGCATTGAAATTATTACCCGTAGGTATACAGAATATATAATTAAATATGAGTAAATGTACTCTGGAGTAGTGTTATTTATACGCATATGATGCATGTAACGGGTCAAGATTTAATTTAGTAATAAAAATTGTTGAACATTGTGGTCAATGTAGTGCATTTAGTGGGAGCTACAGATGGAAGTCACAACAACCCATTGCATTCAACATACAGGAATACATGACAATTGTATTGCATAGAATTTGATGTGTGAAATCAGCTCATGCGAAGGAGATAGATGATCTGGTACAACGCAGCACAGTGAGAGATTGCAATGGCTTTGGAAAGCCTGCATCCAGTCATGGATAGATCACAACTGATGATGATGATAACAATAATTATGATCATGAGCAAAATAATGTACTTTAATCGTTACATTGGGTGTTGACCCTACCTGAACTCAAACTGGCGTGGGTTGTTGCTCTGATGCAGGTGCTGCTTGGTCTCGTGGAAGCAGTGCTGGTACTCTTCATTGAGTCGTATGCACTCACTCATCCGCTGCAGCAAATTGTCCCTGCGTGTGGCAGGCGACACAACGTCAAGCGGTGCATTTGCAACAAATCACAAGATATTGAATTAATAATGATTATAAACCAGGTTCTATGCAAGAGTTTGTGCACAAATAATGTGACTAGCCAGGTGGCTCAGCAGTGTAGCGAGTGGCTTGCAGCGGGAAAGTTCAAATCCTGATAGACGACTGACCAGTGGCGGCTCCTGCAAAATCTCTCAGGGGGGGCAAATGTCTGGATGATTGATAAGGATAAGGTCCACCCATGCAAGGGATAAATTAACAGCTTAAGCATGTAAAGGCAACTTCACTTCTTTAATATTAATGAAAAATAAAGTGACTCTTACGATACATCTTGTTTGTTTCTATACTCACTATTAATACAATCCACTCAAGTTTCTTTTATTAAAGATTCCACTAGGTGGCGACAAATTATATTGTTGGATGAAACGTGCTTACGTATGATGACGTAAGCACGTTAGTGCGAGCCCTCCCGGAAGCCATAGAGAATGCATTGGAGCGCCCGCCGTTCGAAAAAAAACATCTTTGAATGTAAGTCTATGGGGCCTCTCGGGGCGATTCTCAGCCGGAGTGAAATCGCCCAAAAAGAGGCGGTACTCCACAGAACGTGACATGACGCTGATTGGACTATATCCAGAGGCACAGTGACGGCTCACGTGACTCTGTGGTTGAATGACATTGGTGGTGCGTCGCCCAATCGCCCTAATGAAGAAACCGCCCCTGCGACTGACTCAGACCATCATCCTTCCTCGGTAAATAAAATAGGTATAGCTTTGTGGGGAAGTCAACAGTTGTTGACCTGTGGATAAACTCGTCCCTGCCATCTGAATATCGAATTTGAACCACTGGCTCACGACTGTAAAATAGGTGAGCACTGCCTCAATGCACAATGGAGCAAGAAAGCACTTTGACTTGAAAAACATTGCACAGATAACTCTCAACTATCCGGGGACAAACTGAAAATAATTCAACTCCAAGAAATGCAACTGCTGAAGGTGTCCACAGCAGTGTGTGGCAAAAGCTCGATCACAAAAACAGTTTACAAGAGGATGCATAATTCAGGTTTTAAACGGCAGTTATCAGGATAAAACTTGTATACACTAACATGAATTTGTCAAAAACACCTTCACTTGGGCAAAATAAATTAGATCATTATGATTCTAATGCAACTCTAATTTGGTTGAGTTATGCACAGGCGTTCCCATATGCTCACCAGTCGTGGTCCCAGATTTTGCCCCCGCCCTGGTGCAGGTACGCCTTGCAGGTGGCGATCATCTGGTTGGTGACCTTGACGAACAGCGACGTCATGTGCTCAGATGAGTTGTAGTAGCGGGAGATGGTGTGCACCATGCGGATGTTGCTCATTAGGCCTGGGATGGTCTGTATTAGCAAGGGCTGCACACAGACAGATGATTATTATCACAAAGTATACATAAAGTACATCTAATATTAATTTTAAGTATTATGGTATTTGGATGTAATGTGATTTTATTGATGTATAGCCCTTTGTCAATCCATGGCTGGAAGAAGGCCTCCTCATTCCGTGTTAAGCTGTTTTCGGGTTAATTAACCATATTTCACCATGCTGGCCGGTGACGGTTGGTGAGGGAATAAACGGTGTTTTTTTTCCCCTGAACTTTGTTCCAATTGTATTATGAGAGTTACATCACAAGACAAAGTGTCCATTCAAAACTCTTGCAGAGCTGTGAATAATTCCATGTTACTGAATGGCTTGCGGAAGGAGATATCGCATAGCTACTTCTTACATTCCTTCACGTGAGCTTGAGCCACACGAGGGGTAATGAATTTACAAAGATTTTATGATTTCAAATTTTCAAAGTTGGACTTTTTGCCATCTCCTGAAAAAAACGAATTTAACCTGATGCGTTTTTGTCCGAAGACAAACTGGCTCAGATCACCAAATCGCTACAATTGAGAATTCAGATTAACCTGGTCCAAATTTTTCTAAATGACTTGTAAATGGCTAAACTAGGTTATAAATTGTCACCCTTACCACAAAAACTTGGCAGGACCCTCCTAAAAATTACTATTGAAACTCAGCGAGGCTTTCCTGGGTAGACAAGCGTAATAATAATCTTCTATCTATATAAAAGTCAAAAATTGTGTGTGGGTTTGTGGGTATGTGTGTGGGTTTGTGTGTGGGTTTGTGTGTGGTCGCGTGCTTGGCTCTCCAACGGTGGGGTTGATGTGAAAAAAATATAGCCAGGTACCACGCCGTAAGCCCCGCAATGAGCAAGCGCTATTCCTTTTTCACATCCGTCAACTTTAAATTAGATGAATTAGCGATTTAGTGAGATTTTTGTGCGCTTCCTATTTATTTATTTACTTATGCCACGTGCACGACCATACCGGCCCATGCCAAGTCGCACACCTTCGGTGGGAGTGAGGGGGACATTTTCTTTCACGTTAAAAACTGCTATAGGGTGAGCATGTACTACTGTAGTGATAGCAGGTACCACCACAGTTGGCATGCACTGCTGTAATCATAGCAGATACCACCACAGTCAGTATGCACTGCTGTTACATTTTTAAGAGTAGGTTTGAAATTTAAATTTGACCCGGGCAAAGCCGGGTACTTCCCGCTAGTATTAAATAATAATGGGCGACTGAACCCAGATTCCAACCAAGGATCTCAATAGTACTGGCTCTGTGCTCTTACGCTTGAGCTACCAGGACACCTCTTATGCCTGCATTTACAATGAGATACTTATGCTTACAGGCGAGTGTTTGGCGAGGGGCCCGAAGAATTTTTCGAGGCTGTAGAGGTATTTCACATTGTCCTTGGCTTCGCTGGCTTCCTCAGTAATTCTGGAATCCTGATGGCATCAAAGAGCAATCTGTCAAACGTGAACAATCATTGTGCTTCGCTAATTAGTTAATACATGCATTTTTAATAAACCTGACAAGAAAATTGCTTATGAAAAGCGGTGTTCACGTGTTTCTTGACGTATAAATAAGTATACCTAAAAAATATCATATAACATCTTAATTTATGTAATAACAGTTATCTTCAGCATCTTGGAATAAACCAAAAACTAATTTCAAGCCATCTGTTTCGCGTGTGCATGCACATGTTTATGTACGCTGCCAGCGGTTACATCTTAGTTTGTGTTGATATTACTGGTAGGAAACTCCTGGTTACACCAGCCCACAGGGGATTATTGTGTCCGTCGTGCAGGGAGGGGCTGGGTGGGTGGGGAGGGGAGGGGAGGGCGGGGAGGGGCTGGATGGGGAGGGTGGGGCTGGGTGGGGAGGGGAAGGTGAGGAGGGGCTAGGTGGGGAGGGGAAGGTGGGGAGGGGCCGGGTGGGGAGGGTGGGGCTGGGTGGGGGGTGGGAGGGGTGGGGCTGGGTGGGGAGGGGCTGGTCACCCCGTGGTGCCCTTATAACATTCAACGTTAAACCTACTCACGCCGGCTTGTGCCCGCCCTCACAGTCGGGCATATTTGCGGAATACACCACGCCGCTGTTGACCCTGGCCATTGACCGAGCCAACCCAACGTTCCTACCAGCTCCCTCCGCAGGAATGTGTTTTAGAGATATGTAACAATTCATTCCCACCGCCTCGTGGCAATTTCTTCGTCACGATTCAGGTTCGAGATTCAAATAAAAATAATTGTTATTTGTCTCATCTTTACCATTTTGTTTATTTAATGTATTGGGTTGTCTGTTTTGTCGAGTTTATTTTCTGCATTAGTCTTAATGTAGTATCAACTTATAATATGTATTAAATGTGAATAAAAAAATGACACGCACAATAAAAATAAAATGCAAAAATCCATGGCAAACAATTAATCAACGCATCTTTATAAGCTTGTTTATTTACTTTGAGCCCTTCGTCAATCCACTGCTGGATGAAGGTCTCCCCAAGCTGTGTCAGTTATGGAGGGTTGTTTTTACCATACTTCATCACGCTGATTAGTGCTGGTTGAAGGTCATATGATCGGTTCAGATATCACTCGCCGCTCATGTTAGGATCGAACTCAGGTGGCAGGTTCAAAGCGCAGTAAGTAACCACTGCACCCTACTATTTTATCATGGTTGAAATGTCAATTTCCACTGACTTTAGAGGAAGGTAATTTGATTCCTGAAAATCGATTGGAGCAAGAGCCGTGTCATGCCATTGGTTTGGTATGTGGGCCCGCGGCTATGCTAGACTACACTTCATATGCGCGGGGATGAAAGGCGCGCCGGAGTGAAGGGCCGGCAGGTGGTACCAGCTCTTTCCAGTGCTTGAGTGAGCGCGACCGTGCAGCTTGAAGGAGCCCCGTAACTTTTTGCACACGCTCACTCTTCAGTTCCTCCAGCAAACTACAAAACGACAGCGGAAAAAGAAATTAAAAGTTAATCGAAATACAATTTTAGCCAAATTAAATCAGCAGTTGTTGAACAGAAGCATGAGATTACATTAAACAGCTCAGTTGAAAACAATGTTTGGGATTTTTCCAAATGTTTTACAATTGTGTTATTGTAATAACACAGCATTTTCAAGAGATAAAAAAAACATAATTTGGAACTCTCACTGACAGCATTGCACCATGTTAGAGAATGGCCTCTGGAAGGTGACATCATAGAACTATTTCTAAAAATGGTGCAATTGAGTCTTATGTACACTGGAGATGCTACACTTCGTCACCTGTTCGGCTAGAGGTGACCATTGCATGGCAGTCATATTGGTATGTATTTATTCCTCAAGAGCTAGAAATGCACATATACAGCCCTATTTTCACTCCACTGCTGAATGAGGGCCTCCCCATGCCGTGTGGGTTATGAGGGTTATTTGACCATACTTCACTACGCTGGTCAGTGCAGATTGGTGAAGACAGGCAGCATAGACATGGCAGCAAAGTACAGTATAATAGTGTTTCACTGCCTTTTCTGCTCCCTACCACGTTTTCCCACAGCAGCCTATAATACCTGTTTCATGGATGTAAATATATCAAATTAAATAAAAACCTCAACAAACTAATTTGCTACACACTGATGGCAACATTGAGATCATGAAATCACTAAATCGAAGAATCCAGTTTAATGATGGGTTATTGCCCAGATTCAGACCAAAGTTCTCAACTGTGCCGGCTCAGTTTTATCACACAGATGTGAGCTTCCCTGGACCACCCGGTCACCTCCTCAATATTCAAAACTCAATTTTAAGTTGTGGGTGGCAGGGGTGATTCTTTGATCCTGTGGAATAATAAACTACTTGCTTGCGCTTGTTCGCTAAAATAACAGAGGCAAAAGAGGCGAATCGAGCGAAAGGAATGTCTACATTATTTTACAAAGCCATGTTGTTACAGCTCGGCACGTGCACTCGGGTGTAATGGAACATACTCTGCATCGTACGGTCAAGGCTCTGCAGCATCAGATCCGATGAGTTAAACTAACAGTGCCACGTAGAGTCTGATGAATAGTTCCTGCACCCGCTTGCCTTTGTAAGTTGAAAGTTAAAGCTACATGTTATTTTTTGACGGGTGTTGAATTTTTTTTTGGTTAAAAATAAATAGGAGCCACGTTATTTCTGTGGAGTGTGCAGTGCCCAAATGCACAATCTGACATGGAGGGGGAGGTTGTGTGGGATGAATGATCTTTCCTCTCTTTACATAGGTGTAAATTCATGCATATATTTATATACCTGTGGTTAATCCACTGCTGGGTGATGCATCTCCAGCTACCATGTCGACTGTGAGGGTTATTTGACTCCACTAATCTGGTCAGTGCAGGTTATTGAAGAGTTGGGAGGTCTAGGACCAGTAACGATATCACTCACTACTGATGTTAGCTGTGGGTGGGTATCAAACTCATGTTGCCGGGTTATGTTGAGTATGCAAACCACTGTGCCACGACTCCCACCCACTCCCTTACATATATATGTACTTGTTGAAGTAAGATAATTACGTGTATTAAAGTAAGTTCAAATTAATTATATTAATTTGAACATTAATTTCAACTTACTTTAATTAATTACATTAATTTGAACTTACCTTAATTACAATAGAATAGTAAAGGAGATGGTGGTTGTGAGGTGGGTATTCCAGCAATTGAATCTTGATTGTATTTGTGCAAAGCATTGAGTGCTACCTTCTCATATGCATGGGCAGTTTTCTCCGGGCACAACAGTTTCCTCCCACATTGCACATGCTCATAAATGTAATTGGCCATACATCCCTGAAAAAGTTTTGAGGCTCAGTGAGGTTTTCCTAGGTAAAGGGCATTATTTTTCTTGTCATAATAATTATCATTATTTTTACGAGGCTAAGCGAAGGCCTACTAATTAGCACACGGCACGATGAACCTGACAACTTGAGTTCAATTCCCCCGCCATTACCAATCTGCACTGATCAGTGCGGTGACGTATGGTTGAACAATGCCCATGACCAACACAGCGTGGGAAAGCCACTATCCAGCAGCCGATAGACAAAGGGCTGTTAAATTATTATCTTTAAACATTTAATTCTTTAAAATAAATAGGAACCTGTTGAAGCGGGAAGTGCGCTTCTTCCAGTAGACGAGCTCTGCTGAGGGCCCGACATTGTCGGCCTCCTTACGGATCTGCTCGCTCTCCACAAGCACCTGCTCGATCTGCTTCATCCACACTGTCAGGGCAGCCTCCAGACGCTCCACCATCTCCGTGTTCCCCACTGTGATAGGACAGTGGGGAATACAACACAAGTAAGTCTAACCGACCCTCGCCGATTGTCGGGCACACGCAGGGGCATAGTTATCAAATGCGCATCATCACAACGTACATTTTATACCACGGCTCCCATGCAGAAAAAAATCAAGATGCCCTGCGGCTGCAGACCCCCGGTGGCAGCTTTCATTGTGAAGTACAAGGTGATCGTAGGCCCAGCCAGTAAACAGACATGAGTCTGTCACTACTGGGCAATATTGCTATGTGGCTTCCCAATTAATTTATTTTAAAGTAATTTCTAAAATTTTCCAAATTTGGATCATGATGCTGGCACACTTGGCCTACTCTTTTTCAAATAAAGTCGCAGTATCTTTAACGTCCACTGTGAAAGCAGACGGAGCTTATTTCATGGTTAATCCACAAGGACTGTGACTGTGCTCAAACCGAGAACCTCTGCAAGGAGCAGCAAATGCACTACCGCAATTTAACACCAGATCTTAACCTGAAACCGTGTAGTCTGCAGGACCCATGACGCCGTCGAGGATGGTTCCCAGATCCGCCTCCATCAGCTGCACCTTCTGCTGAATGTTCTGCCGCACTCCTGACAGGCTCTGCATGAAGTAGTTTACGCTGTCCAGGAACACTTCGACGGCGGGGTCGTTCTCTCCACTTTTGATTACTCCCCACGTCTGTGTGCGGGGGTGGGCCATGGTGATTGTTGGGTGATAAAAAAAAATGGAGCAGATCGTCAGAGAGGTGAAATGGGCAATGAAATTACGAGAAGGACATGAGCAGAGCACAGAGAAATGAGAATCGCTTGGAATTGGGTAGACAGATGAGATGGGGAATCAGAATCTTTATTTTGACTGGAGGAATCCGATGAGCTATGAAGGCCTTTTTTCACAGATGTCCAGTACCTAATGGAGTATTATTGTTTATTGAGTATAAAGTAAAGGGCTTTGGCAGCACCTGTGGATGCCATCTGACCACCAGCCATGTACCGAAGGGCTCATCCATGTATTGCATTTTATTCTCAAGTCAAAAGCATAACCACGGATATTTTTTCATATATATCTCAATTGTAGTATCGTGATGTTGAAAACAAATGCCATTCAATTCCTCAACAGTAGTATAATTAAAAAAAAAATATATCATAATTTTTAATAAAATCCAGCAATAGGAGTCTCTATTGAGCAATTATAACCAAGAAATCAACCCATTCTTCAGGTTCAGGTAATGTCCTCTCAAAAAATAAACATGCATTTGGGAAAGGGATTTTTGTTTCATATTTTTGGGGTATTGCTCGTTCATGTACTACTTTTGGTTCTCGAGTTATAAGCACAACGACAAACTTGTTTCAATACATCAATAGCGTTTAAAGCACGGCAGAGTGTGCATGTAGGAGCTTACATGATCAAAAGCATAACGTGAGGTATCTGAATTATTACTCATTTTCTTAACAAATCACACCGGTATGAATCTTAGTAGACTGTAACCTAGTTAAAGGCCATCAATCACACATGTTTAATAGAACAATTTCACTTCAACCACCTTTATAATATACACAAGTACCATACACAAATACTCAGCATATATATGCCATTTACCTGCGTAATATACCAACATAAGCATTATTATAAGCATTATTTTGAGCACCTCAGCCAACTGGAAAGATACCGTAACCACTGCCACCCCCACAAATTGGATACACTGGCCCCCTGCCCTGTTTTCTCAAGAGCATGATTATAAAACCATAATGTCTGAAAGGACAGAGCTCAATAATGGCTACTGAAGTGCTCTGAGGTGACCTTTGTGGTGGGGCACATCTATTCCCTGTTACTTGCCTCGATCACCACGCTGGGATTGGAGGGCCACATATGCTTGCTATACAATACTGTTGCATCCTTTGAGATCAACAGCCGTGCTGTCTTTGCAATTCTACACCTATCTAATTCTGCAGAATGACGCATTACTGTGAAATCCTGCATGAATAAATTATATCACCATTTGTAAATTTGTAAACATTAGATTTCTTTGTGTCCCATTGAGCAGTAAAATAAATTGATGAAAGACAAACACAGCTGCTATAATGGTCACGATGTTAAACTTACAACTTTGTAAATGAAATCTAAAATAATTTTTTTTATCACAATGCAGATTTGTAAATCTGGCCAGCATGCAAATAAGCTATATTCCTGCATGAGCGATCTTCAATTTTATGGAGACGTTTGAAATCACATTTAATTGTTTCATTCAGAAATGCCTTTGTTCTAGGCATGTAAAAGATGCACCTTTTCTGGGGATTAAAGCAATTTTGATTCACAACTTGGTTCAATACTCAATTGATTTTGGTCTCATTTTCACAACCTCGTGTGTATTTTCGGGGTTTTTTTGTCTTGCGTTTTTTACAATTTTACTTCATTAACTTATACATATCATTAGCACATCACTTGCAAATAATTTGCAGTCATTGGAACGAATAGAGTGTCACACGCACGATGTGTATATTGTCAGCGTAACATTCTATTTTAACTGACGAAACAATGTATCATTACAAACCTACTTTCCATTATAACTGTACAGTTTTTGTATTAGTACAAATCATATTGTGTTGGCATACTGTATGGAGTTGCACTTTATATTTGAATCAAGCCATGAGGAACACGAGTACCTCCTGGGATTTTAGAGCTGGGATCATTAAGGAGGAGAGGAAGCTCTCCACGCCTTGTAGAATGTCCCCTTCAGGACACTCCAGCACGCCAAAGTTGATCTCCTGTGGAGATGCATTACCACAATCATGATCATTCTCCAATGCAGTAACGCTTCACTGACCATATTTTTGCCAAGGGTCCTACTTTGAATATTTAAACAATGTCTTTTTTTTAAACACCTGAGCAACCAGCAAAATATAACTCGTAAAACAGTGCTCAACAATCAGCAAGGGTAATGCAAGAGCCTACTTGTTGTACTGCTATCTATTAGCATCTAGTTGCCCCTCCTGGTGAATGTATTGCATTTTTGATGAAATTGGTGTAATCCAAATATCCTAAAGTACCACATTATTGCGAGTGTGCCAAACAGACCAAGATAAAACTATTAACAGTTTCAGGTCACTGATATGATCACTTTTGTTTATAAAACCCTGGAGAAATACAGTTGCACATGAATGTATATGACAATTTACATGAACAGCAATCAGCAGTAATGCATTTCATGCATGTGCAACACAATTGTGAAAGCATTTAAATAATTGTGGGGCCAGGTTAATGTGATGTGAGGTGGAGCAGTGGTGCAGTGGTTCACCCACTACACTATGAACCGGTGTGTGAGTTCCATTCATGGCCATGGCTTACATCAGTGACGAGTGATATCTGAACTGGCGCTAACCAGCGTGATGAAGTATGGTTAAATAACCCCACGACCAGCACAATATGGGGAATCCTTCGTACAGCAGTGGATTGACAAAGGACTGTACAATGCACATTAATCTGATGGGCAAAAACTGCAATGACACATGCTCTCTTTGGTTTCAGGCATACCTGGGCCATGTTGGCTGTCGATATGGCTTTCTCTGTAGTGCGCAGGAAGAAGTAGCATGTGCCTGCGAAAGCCTGAAAATGATAAGAGGCATCACTATCATCATCATAGGCTACATTGCAGTGTTGATAATCATTGCTTTGGCTGCAGGGCTCGGATGCCAAGGCAGGGTCTTTTAGCACTGATTTCCATATCCAGTTTTCTAGAGAGCTTAGTCCCTAATAGCAACACATCTTTATACGAAAGTTGGTTTGTATTGGACAATCTTTACAAGAGTTATCAAATCCCCTCCCGACAGAGAGGACAAAGTAATGTGCAAACAGCCAAAAAAGTTGAAAAGCATTAACTACTGTTTAAAAATGAGAATAGGTTTTCCTATTTTTTCTGGCAACAAAACAGGTGTTAAGATGTTTTGTTGCCAGAAAAAAGGAGAAAACCTATTCTCATATTTTGGTACTGGCAAAGGAGGTCCCATGACACTTTTTAAAAGTAGCACAATCATTTCCATTTTTAGAATTACAATTAAAACACTCGGTCAAACTTGATTATACAACTTATGTATGTTTATATTGTTGAGCAACAATGGTATAACAGTAGTAGCACAATTTATGTGCTACAATTGTTCATCATAATTAAATTCTTTGTTATATGACCAGATGTTTTAGGCAGGGGCCATATGTTTTCGGCAGGGGCCTATAACGTCTGGTAAAACAGCAGCATTTCTATAGCAGTCCTGGCTCTGCTGACGAGACCCTGCTAATTAAGCCCATTGACTGATCTGATCGACTAGATTATTTTAAATAAGAGATAGACTCTTGGCTGCCTATTTAGTTTGGAAAGTATTGTCTTTGTAGGATTTATTAGTTCATCAAGATTACGAAAGACAGAAGCCATACTCTTTGGTTCTTTCGGTAAAGTCACGTAGGTTAAAAATATAAAATAAAAATCACGACGTTTCGATTGCAACACAAGCAATCATCATCCGGTGTGAAAACCACAGCAAGAACATTTTACTGAAGTGAGAGAGATGCCGGGGTTAAGGAGGTTATATAAGTCAGAGAGGAGTGGGGGGGAAAGGAAGGGGGCGATAGGAGAGGGGGGGGGGCGTTGTGTGGACGTTAGGGACTGGGACGTGAGACTGGTGAGACTGGTGCAATCGAAACGTCGTGATTTTTATTTTATTTTTCACCTACGTGACTTTACCGAAAGAACCAAAGAGTATGGATCCTTGCAGTCACGAAAACTTCAAATACAGAAGCCATGGCTAGACAATGCTTCTTGTAAAGCATGGGATGCTCTTCAATGCTGTGTCTAGAATAAAATGGAAGGCACAGGAAGGGGTGTTTTAACCAGCAACGGTCCAACTCAAGAGACAAGCTCTTACAAGCCTCAGTTCACACAGCCGTTCCAAAGCAGACATTACCTTTATTATTTGCTCACCCGCCAAATGTTTGGGTTAAATGCTGATCCTGTTTGAACAAACTGAGCTACAATAATTGCCAAACAGTGGCTTGGCAATAAATGCTATCAGAATGCAGTGCAGATGACGATTTAACCAAATAAGTAAATAAACGATTACTCTAATGTATACATACTACAGTAGTAAATAAATGTGTTATGATGATGACCTCTATTTAGGCAGATTATAAGCCTTGCAACCAGAAAACTATAAATAGATTTGTATTATATGGATTGTGATTTATAATGCATTACAAGAAAATATATGAATTTTTATCCTCTCATATCTCAACGTGTTTATTTGAAGTTTATCAGAATCAGAATATTTATTTATAATGGAGGAATCTGATGAGCTGTGAAGCTCTTTTTCGCAGATATCCAGTAGAATGTTGCAACAACAAACACTACAAAAACACGATAGGAGTGCAAAGTATAGGAAAGGTAAACAAATAGCAAAAAAAAGACATACAAATAAACCTAAACACAATTTTGATCTTACCAGGTAAAGACCACCAAGCGTTTAACTTATTTTTCATATATTCACAAGAGTCACCACGAGCGCGGTTCGCTTGCTCTCTACTGATTTAGCATCGCACTCCATGGAGACAAACTGCGCAGTTCATTGACGATGGGGATTGTATATTTAAAGTGTTTCAGACAAGACTTCAAACTATTTAGCGCGATAAGCTTAGCCTGCCCTATGAGTGAAACCAATCAACCTTTGAGCCATCATTTTGGTGGCCTAAATTTAAAAATGTCTGTTTTTAGAGACGTAGAAATTTAAACACAGACCTGGCTACAGCTGAGCAAAATAGCAGCTTTCTAGTACTTCCGGAATATTAGCATTTACATCAATAATTCACTGTCACAATATTCGATGCACTGTGCATAATGTCCACTTGCATAAGAAACGAGGTCGACAAAAGCCTGAGATGAAATCAAAATTTCATCAAGGCAAGAGAGACCCATTTTTACTACCCATGTGTCAGGCTGACCGGAGATTAACATCTACACTTGAAAGTAAAAAGCCTCACTGTAAGACCACCTCTCATACAAAAGCACAGCCAGGAAATCCCTCTGCTGATCACCAAACAGTGTTACAGTATAAGCCAACCTCTTGTTGTATCCAAGTGAAACTATTTGCACGTTTTCTTCTTCCCGCATTTCTTACAGAATGTCTCTATTTATCTGATGAACGCAAGCATAACGGAGAGCTCAAATTCTGTCAGCGAGTGAGCTCACAGAGTTTTGAAGACAAGCCTGGGCATGCAAGGGAACACAGCGCAAGCTTCGTGCACAATCCAATCGTGTGTGAGTGGCATTCCACATTTAAAGTTGCCAAAACGCCATCTCTTGAATGATAATGCTGAAAAAGTCTTCAAAATACATTTTAAAAACGTGCTAACGAGAAGGTAAGAAACGATATTGACGTAGTTAACCAAGAGAATAGAGAATAGCTTTAACCTACGTCCTGTGATAGCAGTGTCATGCCGCCAGTGCACAACTCAAGCTGTGCATCTTTGAAAGGTCCTCTGGCAAAAGACCAAGATGCACATTAAATTGATAGGCGGCGCTGCTGGATAATACAAATTGCAATCGGCAGAGTACCACAATTCTCTCAGCAAATCACACTTGCAGCAGCCTAGTGCAGCACTTCAGCGATGCACGTAGAGATGACGGGCCCACTTACCTCGTCGGCACCTGTCGTGATGAACAACCGCTTGTGAGACACGTTGCTTCCCACGTGACTGATGGACATCTCTCCGCGAGAATAGATAGTGTCACGAGGCTGGGAACCATGGAAAATTATCAATTTGCATATTCACAACAGACAGAAAAAGCCCACTATAAAGCAGTTCTTAGATTATTATTTTTAATGTCACAATTACGAGAAAATATTAATTAAAAAATGTGTAACACTAACCTGAGTAGATTCTTGGCAGAAGAACATGAGCCTCTTTGATCCGTTGGCAACAAAGAAATCCTTTATTTGTTCAAACTGGAGTAAAGGGAAGAACGTTTAATTGAAAAATGATGACTGTACATTATTTTCAAGGTAAATGCAATACATTCAAGTTTCATCTTTAGTTTGTTTCAAATTCAATATTAACTCAACATAATACCCTACAAGGGCTAACTGATGTTTAAGATATATGTGTGAAGTTGGCTTAGTCGTCCTGGGTTTGAATCAGGGTAGGTAACTAGAGATTAAACCGAGTTCTCAAGTTTAGCAAGATGATGGTCTCAGCCTGGTCACCAATGACTGAGCAAAATACCATAATATTCAAGTTTTATTTTTACAATTTGGCTAAAATCCAGCTCTGAGAATCAAAAATATTGGTTTGACTGCGATATTGCAAACTTTTTTCAATTGCAGGGTATGTGGCAAAGTGCACTCCCTAATATGTGGATAAAATATCACTTGAAATAATCTCAGAAGTAGACGCATAAACTTTCCCTCTGCGGAACACTGTTTTCCAAGAGCTAAAAATGGAAACTGTATTTCATGACATGATGCCAATAGTACAATTGGAATAGCATGTGTAAAAATACAAAAATTAGTTTCATTATTAACTGAACGTATAATTCAAATATAAATCAGAATCACTAAGACTGATGTCATCTTTTCAACAGTTCTCTGTGACCTCGCACAGCTTAGTGTGGGGTACGCTATGACCCCCTCTCGTAACCCACCACCAAGGTTCTTTGACTATCTTTTTTCGGCAGGCCACATGATAAAATTAGCCTGTGCTGGCGAGTCATGTGACATCATACATTACGTGAATCGACGTAATATCACATTGGATAAACATTAATCTACACCTCTCATATCCAGGTTTCTCATCTATCTGGTGTTTATTATTTCACTAGTCGTTATCTTTTGTCTCCAGCTCTCATATCCATCCATTGTCTTTCTCTCTTTCATCTCACGCATCTGTATCTCTTGCTTTCTCAGCGAGCTATATCTCTTGGCAGGCCACATCTCTTGGTGGCCACTCCAAGAGCCTCCGTGGGCCACATGTGGCCTGCGGGCAGCCAGCTGAAGAACTTTGCCTTACACAATGCACGTGGTACCCAGAAGACCTACCCTCTCGTCCGCCAGGATGGCATCTTCCACGGCGGCTTCGTCCTGACCCAGGACATCGGCTAGCTTGGAGATGAGGTACTTGTGACGTCCGTCCAGTTGGGCCCTCCGCTCGTCCCTAGTGACCTTGGTCTGATTTGCCATGCTTCGCAGAGCCTCGCTCCCAGGCCCCGATGATTTCCATCCAGCGCCTGACATCTACACATATCAGCCATGAAATGGGACACATTCTTCTTTCGTGTTAAGGTCTCTTATCGCAGATGGGCAGTATCAAAATTACATTTAAATGTTTAATTGTATTTAATTTGTAATTTGTACTTGTTATCTAAATCACAGATCTCAAAGTAATAGCTAATTTCAATCCAATTAAATTTCCTCCAATAGCATTTGCAAAATAAGAAAATTTTCACGTACAATTCACGTTCCTCATATTACACAAAAGATGGTTTATTTGTGTTAAGCATTTCAATCAAAATCCACTGTCTATCTTCTGAAATGTGCAATGGCGCAGCACTCATCCACTCTGGCAGCTGAACAACAAATATTTCCTATTATTAAGTGTCTGCTTTGGCTTGATCTACGAGGCTGTGAATTGGGGGCAATGCAGCATAAAATGTGAATTACGTAAGTGCCGCATATTAACTAAACGCCAATGATCTCTGTATATGTGCAGCTCGTACCGTGGCTGGGGTGGCCGTGGTGGGTGAAGGAGTGGGGGCTCCACCATTTTTCTGACTTAATCTGGCTCCACGCCCCTTGGTTCTTGATCCCTCACCTGCTGAGAAAAGATTAATGCCCAGTCTTTCATTTTGTGTCTGACTTATTCAGTAGAGATAATAGCCATGAAAACATTTTACACCCCCACTCCTCAAGGCATTCAAAGAATAATCACGATTTGGGTTGTAATTTGACAGAAAGGTAATTTTATTGTGTCGTTTTTGCTGTTGTCGTCTCACTTGTATTTTCTGTTGAGTTTCTGTGTTATTTATACAGTTTTATAATTCATTAGCCTAAATGTAATATCTGCATATTATGTGTATGAGTTATATAATAATAATTTTTCATACGCACGATTTAGTGTATGCATCGTGACAAGTAAGAAATTATGTGAGTCAATTAATCGATTCGTAGTTACAGTAATTGCATTCTTATGTAACTCGTGTTTTTCTATTGTGGATTATATGCATTTGGTAAATACAGTGGCATAGCTGCCAATTGTGAAATTGGAGGAGGGAGTATAAGTCAGTGGGGTAGGAAATCTTGTTCAGTTGTGGTGGGCACCATAGAGATAATTCCCCCCCTAGAAACCACCCTGCTAACATCACAACAGGCCAAAAATGCAATAATACATGTTATGTTTACATATTACTCATAATTGACGGCAATTTGTTAATCCACTGCAGGACGAGGACCTCACCATATTGTATTTGTCATAAAGGTTGTTATACCATACTTTACCACACTGGTCAGAGCAAGTTGGTAAAGGGGAAGGGTGTACAGGATTGGTTTAAACATCGAGTGTGAGCCACTGATAATAACCATGGCTGGGAATCAAACTCAGTTCACTGGGTTAAAAGTGCAATGCACTAACCATTGCGCAACTGCTGCCTTCAATGATTCAGGAAAAATAACAGCTGCATGGCAGTACACAACACCAATGTAAACTCACTTTAATGTTATATTTCCATTTCACATGGCATACTGTACCGATTCAGTCATCGGGATTGTTTGACCATATTTCACCACGCTGGTCAGTGCGGGCTGGTGCAAGACTGGTTGTATGTATGAATGTTGAACTTCTTTCACACCATACGTAGCCAACTGTGCTAATTGGACGTGCGGAAAATGATTTGAAGGAAAGTGTTGGCAGATCACACATTGTGAACACCTAAACCTGCTGGGCTGCGTGGTAGCCAGATGATGATAGTACAATAAGTGGATTGAATATATCTTTGCAGAGTTTAAAGTGTTATCCCTCATGTGAAGGTTTTCTCCAGGTACTCCCTGTTTTCTCCCCTTTGCCAAGCATTAATGGACTTAACCAAACGAACTCATTAACGGACTTAACCAAACGGACTCATTAACGGACTTAACCAAACGGACTCATTAATGGACTTAACCAAACGAACTCATTAACGGACTTAACCAAACTGACTTATTAACGGACTTAACCAAACGGACTCATTAATAGATTTAACCAAACGGACTCATTGGCGGACTTGGCCTAACATGCTAATTCGGTATTTTCTTGAACACTTTTTTTCTTTCCTGCATTTGTATTACAAGTTTAGCTCATGGTTAACAACCACTTTATTAATAGGATGTTGCGATGATAAATGCATAATAAAACAAAATGGTTAAGTAAATGATTAATACAAAATAGCCAATACTGCAAATATCGGGATTTTAGCTCTACCTCCACCACATAAGTCAAGAGCCAAGACACACCAGATGACAGCACAATTACTTCAAGCGAACACACCCAGTGACACAGCACTGACATTTAAATGCCAAGCATCAATATTAGCAGTGACTGATACGCTTTGGCTGTATGGGTCATAGTTGCAAGACATTATTTTTTATCCTCAGTAGCCCATACTTTGTCACAAGTAGCTCGGGAAAGTTCTGATCCACATTTGTTTATAGGCCACGTAGTCGTTTCATGGCAAAATAATTGTCATTAACCCTCCACCACCTGAAAAAATTGCCACGTTTACAAATATATTATTTATACGTGTCAATGTATTGATATATAATATTCTGGCCAATCAAGCTCTCCAGTGGCTGAAGACTCCCCATGACGGAATTTAACATCAACATACGCTTCACTCAAACTGCTTTGGGCCTAATAAGGTAGTGAACTCAAAAATTGTTAAATTAGGCATAACACTACTACATGGCCTAAACCAAAAACAAAAATGAATCAGTGAATTTTAAGTTTGAAGGAAATGTATGATATGAGTATTGCAGCTCAACCTCATACAATCTGAATAGAGAACACTATGGTTTTAGCACTTGACTCAAAATTAGAATGTTATGGGTTTATATCCCATTCAGAAATTGACTCCTCTATCATTTTTTGTGGGAAGTCAACAATGGTCGTCCGCCCCACCTTGTTAACGTGGAATGTCCACATATGGATTTCACACCAAAGGAGATGTCACCTCATTGGAGCAGGGAGATACTTTGACTTTTTATATTACCTTTTTTACGACCACAGTCCGAGTGCAGCCATACCTTAACACTGCCACTATAAACGTTTATGAATTCAGGATTTAGTTTAAACTATGTAAACTCTTATCAACATCTTAGCAAAACTTCTATTTACAAAGTCTGCACAATTGTATTTGTATAGCATATTTGTATAGCTACTGGGTGCAAGATTATAGCATATTTTTCATTTTATGCCTCTGAAAGTCATAAAAAACACTTTATGAAATGAGACAAAAATGTATTTTGGCTGTGGTGTAGCAGCAAGGATATATGGAGAATAGCATTGCCGTTATTAACAAGGCGTGAGAAGGCCTCTTTCTAGCAGTCACTTAACAAAGGGCGCGATATTATTTTAATTACTATACTTTAGTAGTCCAGTATTACCACCTTTTTATTATTGCTTACAAACAAAATGTATTTTCTTTAATTCGATGTCTTGTTCTTGGGAATTTCATTGAAAAACAGGTGAAGAGTGCCTATTTAAAAACTGGCCATCAGATAATATTTAAATCTCTAAATTCTCATCAGGCCCCATGGCGTTTAAGTGGAATCTCCGACCCTTATTTAACTCTATCTCTGGCCTCTCAGTGCACCGTGTTGTTCATTGTATTGAGTTTTTTGTCATCAAGTGTTGCAAGCAACGTGTACTGTACTCTATTTTCTATACCAAGATCTGTGCAATTGTTGGTTAATACTGAACTATTACGGATCTCTCCATAGGAATGTGGAATTTCAACTACTGGTGCAATGTAGTCCACCAAATGAGATAGGTAGAGGGGGTCCACATTAGTTGAAGCATTGAGTCACTTAGTGTCTGTCTCTTTTGCGAAGTTGATAACCGGAGACATCCTTCAACAAATAATTTTAAGAACGTTACCAACATTACAGTACGGTACAGTACCAGCGACGCAAACTTTTCCATGTATCCCTCACATTGCAAGTGACACGTGTAAACCGAGGTTACAATCCACGTTTCTCGTCGAACGAGTGCTGTTTATTCGAATAAATATTGTTCATAAAGTAGGGTGGATAAACCAATGTGTACGTCCCAGTTCCTATAAACATATCACACTTACAAACTGGACAACACGCTACGTATACGTCTTTACACAATCAAATACCAGTGCTCCTGGACAGATTAACAGCAACAAATAAATACATTTAGGTCGCGGTCAATGAGTTTTAATTTTATTTAACAAAAAAGGCTCCAAGCTGCAAGTGCTGAATCGTACGAGGGCATGAAAGCTTCCTCCTCAGACCAACTCGCGACTCAAACTCTCTGCCCAGCCATACAAACTCCAACTATTTTGTTTTGCAACTCGTACAACATTAAAGAGGGACGATGCACATCGTTGTTGTACCGTACTGCTACGATTCCGCGTCTACTCAATGCCACCCTACGTCGCCTGGCCGCCTTCACCGGCCACTGACCAGAACCAGCGTGGTTTGAAGAAGTTTGGTCAACTCTGAACCTTGCAAACGAGATGGTCCCATCTCAAATCGTGGGTTTGCTTAGCGGGTTACAATGTCACAAACGTGGTCTGTGGGGGAGGCCCTCATCCAGCAGTGGGTTGTCAAAGAGGTTGTACATTGCGCGTACGAATAGAATGTACACGGACATACTCTTAGGTTTTTTCAGTAAAGTCACGTAGGCATAATAACAAAATAAAACAGCTAAATTTACTGTATCCTGTCCCACCTGAAGACGGAAACTTGTGTTGCCTCCGAAACGTCGTGATTTCATTGAGTTAATTTCATTTTTTATTATTTTACTTCATTATTATTTTTTCACCTACGTGACTTTACCGAAAAAAACCTAAGAGTATGAATCCTTGCAGTCACGAAAGCTTCAAATCTAGAATGTACACGTACAATAATAGCAAAATAAGCCACGGACAATTTCACAACCGGCGTTAAGACAACGGACATACTTCCCCATAATTGTCAATGGAAACCCAGAGGGTGCTTGTGTATGTGTGTGGGCGGTGTGTCCTCCTTCATCTTACCCTTGATGCTCACGAGTGGAGGGGACACGTCGTGGCTGTTTTCTCCGGGCTCGGCACCGCCAGGGACCGGCTCGGCACCGTCCGCCGACTCGGGATCGGGGGCCACTGAACCCCGCGGCTGCCGGGGTTCTTCTTCTGCGGAGACCCCCTCGATTTCGCCATCCTGGCTGACAGCTGGCTCAGCCATGAGGAAACTCCTCACCTCCAACAACACCACACAAGTGCCCCCTGCCCCCCCCGGGGCTCTGTAATGTTCTATCTACAAACTTTCATGAACTTCTTTCTTAACGGTAGTCAACCGCGGCGGTGGTGGTGGTTGTGGTGGTGGCAGTAGAATTGCCTTCGCGCGGGTCTCCTGCAAACTGTGATAAATCAACACCGTCCGACCGTGTAAAGTTTGCGAAAGAAAGCAACGTTGTTAAACGTCTCAAGGGCGCGACGACTGCAAAAGTTACACCGCTAAAAGTGTGGACATTTAACACGGTCTGGAACGCCGATTAAAGTGGCCCTCCCTCGCCTTTCTCAACTTCAGCGGTGCCCGATGTGAGGCGCGCGCGACCGACGCCACCAACCCGCAGGCCCCGCCGCAGTCTCTAACAACAGTTGCGAGGCAACCGGCCCCGTGTTCTATTCATTAAAAGTTGGTGGTGGTGGTGGGTGGGTGGGGGTGGTGGTGGGATTGGTGATACTCTTGATTTTTTTTCGGTAAAGTCACGTAGGTAATAGAAATAAAATAATTTCTTATTTTATAATAGAAATAAAACAATATTTTTTTTATTTCTATTACCTACTAAATACAATAATAAAATAATTGTGTTAAATAATGGCCTACTAATGTGTTATTTTATAATAGAAATAAAATAATATTTTATTACTTTATTTTTATTACCTACTAAATAAAATAATAATGTATTCTTCTATAATAGAAATAAAATTATAATGTATTATTTTCTTTCTATTACCTACGTGACTTTACCGAAAAAACCTAAGAGTATCAATCCTTGCAGTCACGAAAGCTTCAAATCTGGGATTGGTGATGTTGGTTGGTGGTGGCACCACTGACTGCCGCGTGAGATGGACTGACACGCCTGTCAACCCATACGGCTTGACCTGGGAAATTTAGTTTTCAGGTCCATACGGCGTACAGCCGTTTCAATGCTGGCAACAACAACAACAAAATGTGTTGTCTTATTTGTTTGTATTCTTTGGGTCTTTCGGTGAAGCCACGTAGATAGAAAAATTAAAATAATAAATTAATTTTCTTATTAGAAAAATACAAATAATACATTATTTTTATTTTATAATAATAAATTATTAGAATTTTTCTAATAATAAATGCTGCAAAAAAGTGTTCTATCTTACGTGGTTCTAGATTTGACTGCAAGGATCCATACTCTTTGGTTTTTTCGGTAAAGTCACGTAGGTAAAATTTTTAATACAAATGAATTAAATCACTACGTTTCGGAGGCAACACAAGCTTCCGTCTTCAGGTGGCACCGTCACAGCAAAATTTCTGTATCAAGTGATTTAATTTATTTTAATTTTATTTTTTACCTACCCAAAGAACATGAATTCCTACAGTCACGAAAGCTTTAAGTCAAGATGTATTTTTTTGTGTTTTTCCCTTGTGATGGGACTTTGTAAGGATGAACGTTGAGATTTATATGGGCACTGGGGTGACCAATAAGGTCAGAATTGGTCTGTAATAAGGTAGGGCACTGATAAGGGGTTGACAGGAATGTATTTATAATATCTGAAGCGTGTGTTGAGAACGGCGTTGTAGTTTAGCTTAGTAGTCGTAGTAACATGGCATTGCCCAGTCCATTATGTCAAACCACTGCTGTGTGACGAGGGGGGCCTTCCTTACCTCCACGCTGTTGCGGGGTCGTTGTTGGTTGACACTCAATGGTTTATACCACATGCTGTGGTGGTCAGTGCCGTGGTGGTGTTGGTGAAGGCAGATGATGAGCATACTACACGTGGACACGTAGAGGGTTATAGTACTGTACAACCATGGTTTTTTTTTTGCTAAGAACATCAATCGATTGAAATATAAGAGCAAATTACCTGCAGTACATGAACACTCAATTGTCCAAATTGTACTTGCATTTTAATATTTCCTGTTTGCTCAACAACCAAATCGATTGCTATTGATTTGACAACTTGGTTTGATTGGATCTGTCAGATGGCTGAGGGTTATGGTTGAAAATGAACATTATACCTACACGATCTCACCCAAAATCAACTAATTCTGAATCGAAATATTTGGTCGTGAAAGCCTGCGTATGAAATGTAACTCCAACGTCAAATTTGAGCAAACACTTTGCAAAGATGATCGCTCGAGTTGTTAGGTTAATGGCTTCTGTTCGTTACTGTTCATTACTGTGAGTTTGGAGTCTTCAATCCGACTATGTTAGTACTACCAGCGACCTCGGTCGAGTGCTGTGTGGTGTGTATTGCCTGTGTTATGCGTGTGTGTCTCTGCACCGCGGAATAATTCACAGCAATACAGTAGTGAAGCGAAACGAATCATAACTGGCCAGCCGCACATAACATTTGGCTTGGGACCAAGGCCGTAGCCATGGAGTCAACATTGAGGGGGGGCAAATCTTCCTGGGGGTCTGAGGGTCCCCCCCCCCAGAAGAAAAATCTAAATTTTAAAACTCATTTCCTGCCATTTCCTTGCCTAAAAAAATTAAAAATTCACTAACACATGGGATGGACTTTTTATGTATTTTTTACAATAATATCTAATAGTGTATTACATTGCTCTGTTTTTTATTTTTTTTTACCTTTTCTTGTTTCATTGTATGTAATGGCAGAGATTAGGGATTAATAATGTACAACCATAACCACAATCATATACACATAAATCTATACATTGTTATATGAAGACAAGTCCAGATATTGATATTGATATTGTGGCCCAGGTTTAACAAATTGTTGTTTTTGTTTAATAGCATAGCAATTATTTTGTAAATATCTTTATAGCAATACATCCCCCCCAATATTCAAATATGCTCAAAATTATCATATATATTGGGGGGGGGATGTGCCCCCCCCCCAATGTGTAATTACGGTCTTGCTTGGGACGTGTATAGGTGATGCCGTTGCAAATATGGAATATATAACCCCGTGAAACTAATATACCTCGGTTGTGTCTGCAGTGCTTTAATATGCTCACTAACATCACTTGCCCCATCAGTCATTAAAGGCTTTACTAGGTATCGCTGTGTGTGCTGTGTGTATGATTGGTTGTGCTATGTACTATGCCACTACTGTATATTGTGTGTGTGTCTGCGTCTTCGGTAGGAATGGGTGATTATATGCGACATGTGCTATGTGTACGTGCTGTGTGTGTCTGACTGCTTTGCATTGCTATGCGCTGCGGCTGGCTGGGTCAGTTGCCCAGCGACGCCAGCGTGCGTCCTGGTGATGCCCTCACTGCAGTGATCACTTCCCAAGGGCGACCGGTGGAAAGCGTAAGGGACTTATAATCCCCAACTGAACGCCTAATACAGTGCAGTACTGACTTGCCCACGGTGCCAGATCAGATATTTCTCTAAATGTGGTTGGTCTACCCACTAGAGGTACAATGGACGAAAAAAAAACATGCCTGGTGAAGTATGGTCAAAGAACTGCCATCACCCCCGCACGGCGTGAAAAGAAGGCCCTCGACAAAATGGGATGAATATTATTAATACGACTACGCTTGATTACTCAGAAAATGCTCACGGAGTCTCAAGGCTCTTTTTCAGGAGGGTCCTGCCAAGTTTTAGAATCAGGGGGTCGGTGTTGTTATGTGTAATTCCAAAAGAGCAATCAACAAATAATTTATTTAGCATTGGAATGTTTGGACAACACTAATTACATTGTATGGTTGGGGTAGGGGGGGTTACCTATAGGAGGAAACCGGAGAACATGTAGGAGACCCTTGTGTAATATGGTGTAAAAGATACTAACTCCAAACAGAAAGGAGCCCGAGTCGGGAATTGAACCTAGGCTGCATGCTGTGATGCACAATTTTTACCACTGCGTCACCCTGCCACCGAATGGACGTGTACATTTTGAATAATTCCAATGATGTATTTATGGCTATATATCCAGGAGTATCACACTGATTGGATTGACTTTTTGACGAGGGTTCTGATTTTGGCTGTTTGATGTCCCACCACGAGGGAGCATCACCCAGCACTGCCATCTCCTGGCCACTTCGCAGCCTCAAGCCTGCAACATCTGGCAAGCCTCGGTGATCCTGGTGTGGTAGTCACCAACAATGCAATGCAATTAGCTGTTAGCAAGGCTATAGTGGTACCAATGTTTTATGCGATCCATGAAAGGTAATTATTTGACAACCTTTCAAGAGGGTGTGTAGTAACACAATACCGTACTGTAATTAACTTTTCTTCCAATTTTGACATCAATGAAGTGTGGGTAATCCCACCTCTTCCAAGACATCTGGCCAGCGTGGAAGAGTAGGCCAAATTTACCTCTATATTCAAGAGGGGGCTTTCTAGAGCTCCCCCTAGTGGTGGAGGTTATTCCACCAGAAGTGGATTGAGCAAAAAATATCGTGGCTGCACATTTAAATTTTATTAAGATAGTCTGTAGGGAGGCAGGTAGCAATGCAAATCAGAGCTATTATTTCTGCATTACAATATTGTCGTGAGTGTAAACATTTAGTTTTATATAAAAAAAAAATAGATTATCATGTTAGGAGACAATCTAAACGGGAACTAAAATCGAAAAATTGTCTTGAATCAGTTTATTGACAAATTAATAGAATCAGTGTGAATCGCTCCATACATGGAAGTGAAAATATCGGAAAATAATCAGCCATCTATCAATCCAATACAGGATGCATGGGGGTCGTTTGACCATACTTCACTCGGCTGGTCAATGCGAGGTGGCAATAGGTGCTTAAAAGTGGACGCCACCAAGTGTTTATCATCTCAAGGTGCCCTTCACGAACCACACGGCTGGAGGTGGCCGTCACCCAGCATTGGAATGAAAAAAACGTGCATGAATGTGGAAGATTTCAACTCTGACCCGTGCATCAGCGTCTTATTATGCAGTGGCGTTTGACGCAGTGCAGATTGTGATGTATTTATTACATCAGTCTATCAAATGTTCTATTCAAGAATGGGGAAGACGTGAGACTGCCCATGACATGAACTAACATACCGTGTTGTGTATACCCTGTATAGTATTGTGTACGTTTAACACGTAGGCTTTCGCGACCAATATTATTCATAATAATGGTTTTTGGATTAGATCACGTAAGTATCAATGTGTTGTAACCCCTCCACCACCCGACACAGCCAGTAAGGTTTGTCACGTAAACAATGCGCCAATTAGTTACTAGTTACTAATTAATTACTAGTTACTAATTAGTTACTAGTATCCCACTGGGGGTCGCTGTAATTACTAGTAACTACGCGCCAAATAATTAGTTAGCAACTAGTTAGTAACTAGTTACTAACTAATTAGCGCGTTGTTTACGTGACAAAGCTTACTGGCTGTGTCGTGTGGTGGAGGGTTATGGAACGTTTATACTTACGCGATCTAACCCAAAAAC